AGCTTCTGCTCAGCCACCCCATGAAGTTGAACACCTCCAGTCACCCTTTCTCCACTGCACCTTCTTGCACCAAAGAGGGGACAACTCACCGCCAAGAAGGACTTGAAGGGCTCGCTGGTTTTCACCTGCAGGATATTGCCAAGGAAGGGCAGCGGGGTGGGTCCTGGGGGCAGCTTCCCTTCTTTGTGCATCCGCTTCCACGCAGAGATGAGCAGCAAGCAAGAGAAGCAAATGCCGAGGAAGATGCCCACTGTGCCCCCAAGCTCCATGATGACCAGGCGGGAAATGCACCTGGGCCCCCCAGGACCTGCTACTATTTATCTGCCTCTCCCGGCACTGAAACCCGGGAGCTGAGCAGGAAAAGAAGATTGGGTTTCAAAGCCACGTTTGTTGGGCACCTGGCAGGGAGGGAGGGAGGGAGGGGGCATCTCCCTGGGCAGGAAGGGCTTGTGGAGGCCTTCTGGCCTAATGCAAAGGGAGCTATACCATCTTCCCATCCTAACTGGGACAGGAAGGCAGAATCTCCACAACCAGAGTTAGATGTGCCAGAGACTTTTCTGACCCCAATGGAAGGGGCGCGTCTGCCTTTCAGAGACTGGTGAGTTTTGGCCACTCAGTCGAGAAACCACCCAGGAGAACCCTCCCCCTTCAACAAAGTACAAGAGAGTAGAACAAGAGGGGATGCTGGGATTTTTTGTCAGCAGCATCCGGATGGCCAAAGGACACTTCAAGGGTGGTTTGGAAGTGTCTTATGGGGGTCTGGACTCCCAGAGGTGATGCCTCTGGGCACCAGGTGGGTCGCAGACAATTTCCACGGTGGCTACCAGAATCTTGACGGAGTGCATTACAAAATATGTGTTTGCTTTGAGTTAAAAAACAAAGAAGGAATTGTGAAGTGCTGGAAGGAAAGGTACGTCCAGCTTGAGTTTTGCTTCCCAGAAGGGCCAGGAGGGAGGCCGCGCTTGCGCCAAAGTTTTCTCTATGGACCTGCCCAGAAAAGAGTCAAAGTCAGGAGGAGATGAAAACAAGCTTTCTTCTTGGCTAGAGCAGTGTATTGGGGGGTGGGGGTGGCCCTCTAGCAAATTCCAGTTGCTTGCCAGACTTCAAAGAGCAGGGAGGGGCTGCTTTGGCCCCGACTCTCCCTTAAGTGGTCCTTGGGACCAGCTTCCCTCCCCCGCTCTCCCCACAGAGAAGCCCAACGGGCAGGATGCCAAAGGAGCCAGGACCTTTATGCTTTGTTTGGGCCTGTGCCCGCTGCACATCAGGCTTGGCACCAAGGCCATGATTGGCAAAGGCTGCCCTGTCGTGACCCCAGAGCTCAGCCGGCAGATTGCTTCATTTGCCATCAACTTCGAGCTCGTTCCTTCTTAAGTGAAGGAGAATGAACAAGTAGGGTACCAAGAGTCAGCATCCTGCCCTTGAACTCAACCATGGACTCCCTTCCCTTCCATCCTCAGTTACATAACCGCCGTCCTGCGAGGAGCTGCCCCGACACTGACGGAGGGTGGCAGTTATGTAAAGATGATTGAATTACCTCTTGACTGATATTATATAACCTGCTGCAAGGCAATAGTCCTCCCCTGCCCTCTGTGGCTTCTGCCCACGTGTGGCACAATCCCTTGGGAAACAAAGTGGGGAGCCGGGTGAGGGTCAGGGCTAGCCAAGATGCCTCTGGGCTTGAGGGCTGCTCTGGGAAGGTTTCCAACGTGGGGCTTCCATTGAGGAGACGGCTTGGCTCATCAAACAATCCTGTGAACTTTGCACAGGCACCTTTGAGCAGGAAAGGGGGGGGGTATTTTTGGCAATTTCCATGAAGAAGGACAACCGTCTCAGTTTTGTGGGTTTTTTCCTTTCTTGCAACACGTCCCTTATCATTTTTCCACTGAAAGACTCAGAGGACCAAACTTTGATGTTATCTTTTGCTGAGGGCTAAGAAGGCAGCAGGCACAATCTGGCCCAGGGAGAACCAACACGGGTTGGCATGAAGAGGGCTGGAGTTCGGGGCCAGTTGTCTGAGTTTCAAGGAAAGGTTGAGATTACGGCCTTTCCTGGGCTCAGGTAGGGGGCTCAGCCAAGGGTCCATTTCCCACCACGCTGTGAGTGTGAGAGTGTTTGCGTTGCTGGACACGGCCTCAGAGAGAGAGGCTGCCCGCCCTTTTGAGCTCTTGGGGAGGGTCTGTTCTGGGATGGCAAGCAAGAGGGTTATCCTTTCCCCAAAGCAGCGGCACCTTCTCTGGACTGCAGGGGCTGGGGAAACCTCCTGCCCACCCCTTTCTGCTCCAGAGGTCTGCTTGTTTTGCTCCAGTAGAGGGTGGCACATCCACCGTAGAACGTGGCCTTGCCCGGCTGGAATGCCCCTGCACATCTCTCCACTGGCAGGGGCACGCGGCTGCCATGGCCCCAGAGACTGGCTCCCGGGCTGCCTTCACGTTCCAGCTCTGGTGGCAGTGGACAACATGTGGTCCCAGAAGGGACGGTTTCAGACATCTCCTCCACGCTTGCTGAAGGAGCCCAGCTGCTGAGGGCCCCCAGGAAGCAGCAAATCTCCCCTTTTCCCTGCTAGCAATTCATTTGTGCCAGGAAGCAAGTAAACTTCCTTGAAGTTCCCTCCCCTCCCATATATCCACCCCAATGCAATGTTAAACATCGGGTTCTGCTGCCTGCCTTGGCCTCTGGATGTGCTCTTGCCCTGTGAAATTCCACTTGTGAAAGGGGTTACACAACACTCACTCGCACAATCTCTCCTGTAAACACGATGCTCATTTCTGTCTTGGTTCCTCAGAAACCAAGCCAAGCCGCCTCCCTCCCTGGCCCAAAGAAGCCAGCAAGCGTGCAGAGGAGCCCTGGCAAACAAAGGGCTGGGCCAGGAGGGGATGAGCCCCGTGAGAAACCCAGAGAGGGCCAGGAAACTGGAGCCCTTCCCCGGAGCTCCCATTGTGAGTGGTGAAAGAGGCTTAACCAGGCAACGGCTTATGTAAAGCTCTCCCCCTTCGCAGGGCAGGCTTTGCCAAGCTCACCAGGGTGACCGGGGGTGTGTGTGTGCTCAGAGGGTCACAGCCAAGGGGACAGAGAAGAGACAAGGCTCTCTTTAAAATAGCTGCTCTCCAACTGCAAAAGTGTTCCAAGCATGGGCAGTGGATGAAAAGAGCACCCAGAAGGGCTCCATCCAGGTCAGGAGTCGAGGAGGCTCAGGCACTTGACCCCACCCCCCATCATGCCACTCAAGCCTTGCTCCAAACCAGAGTTTTGAACAACCTGTTGACACGTGATGTAACTGGATCTCAAATGTTTATGCTATGCATTCCTCTGGCTGATGGTTTCTTCAGATAGAAACTCAACAGGTGAAGCAATAGTTGGCAGCATGCCCCCGGGCATTTGATAGGGTTTTTCTCCCTTGTTGCCTTAGTTGTGGTTGTGTTTCTGTTTGTCGAGCCCTGTGGCTGCAGGACAGGAGGAGAGCGTTATAGTTTCAGAGGCTGGCAGCATCCTGGGCCTGGCATACCTCCTGGCCTCAGCATGGTGTGTAGGCTTGCCCAGAAGTTGGCAACTGGGCTTCAGCTGGCCTGCCTGACCACGGTTGCTGCCACCCAATCCAATTCCCACTGTGAGGGCTGTGTTTTGAAGAAGTCCCAGCAAAGGGGGCTTGTCTTTTGCCTTGAGATCACAATTATCTCAAGAGGTTTCGAAGGCCATTTTTGTTCAAACTGCCCATGCTAGATGTGCAGCTTCCAGCCCCCTCCCCATACCTCCCCCCCACAAAGCCCAGATTGGCTAGAGGAATTCAGGGGATTGCAAAGCAACGGCTGACCCAGGAAACGTTTGAAGTCAGAAGATGCTCAAATGCAAAATTGAGCACACAACAAATCTCAAGGGGATGTCTGTGGTTTTCTGAAAGAGAATGGCAGCTGTTGAGGGCATTCAGGGTCTGGATGATGTCTGTGGGGGGAGGGGGGAGAAAGAGCTTTAATCCTAATTATGATCCTGACCCCAGAAAGGCTGCATTGCAAGGGGAGCCTTTCAGCCCTCTGAATAGTGGGCACTCCTCCTCCTCATAATTTATATTATGGCCATAGACCAGCATATTATTTTATTTCTTCTCCTTCTTCCCGGCTGTGTTCACACAAATAATTCAGATCAGATTCCATGGCTGCACTTGCCCAATATTTCACTTAGCATCATCCTGGATTAATCTTTTGGAGTGGGGGGTCTTAGCAAACCGAGTGACCGTAGGGGAGTTGATGGTTGAATACACCAGGGGACAAACTCTATAACTGAACTATGCACCTTGTGTGAAGGCAGCCTGGGAGCTGTGGGTTGGCACAGGGGGTTGCTGCTTTGGGGGTTCCCTCATTTCTGGGTGAGCTGCTTTTCCCTTCGGCTGACTCTGGGCTGCAACTCATCAGCAGCTGTTTCAGATCCCACTGAAGCTTGGCCAGTCCGGCTGGGTCCTCTTGTTCTGCCCAGAGAGTTGCTCCAGCTCAGCTGGCACTGATGCCTGTCCTGGAATTCGCCCAGAGTCTGGCCCGAGAAGCTGACCGGAGCTTGGTGTGCACCGGTGCTGCCTGGTAGCCATTCTTCTCCAGCCCTGCAAGGCGGCTGAAGGAGGCTGGGCAATTCAGGCCAGGTGCTCTACTGGCCCAAGAAACAGGGCTGAAGGGTCCCTGGTCTTTTGTCCAGCCTTTTCCGCACTCCACAAAGCTCACGGCCTGAGCAAGAGGAAGTCCACGTATAGGGGGGCATTTGGGGCCATGTGGTCCAGGACAGGCCGGTGGGGGAGGGTATCCCGTGGCTTTTTATGGCAACGTGCTGGGCAGATCACCATTTCTCTGGCTTCTGCTCTTGTACTTTTTCTGCTTTGCTCTCTTGAAGCAATACCACGTAGGCCATCTAGATTTACCCCAGTGATTGTGTTGGGGTACAATACCAACCAGAAAACAAGCCCACACACACACACACACACACACACGACTTAGAACAAACCTAGGCTGCACCAGTTCAGGTCACCTGCATCCCCGCAAAGCTTTATATTTTCAAGGCAAACACCTGGAAGAGGCATCTTTCCCCAGCCCCTCAAAGATCCTGGCCCCTGGGGGGGTTGCAGAGAAGGAGACTGTGCAAACAACCCCCCCCCCGAAAGTCCAGCTGGTGCAAAAGCACAGGAGTGCAGAGGTGGGGCGCACTCGCCCACCCGCTTGGCTCCCTTCTCTCAGCGGGGGACGACCGAGAGCTCGTACAGGGGCGGGATGGTGGCAAAGCCGAACTCTTCGGGTGTCAGGTCAATGTCCTTGGGCTCCACCACAGGCTTCAGCTGGAACCGCTGCAGGATGGTGGTGAAGAAGAGGAAGAGCTCCATCCGGGCCAGGGCTTCCCCCAGGCAAACACGCTTCCCTGTGAGGCAAAGGCGGGAGAAGCAGGCTTAGTCCCTCTGGGCAGGTCCAAGCCATTTCCTGGCCAAAAGCTGGATGGCCAGGAGCCGCTCACCGTTCCCTGGGAAAGGCAGGGCCGCTGCCTAGAGGACCACCTTCCGCCTCTCCCCTGGGTTCCTGAGTTGCCAGTGGGGGCAAAGGGGGGTCCAGCATACGCAGGAAATGCCGAGACAGCCCCCAATGCCAGCTTGGCATGGAAACCAGAAAAACAGGCCGCAAAAGGAAAAATCCCAAGGGCAGCCAAGAAGCCTGGCCCGGGAGGGTGGGTGTGTGGAGGGGAGAAGGGGGGCTCTGTGTATCTGCACCTGCAGAGAAGGGGACGAAGGCGTCGTTCCTCTTCAGGCGCCCGTTCTCATCCAGGAAGTTCTCCGGGTGGAACCCTTCGGGGCTTTTAATCTTGGTGCCGTCATGCAGGACGGTGCTGAGCAGGGGAAAGACTTCTGTGCCCTGAGGAAGGGAAGGCCCGGCTCAGAGGGATAGAGGTTCTTTCGCCCAGGTGGCACAAGATGCCTGAGCAATCTGGGCAAGGCGGCCAAGAGACAATCTCCTTTTTGCAGTGACAGAGCGGGGGCCGGTTTGGATGGTGCTGAGTACCTGGGTTTTCCTACCCTTCTGTCTTGGGACCCCATCGACACCCTCCCCCCAGCACACCTGGCCGGCTGGGTGGGCGGAGAGGAGGCACTGCCTTTGGGCCACTAGCAAACTGCCCCCTCAAGGTGGGCACTTTCCGCCTGGGGCTCCTGCATCCTGGCCAGCCCTCCTCGGCCCCTTGTCTCTCTGCCCGATCCTGCTGGGCAGCCCAACCAGCACCCAGTGTGGCAACATGCCAGCCCCATGCCCCTTGGCCCATCTTCCCCTCCCCAAGGCTCTGACCTTCGGGATGAGGTAGCCTCTGAATTCTGTGTCACGGGTGACCGCGTGGGCCACGTTCATGGGGATGAGGTCGCTGAACCGCTGCACTTCATGGATGACTGCGTCCACGTAGGGCATGTGGCTCCGGTCTTCAATGTTGGGGATCCGGTTCTGGCCAATCACACTGTCAATTTCTTCCTGCATTTTTGCTGGCAAAAGGTGGCCTTAAACTTAGTGGCTTCAACTGCACTTTCTCTGATGCTCCTGGATCAGTGGCCAAAGAACTGGGCAGGAGGGTCTCCACCTGCTGAGGAGGCTATTCTCAAGGGCCGTGGGGCTGGCATCCCCCCTTTCGTCCCACGGCAGGGGAAGCTTCTGGCCTGACCTCCTATATGGGTGGCTCTCAGGCTGGATCCAGGCCTTTGTGCAGCTCACAGCAACTTCTTGCTGGCCTAGCGATTCCGGTGGCACTTGGGTGGGGGCTGCTTCCTGGCCTAGAGGCATGTGCTCTGGTGGGGCTGAATCAGTGGTGAAATGCTACCAGTTCGCACCGGTTCAGGCAAACCGGTAGTGATAAAAACTACTGGTTCGGGCCTACTGGTAGTAAAAAAAAGGAAATCCCAGTTTCTAGTGAATCTAAATCGCACAGGATAGCTGTTCCCCCCCTCACTGTTCTGCTTACCTTCCCAAGCTTCCTTTTTCTGTGCGAAGCGTGCGTTTGGCATGTACTGTGCATGCACGTGTGTGCAGTGTGCGTTTGATGTACACTGCACATGCACGCAAAGAGTATGTTTGGCGCACACCACATACCACGCACGCACGCACCATGCATGCGCGCACATGCAGCACACATTTGGCGCACACTGCACATGCACAGCCAGCGAACTGGTGGCAAACCGGTTCAGGTTTCACCACTGGGCTGAATCACACCCCCCCAAATACCTTGCACTTCAGGGTACTTCATCAGCAACAGAAATCCGTATCGCAGGGTGGAGCTGACCGTCTCTGTCCCGGCAAAAAACAGGTTGAGGGTGGTCATCTCCAGGTTCTTCTGGTTGAATTCGCTGTTCGGGTTGTCCTTCTCCTGAAGGCAAAGTGGAAGCCAAGTGCATGAGAAGCCCTGGGGGGGCTCGAAGGAGGCTTTCCAGCTGGGTTTGGGGGTGCACACCAGGCGAGACGAGCCCTCTTTGGAGGCTGATCAAGTGCCAGCACCCCCAAAACAGAAATGGCCCCTTGGTCCTATCGAGTGGCCAGACTGGCCAAGGGATTCCCAGGGGATGGGCTGCCTCCACTCCCGGCCTCTTTCCTGCTTCATCTGCCTCCCTCCCCATCTCTGCCAGTGCCCCAGTGCCCTCTGCAGGAAAGGAGCCGCAAAGGCTGGGCATCCCGAGGTTGCCCTTGGAACGAGGGAGGAAGGGCAGCTTGGGCCCTGGTGCAGCTGCAGAGACTGTGGCCTGGTGGGCTTCTCGCTTTCCCTTTGGCTGGGTTGGAAGTTCTTTTGACAAAATCCGGCTGAGAAGCTCCCATCTCCCAGCCTTTCTGTCCTTTGGTGATTGTGTTTGCTTAGGAAGGGAAAGCCTGCTCCTACCCCTGGGGCTTCTTTTTCCCTGTGGCAAAGCCCCCTGTGCCTTGTGGCTGGGGAAATCATCCTTGGCTCTCTGCTCACGTCCTACCTTCTCCATCTGGATGAGAAAGCAGTCAATATAATCCCGGGGAGAGTTGGGGTCCAGGGTCTCCTTGTTCTTCTTCACCCTCCTGGCAATGAAAAGCCTCATGTCCTCCAGGATGTCATAGATCTTGGTGTGGGGCCCTGGGAAGTATCTCAGGAGGTTGGCGTAGATATCGTAGAACTGCAGGAAACGAGAGGAAAAGGATGGGTCAGAAAAGAGCTCATTGCAGCCAGTGGATGCATAGCCAAAGGGACTCAATGAGATCAATTAATCAATTAATGAATGCAGCATTTCAAGAATAAATCAGCAGGTGCATTTGCAGAATAAAGCTGATATGAGAGGAATATTGGAGATTTTTTCTTTCAAGGGTCCTTTCCTCCCTCCTGGCTGCCCCTTGTGCCTTGGACCAGAGTTCTCATCCTCCCAAGCCACGGCAGTTGCCCAGCGTCTTCAGACAGTGCCAGCTTCTCTGAAGGAGGAGCAGTCTCGGACCTCCCATTTTGCTGCAAAGAGGCGAGGAGCTACCTGAGACCAGCTGTTGCTCATCTGCCGAAAGCTGTCATTCATCATCTTCATGAGAGCCAGAAATTCCTTGTCTTTGTAATCGAAACGATTCCCAAAAATGATTGAACAGATGACGTTGGACACGGAGCAGTTGAGGAAGAAGATGGGGCTGAAGGGCTTCTCTGGTGCAGAGGGAGAAAGAGAGAAGAAAGGGAGGGTCAACAGGTTTTAGGAACTGCTTAGGCCAAAAAGGTAAATAATTTTCTCCTGATTTGTTTCGGGAGGGGTGGAGGTGGTTCCTCTCTTCCCCTGTATGTAATTATTTGCAGAGGAAGGGATGCCTGATGCCTCTTTGAGTCATTTATTTATTTATTTATTTATTTATTTATTTATTTAGTTAGTTAGTTAGTTAGTTAGTTAGTTAGTTAGTTAGTTAGTTAGTTAGTTAGTTAGTATACCGCCCTTCTCCCAGAGGGGACTCAGGGCGGTGAACAGCCAAAATTAAAAAACATACAAATACAAAAGTTAAGATAATTAAAAAATTATTTTTCAGCCCAAGCATCTCCTGGACCAGAAGTCTCCTAGTCCGAGCCCCTGCTCAAGGTCTCCTGCCTCTCAGGTCCCCTCTGGCCCTGTGATTCTATGTTTATCTTCTGGACATCTTGACCTCAGCATTGCTATAATGGATTGGATGGTGGGTTGGTCCAGAGGCCTTTCAAACCATCCCCTCTCTCTCTCCCCCTCCCCAGCCTCACCTTGGGTCTTCTGAAATTCCTCCAGCAGGAACTGGGCCTCCTCTTGAATCCGCTCCTCGATGGATTTCTTCCCCATTCCAAAATTCCTCAGGATGGTCAGGGAGAACCGGCGCAGCTGCTTCCAGCGCTCCCCCTCGGCAAAGACCACCCCTGGGGGGCAGAGGAGAGCAATGGGCCCCATGGCCAGGAAAGGGGGGGCAGCCTGGCCTGCTCCTGCCCCGCCAGCCTGAGACCCTCACCGTAACCCTGGAAGGTCCTCTGCAGGGTCGGGTTGGTTTTCCTCCCGGAGAATTCTTCCGCCTTGTCAATCAGGGCCTCCTTCACGGCTTCGTAGCCACACAAGATCACAATCGGGCGGTTCCCAAAGTACACCGTGAAGACGGGGCCGTATTTTTCCCGCAGCTGCACACAGGAAGAGGAACCAAAAGGAGAAATGAAAATACAGGCAGTCCTCGACTTGCAACCACAATTGAGCCCAACATTTCTGTTATTAAGTGAGACATTTGTTAAGTGAGTTTTGGCCCATTTTACAATTTTTCTTGCCACGGTCGTTAAGTGAATCTGGCTTCCCCATTGACTTTGCTTGTCAGGTGGTCACAAAAGGGGATCATGGGATCCGGGGATGCTGCGACCGTCAGAAATATGAGACCGCTGCCGACAGTCCAAATTTTGATCACGTGACCATGGGGATGCTGCAAAGATTGTAACTGTGAAAAATGGTCATAAGTCACATTTTCCAGTGGATGGTCACTAAACAAACTGTTGTAAGTCAAGTTCTACCTGTACTCAGATCCAGCTCTCCAGAGTTAGATGGCCCCGTCCCTGGTTCTACTTCAGGTGAAGATGGGCTGCCATGTTCACATTCTCTGAAGGGAGGGAAGCGGCCATGGCTGAAATCCTTCCCAGAGAGAAAATGGGCCACAGGGTGCTTCTTTCATCTGCCCCACCCTGCAGGGCTCCTCTTTCCACAGGCGGATCACCCACCTGCCTCCGTAGGTAGCTGCATCACCCAGCTTTGGCTGATCGACAGATTATTTTGATTCATGGAGCCACCCATCTCAAATTCATCAATTGGGTAACCATGAACGGCCAAGCAAGGTCTGCCTGAGGACAAACTCGAATGGAGAACTGAGGGTTCCCAGGGCTGCAGGGCGGATGAAGGAGAAGGCAGCGCCTTCGTGCCTTTGTGAGGAGCCCCAGAGATGCCCTTGGCTGAGCCTGAGCCTCAGGGTCATCCGTGTGGAAACCTGGAAGAGTTGGGATCCATCCAAGCTTCCTTGGACTTTGCTTCCAAGCTCTTCCTTCCTCAACCAACCGCATGGAACCAACAGGACATGTGTCACTGGATTACTACAAATTCTTGGAATGCAATCAGAGTTTCTCTGCTGTGGAAACCGGCCTCCACTGCCCTTTGAAGGACAGCTACAAGGAGGGCTGGATTTCCGGTTGATGTCGCAGTGGGAACGGATGGAAAATAGCGGGCTCTGATGAGCCACATGAAATCCAGCTGGATGAACTGCTGCTGGGAGGCTTTCGAGCCATAGCTGTCTTGTAGGGACGGTAAAGGAAGGAGAGGCGTTTTGTGGACTGCGAAGAATTGGAAATTTCCTTGCTGGAACAGAAACAGCTCTCCCGAAGCAGCAGCGGGGGCGGCAGCTATCTTATGGAGGTAATTAAAGAAAATTATATAGACTTTAAATTTTGGCTAATTGCAAAGAGATATAATTGGGGAGGTATTAATAACCTTTTAAATTGTTATAAAATAAAGTTGCAGATGTATGAAAAGTTACTTTTGATATTTAAAAGCATGCGTGAATCTTTAATAGGCAAAAAATCTTCTCATTTTTTCCAATATTCATCTTTTTTGTATAATCCTTTATCACAAATTTAAATTTTTTCTCCATATTTTATAATTTCAACTTCTGCCACATTATTTTCTTTCCATTATTCTTTATCATTTTAAATTTTATATGAATAACATCACTTTACGCCTTAAATTTCTCCTCAGTTACAGTTACTCCAGTTAAAAATGGGTGGTAGGGGTGCTGGCTACTCTAGGTTAAGATATATTATCATGATGATTTTGATTATGTATAAGATGTATAAGTTGTGACCCAGTCAACACTCTGTTCATAAAACATGTATGATGAAAGAATTTTTTTAAATAAAACTTGTTTTTTTAAAAAAAGGAGGGCCCATTTCATTTTTGCCTTGGACTAGGCTGAGCGTCATTCAACTCGCAGGACTTGAGCTGTTGTGGCTCAAACGATTGACCCAGAACGTTTGCAGGGCAGCCACTGAAGGTGCCTTGATGAATCACCAGTTGCCTTGACAGTCCAGTTCTTGGAACAAGAACGTAAATATTGTTTATTAAATAAACATTTATTTATTCATCATGTAACATAACACACTGTGTACTCCTTAGTCCAAAGAAAAATTGCACAATGTCCCAAAGTTGCACCAAGACAAGACACACACACACACACACACACACACACACACACACACACACCTAAAGTATTGGAAACAAAGCTTCCAATATTCTAGAAAACGGCTCTGGGGGATCTTTTGACAATGGAGGCAGCATTGGTATCCTTCAGGTGTGTAGCTCAGGAAAGGAGATATTTGCATTTCCTGATGCTTCATCATTAATATCCCAGACACTAGACTAATTAAAAATGGGTGGGGGGGGTTGGCTACTCTAGGTTATAGAATTGCTCCCCAAAACAACTTTGTGTGCCATGCTTTGGGGGACAGGCTTTCCTCTGCCAGCTGAATAGTCTTGACACGGTTCCCCAAGGAAAGCAAATCATTTTCCCAGCCCCATCAGGCTGCTCGAGAACCGCTTTAGTCTAGAAAAGTGTTCTCTAAACTTAATTCTTGTGGCTCCCAGGGAGAAACTCGATCTGCTTGATCAGAAGGCAATTCTGCCAAATCCAAGATGCGATGGCCAAGGGGAAAACTCCTTTCCCAGATATCACGTAGGTGTGAATGCATAAATGGAAGCCGAAGTAGAAAGGAAAGAAGACCAATCCAGATTGGATCCCAAAAGAAGATTCAGCCCGAAGAATCTCACGGAAGCTAAGGGAAGGTGGTGCTGGAAGGAGACATCTGGGAACATTTGGGATTGTGGAAAAGGAAGACCCAGGGCGCTGGCTGAGGAGACCCAAGAGGCCAGGTGGAAGTGGACGAGGGGAGAACGTCTCTGGGGCTTCCCCTGGGCAAGGGAGGTGGACTTACCTTGAGGAGGGAAGACAAGGTTTTGAATGCCTTAATTTGCAGGAAGTTCCCAACCAGAGGCAGAGGAGAGGGTCCAGGAGGCAGCCGGCCCCTGGCAGAGGACTTCCTCCGGACGAACAGCAGGACGAGGCAGGAGAGATAGGCGACCAAGAAGAGGGAGATTATGCTTGCCAGCTCCATGTTGTCAGCCTCTGTCCAGACTCAGTGCGGTTGTGGGCATTTAACTGGGGCTGGGTTTGGCACCACTTCTAGGTTATGTAAGAGCACCAGGTAAATATATCAAATGCTTAATCACTGATACTGGTGCCAAATCAGAAAGAAAGTTTTTTTTTGGTAACATATGACCTAGGGTTCATCAGTCATATCTCTGCAGAGTGTTTATGCCATACCTTATCTCCTCGCTTCTCTCTGTTTTTCCCCTGGTGCCCATGGGCATGGCTGCATTCCTGCGTAAGGAGGGTCCTGGCATTGGGGGCCTCCCTCTGCTTCTCCACTCCAGGTGCTCAGAGGGCCACCAGAAGCTCCCGGGCCAGCTCAAGCAAGGGCGCCCCAGGAGCTTCAGCAGCTGTACCCAGAGACCCAGAGGAGAGGGAGGCAGTGGCAGGCCTTGGGTTGGTGACCAGGCAGTTCCTTCAGGCAGTGCAGGATCTGCTGGGGATTGATTGATATTGATATTGATTGATTTAAAAGATTTATAAGGCCCCCTATTTTAAATATGACTTTTGGAAACTCAAGTTTAAGAGAGCAGTTGTGCCCAGCCTGGTGGGAAAATCTGCATCTGGGCAAAGTTACCTGGGACAACTGCAGGGAGAGGCAGTTGTTTCCAGCTGTTTTCAGGCCTTGACTTGGGGATCAGGAGCCCAGAGGCTCCCCTTTAGGAACAAATGGATATGGGCTGCTGCCCTCCAGATTGGCATTTAGTGTGGTCTCTGACTGGCATTTGGGCTTTGCCATTGGGCACGCTACAGGCCAGGAAGCTCATCTGCAGCCAAGAGCTGGAAATCTGGCCCTGCACAAGAGCACCATAAAGTCCAGGGCCTCAAGGTCCCTCAGGGCACCCCGTCTGTGGAGCCAGAAGTGGGGTGAGGCTGAAGGTGGACTTTTCCTTTAGTCTCTCCTATGACAGCAAAGCCTCCTCCCCCCCCCCCGATGCTCCTGGCCCTGGGGATTGAAGCAGCAAATGCCTCCCGGTCAGATGGGGCAGCCCTTCAGGACCTTCAGTGGGGATCTTCACTTGAGGAGACCCCCTCAGACCGGGGCCCTTCCAGAGGACTGGTCCCCACAGAACACCCTGGGCTTGGCAGGTTGCAACCCACCAGGTCTGCCATGGAAGGCTGTTGGGAAGACTGTTGACCCCCAGGGAAGAAATCAGTGGGAAGACAACGCCCCCCCTCCCCACCGGAGGGCATCTGGACAAGACCAGGCTTGGCAGAAGGTAGATGTAGGAAATGCTTTGTGGGGTGTCTTCCCCATGTCTCTATTTGCATCTTTAAGTATTTTCAGGAAGGACTTTAGCTAACAGGAAAGCCAGTGTTTACACCAGGTCTGGCAGAGGAGGGGACGCAATTACCTGGGGACGAACGGGACCCTCCCTTACTCCTTTCTTTGTATTGGCAGCACACAAAGTTGTGCCATCTTCCCTCACCTTGGGTGGCACAAAGTCTTCCCCATTTGCTTGCGGCAGATGTGAGGCAATATTCATCTTGCCAGATGTGTATATTGCTCCTAAGCATAAATGCACAAACAATTTTTAATCATTCCCAGTGCATTTGAAGCCTGTTCTGCCCCCAACAGCCAGCGCTCAGAGACCCAAAGCTCAGGCAGGGTTGGATTGAGGTCTGTGAAGGGTGGGGTGGGGTGGTTGTGTTTGTTAGTCAGAAATGTTTTCTGTTTAAAATCATATCCTTGTACTAACAGAAGCACCTTCAGCACAAACAAAGCCCAGGCTGTTGAAAGTTGGATCTAGCCCAATAACTCAAGGACAGACTTCAATTCTTTTCTGTATCTTTATTGTAGGCTTAATGGTACTGGAGGTCACTGACCTTGTACCTTTCTCTTTCAGGTATACATCTGGATAGGATGTGGACCTCGTGGTCGGAGCTATAATACCCAGGAGGAGGGGCAAAGAGGTAAGGAGTGGGTACAGGGGTTATGGGGTATATGGTTGGTTAACCCTTGCAGGGCCGGGTGATCAGGGAGGTGTTGTAGTTTACACATTTACCATGACACAGGCGGAGTTTGACCCCAGGCAGGGAGCCAAAGCCCTACAATGCCGGCCAAAGGTGCTGACAGCTCCTCCCCCCACCCTTAGAGGAGGGAAGGAGCCCAGGGCAGAAGCCGCAGCCGAGCTGCCCCCCCAACCACGGCTGCCCTTTGGGGACCCCTTCTTGTGGGCCTTGCCGGCTGTCCTAAGGCAATTAATAGGACGGCCGCCCTTCCCAGCTCTGCGCTGGGGCTGAAGAAGGGAGCGCCGCCTCCGGAGAAGCCCTGCCGGTCCGCTCGCCCCCCGCCCCCGCCTCTTTGCCAAGGGTCGCTGCTGCGGGGGGAGGGAGGCCGGCCGGGCTGGGCAGCTGTCCGGGGAAAGGGGTGAGCCGGGCTGCCTCGGACAGCGGCCCCGAGCGAAGGGCCGGGAATTGCGTTCCCCGCGATCCTCCGGCCCCGGGCTTGAAAGGCAGGCGGGCAGGGCAGTCCTTGTCCCCGAGTGACCCTGGGCAGAGCAGGTGGGAAGGAGGCCTTCCGTCCCCGATACAAGAACGGGAGGGGGGCTGTGAGGAGCGCCCTAGTCCAGAGGCAGTGTAGCTCTTGGGGGGGGGGGCAGCCCCTGGGCGCTGCTCGAGAGGGAGGGGAGGACCCCCGGCAGAGCTTTGGAGCCCAACCACCCGCCAGGATCCTTCTTCACTCTCCAGATTAGCTGAGGGGACGGGGGGGGGCAGCCTGACCCAAAACCAGTGGCGGATTAAGGCTCACTGGTGCCCTAAACACTGACAAATCTTGGTGCCCCCCTCCTCTGTACATACTGTACAAACGAAGCCACTCTTCATTGGGTTTTTTTTCTTTCTCAACTTTGTGGTGCCCCTTCGGGCCTGGGGCCCTAAACCCCACATGCTTAGTCTGTTTAATGGTTAATCCACCACTGCCCAACCCCCCCCCCCAAGAGCCTTGGGGTTGTTAGTTAATCCTGGCTGGCGCCTTCCTTCCTTGGCAGGAAATCCCCAAAGCGCCTCCATTAGAAGAAGCCCTTTGGGATTGAATTGTATCTGGCAGGGGAAAAAGGCAAGAATAAAAATGAAGTTATTACAAAATGCTAAAATGAGGGGTGATTTTGGTTTACCTAGCTTTCAACTTTATTATCAAGCAGCTATCTTACTGTGGATTAAAGAATGGATATCATTAAAAAAATACTAAATTGTTAAATTTGAAGGGACATGATTTGTTGTTGGGATGGCATGCTTTTTTGTGGTATAAAGGAACTAAAATACAGGGGTACTTTAGAAGACATAAAATACATGAAACCTTATGGTTGAACTGGGAGAAGACAAAAAAAATCATTACTTGAAGATACCAGTCTGGGTATCTACAATTGAAGCATTTTCGTATCCAGTGGCGTTCAAAGGGAAACAAATTATAAGATATAAGGAATTATTGGACAAAAAGGGTGAACTTAAATCAAAGCAAGATATGATCAAGGGTATAAGATGAATTGGTTTTCTTTTTTTTTTTTATTGCAAAAGTTTTACAATTACATTTTCTCCCCTTTTTCCCCCCCCACCACCCACCCCAAACTTCCAAACCTCCCTAACCCTCCCTAACCCTCCCCTCCCCCCAGACTTCCACACAATATACTCATATCCGATACAAAACCCCCCTTAGTATAAAACTTGTATAAAACTTGAACCCCTCCCTCCCCCTTATAATTTCTCTTTTTATCTTCATTACATTAAAAAATTTCTAATACATTATTTTCAAGTAAAAGCTATTTGATACTTCCTAGTTTGATATTTGTTCTGAACATATTCTATCCACTTTTTCCATTCCCATTCATAAGTCTCTTGTGAACAATCTTTTAAGTATGCTGAAATCTTCGCCATCTCTGCAAAACTGGCCATCTTCAAAGTCCATTCCTCAATAGTGGGCAAGGCTTCATTCTTCCAGTATTTACCTATCAACAATCTTGCTGCTGTTATCATATACAATATCGATTTTGTTTCACCCAATGTAAAACCCTTAACTATACCCAATAAAAACAATTGTGGAGAGAATTGAATTTTTTTCTTCAAAACATTCTGCATGACCCACCAAATTTTTATCCAAAAAGCCTTAACTTTTCTACAGGTCCACCAAACATGATAATATGTAGCATCCAAACATTCACATCTCCAACATTTTGGCTGAACATTAGGGTACATACATGATAACTTTTTGGGGTCTAAGTGCCATCTATAAAACATTTTATAGAAATTTTCCCTCAAATTCTGCGAGTGTGTAAATTTAACGTTCTGAACCCAAATTTTTTCCCATGTTTCCAACATCACTGGTTCTTCAAAATTTTGAGCCCACTTAATCATACAATCTTTAACTAGTTCGGTTTCTGAATCCCTTTCTAACAAAACATTATAAAGCCTTTTAATATGCATTGGACCTTTCTCTTTTATGTGTCTAACCAATTCTTCCTCGTGCAACATAATACCAGTTTTTTGGTCCTCTTTCCATCTCAATTGCAATTGGTTATATTGTAGCCAGGTTATATTAATTCCTTCAGCCAACAGTGTCTGTAGTGTCTTCAGCTGCCATCTGCCCGCATCTGTAAAAAGAACCTCTTTATATAACCCCCCCCGAGTGACATTATATTTGTATTCCACAAAGTATGACCAAGATCCAGCCATAGCGGTATTTTATAATCCCATTTGAATCGGTGCTTCTTCCAAACTCTCATCAAAGAGTCTCTAAGTATATGGCTTTTAAATACTTTGTCGACTTTGTTATCATAAAATAAGTAGGCATGCCATCCAAATTCAAGATCAAAACTTTCTACATTCAATATTCCAGTCTTTTTCCTTCCAAACCAATCACTTGTTAGAGTCAAAGCTGCTGCATCATAATATAGCTGTAGGTTTGGTAGTTTAAGACCTCCCCTTTCTGGAACATCTTGCATAATTTTCAATTTCACTCTCGGCTTTTTCTCGTTCCAGACAAACTTATTCACTCCAGCTTGCCACACTTTCAATTGTTTATCACTTTTAAGCACCGGAATCATTTGAAACAAAAAAAGAAATCTTGGCAAAATGTTCATCTTAACTGCTGCTATTCTTCCAAGTAGAGACAGTTGCAGTTTTTTCCAAGTCTCCATATCTTTCTGCACCTCTCGCCACAACACCTCATAATTATTTTGAAACAATTTCATATTTGATTCTGCAACCTGGACTCCTAGATATTTTACCCTTGGTACAACCTCAAAACCTGCCCTCCTTTCAAGCTCGTGTTTACGATCTTGTGTCATATTTTTAACTATCATCTTAGTCTTTTTGTGATTCAGTCTAAAACCTGAAACTTTACCATAGTCTTGTATAATGTCCTTCATCAGGATTATTGATTCCATTGGCTGTGTTAGGGTAACAACTAGATCGTCTGCAAATGCCTTTATTCTGTAATCCTCTTGCCTTATCATTATACCTTTCAAGATATTAGAGTCCCGTATTGTGTTTAACAAGACTTCTAGTGTTAAAATAAATAAAAGTGGGGACAGCGGACATCCCTGTCTTGTTCCTTTTTCAATTTTAAACTCTGTTGTCAAGCTTCCGTTAATAATAATCTGTGCCTTTTGCTCTTGATAAATTGCTGAAATCGCCTGTACAAATTGATCCCCAAAGTTCATCTTTTTTAAAGTCTTTAGTAGAAAATTCCAATCCACTCTATCAAAGGCCTTCTCTGCATCCAAGAAAACCAGCACTGCAGGGATCTGTTTGTTCTTCTCAAGATATTCCAATAGATCTATTACTTGCCTTACATTGTCCTTCATGTATCTACCCTCGATAAATCCCGCTTGGTCGTCATGAATCACCTTTTGAATTACTGGCATCAACCTGTTGGCTAATACTTTCGCATAAATTTTATAGTCGGAGTTCAAAAGAGATATTGGTCTATAATTCTCCGGTTTTTTAGGACTGGCTTGCTCTTTTGGTATCAAAGATATGTAAACTGTTGTCCATGATGGGGGTATTTTACCCCCTTGTTGAATATTGCAAAATAAATCTCTAAGTTGTTCCACCATTTTGACTTGCAAAGTTTTATAATAGACTGCAGTCAAGCCATCCGTACCAGGAGCTTTAGCTATTTTTAATTGTTTAATTGCTACTATTATCTCTTCCACTGTTATAGGATAATTCATTCTTTCCTTTTGTTGGTCAGTAATTTTTATAACTCTTTTATCATCTAGATATTTTTCTATAAGTCCATTCTGCACATCCTCTTTAGCATATAAGTTAGTATAATAATCCACAAAAGCTTCTTTAATTAATTTTTGTTGAAAAATTTCTTTCCCTCCAATATCAATACTATCAATAGTCCGTATACTGTTTTTTCCTCAATGTATAGGCCAACCATCTGCCCGGTTTATTAGCGTTACAAAATGTATTATGCTTCGCATATTGTAAGTTTGTTGCAACTTGTTCCGCCATAAGCATTTGAAATTGGTCTTTCAGAAGTTTTATAGCACCACATATTCTTTCATCTGTTGGATTTTTAATAAGTAACTGTTCTTTATTCTTTATTTCTGCTTCCAATTCAGATCTTTTCTTTTGTCGAATCAGTCTATGTTTAGAGTTCATATAGATAAGCACTCCTCTCATGTAAGCTTTACTTGCATCCCAGACAATTTCTATTGGGGTGCTTTTATTCAAATTTATTTCAAAAAATTCTTTCAAGTGCTTTTTAAGTTCTATTATATTTTTTTCATATCTGAACAAGTTCTCATTTAATCTCCAAGAGCGTCTCTCAGTCTTGCCTATCTCAATTTCTATCCATACTGGGCTATGGCCAGTCAAAGTTCTTGGAAAAATCTTTGTTCTTTTTGTCTTAACAAGTAGATCATCTGACAACAAAATGAAATCAATCCTAGAGAAGGATCTATGTCTATCTGAAAAAAAGTATAGTCCAATTCTTTTGGATTGTGTATTCTCCAAATATCTTTTAATTCCAAATCTTCTTTCATATCAAAAAAGGTCTGTGGTAGCCTAATCCTAGACTTCGCCAAACTCTTTTTATCTAATTTGGAGTCAATTACTCCATTCCAGTCTCCCATGATTAAAATAGATCTATAATCCCATTGCAGTATTTTAGTATGTAACATTTTGTAGTGATCCTGTTGTTGATTGGGAGCATAAATTCCAATCAGAAGAATTTGGCCGTTTGTTGTAGATAATTCAATTGCTACAAACCTACCATCTTCATCTGCTTCTATAACTTTAGCCGAAAATTTTTTATTTACATAAATAACCACACCATTCTTGGTTTTCATACATACAAATACTTTCTAGATATCGAGAAGATCTTAAACAAGGTTTTTAAAATGTATTGACTAATTTAGACAAGATTTTCATGGGTTCTGATGACCACGTAATTAAAAAGCTATATGGTTATATATTAGAGGTCAAATTGGAAGAAGAACAAGTTAAAGAATCAATGATAGCATGGGGGAAGAATTTTGGCTATGGTATTGATTTAGAGAAATGGCAAAAATTGTGGTCACGTAATTATAAAATGACAATGTCTACAGCATATAAGGAGAATTTGTATAAGATGTTCTACAGGTGGCATCTACCCCCGTCGAGAATAGCCAGAATGTTCCAGAATAAATCCGAGAAATGTTGGAAATGTCATCAGACCCAGGATCCTATTACCACATGCATAGAAGCAAGGAGATACTGGACTAAGATACACACGTGGTTGGAAAAAATGATAAAGAGACATATTGACTTTAAAACAGATATTTTTATTAGGGATCATACTGGAGACATATAATAAAGAACTGCAGTATTTAATTGTGAATCTTTTGACAGCAGCCAGAATTGTATTTGCTAAAAACTGGAAAGGAGAAGAGTTACCTAATGATGAAGAAATTATTAAGAAAATGATGGAATGTGCTGAAATGAGTAAATTGACATTTGAAATAAGAGAGCAGGAAGATAGACAATACTATTTGATATGGGACTTATTTTACCAATGGATAGAGAATAAGAATTGGAAATAATTATGATATAAATGGATGTTGAAATTTTTGGAAATAAACTAGCATGTTTAGTGATAAATTGAAGAGAGGAGGAGCACAAAAAATGCCACCAACTGATACACTGCCTTTAATTGTATGGAATGATATTATTTTTATGCTTTGTTTTTGAAAAATAAAAAAGCGTGACTGCCTCAAGTTGTCTGTGTTGTGGCCACAGGCCAAAAGGCTTTCCTCCCACCATGCCTGCCTTTCTTCCTTCCCTTCCCCTTCCTCTGTCCCCCAGATGTGGGTCAGGGGCATAGAGACAGCCTCCTCCCCCCTCCCCACTGTGGCCAGAGCAGGTGAAGCAGCCAACTTCCAAAACCCAGAACAGACACCTGGGAGCAGCTCCCAGCTAAAGACTGTAAATACTTAAAACAACTTTTTTTGGCACTTTCCAAAGCTCTGCTCTGCTAGAATGGCAGATGAGGGCCCTGTCACATTTTTATACAATTTGACTTTTCCTTGTATTAGTTCTCTGGAAACTTTTTAAAACGTGGGTTTACTGTTGTTGGGCTACATTTTCTTCTCCCAGAAGCCTAAAATCCACATCTGGACAAGTACAGAAGGTCCCAGCCAACAGTCTTCCCGAAACAGGGATCCCCGCCTCCAGAATAACAGACTTGCTATGGACTTCAGGGGTCTCCAACCTTGGCAACTTTAAGCCTGGTGGACTTCAACTCCCAGCTTTGCTGGCTGGGGAATTCTGGGAGTTGAAGTCCTCCAGACTTAAAGTTGCCAAGGTTGGAGACCCCTGTTCTAGTCCAACCCTCTGCTCAGGCAGGAAATCCTATAGCGTTTCAGAGAAATGGTTGTCCAATCTCTTCTTGAAAACCTGTAAATGTCAAAGGCTTTGATATAACCCCAGAAGCTGGTCAGAGGCAGTAAACAGTAATCCAGAGGTTCTTGGGGAGGGGGTGATCCAGATAGACACGGAAGACATCTCAAGGGGGAGATGGGACACACTTCTACGCTTCTCTCTCTGCTCTTGCCCATGGCTAGGCCCCCCCCCTGGCGGCCCCTGAACCTTCCCAACAGGCTGCCCCTACATCACATACCCTTCCCAAATGTGGTTCCCCAAGCCTTGTGCCACTCCGGCCTGGCCAAAGGGGTTTCTTAGCATCTCTGGCGAGGCTGAAGGGCTGATCCTGGGGTGCCCAAGACTTTGCTCACTCCAAGATTGAAGTTTTGCTGCCCTGCAGTGGCTGCCCCAGCACCCGTTCACCCCACAGCACCCTCTTACCCACAGGGCAGTGGCAAAGGACAAAGGCTGAATCACATCCAGATTTTTACTTTCTTTTATTAATGCCTCTCCTGGTAACAGCAGGGCAGGCTTCGGGGGGAAGCTTACTTCTGAACAGCCTCAATGTTCATCAGCAGAGAACCAGCTCTTTCAGGGCACAGTTGCCCCGATGAACAGACCAGTGCAGCTGCTAGCCGAGGGCCAGGGGAGTGATGTCCGGATTGCCACTTTGGGTGGGTCCCCCACTTCTGACTGCCCAAACTCTGGAGACAGAAGCTCATGGCTGACGCAAAGAATGCCCAACATGATGGGTGCTTCCCAAATGCCTTCCTCCCTCTCCATCTTTCTGGGCTCTGATCCTGTGCTTGCTAAACCCCATCCTGGGAGCTCAGGAGAAACCAGCCCACCCTGAGACCAAGTACCACACCAGGAAAAGGAACGCCTTCGCCGGCAGGGCAAGGCCAGGCAGGGCCCGTTGGCAGCTGCCAGCTCCTTTGGTGAGAGAGATGGTGCCCCTTTGCTCAGGGCACAACGTGAGCTCAGGGGGCAGCTAAGGCAGAGCCACAGGCAAGGTGGTGTCTGGGCCAAGAGCCAGCCCAGAGCTGGACAGGAGCTCTCCAGGGCTGGGCAGGAGAGGGCCCGTGGGCTGAGCGGCTAAATTTGGCTGCTGCCCCAAGTGGCTTTGAGCACCGCCCCCCTTGCTGGATGGGCAGGGGGCTGCCGAGCAGCAGATGGCGTCCTGGAAGCGAGCCCACACCCGGGAGTCGCTGCTCCGGATGGCCTCGCACAGCAGCTGGGCCTCTTCCCGCAGCTGGGCCAGCTCCCGCTGGGTTCTGCTGTTCTGCCGGAGCAGCTCCTTGGTCCGTAGCGTGATGCCCAGCAGCCCTGACCTGCGCAGGATCTCCACTGTGTTGTGCAGGCGGTGCTGTCTCGCCAGGCTGTGTCCCCCCGGCCTCCTGGCACCCTTGACAGCCATCCTGTCCCCAGCAGGGGATAACCCAGCGCAGGACAGGGTGGGCCGAGCGGGTGCCTCTGGCCACACAAGGGCAGAAGTCTGTGAGTTCGCAGGCGACTCTTCTGGCGGTTTCTCGCAGCTGTCCTTTGCGGTGGGGGCTTCTGGAGATGCCCAGGCCTCCCCTGCGTAGAATTGCTTGTGCCTGCTGGGCTCTGCCACTGGGCTGGGTGCTTCCTCGGCCTGCCAGCCCAGGTGAGCAGCAATTCTGGGGTAAGCGCTGAGGGTGGGGAAGTGGATCTCCTTGACAGAGGGCTTCTGGCTGGGGAGCATGGGCTTCAGAGAGGCCATGGGCTCCTGGAGGAGGAGGAGGAGGGCTGCAGAGCTGTGAGCACCCTCCAGGGGGTGCTGGTTGCTCCAGGCCAGGAAGGGGGTCGTGGGGGACACTCCCAGGGTCTGTAAGAGAGCGAGAGGGAGTCAGAAGGGAGGCTTCCCTGGGCCACCCAATGGCATCCGATTCCTAGGGGCCATAAACACCCACAGGCAGGCAGGTCGGTGGTGTGGCCAGGCTGGGTGAGGGGGGGTGAGGAAGGGCCTGGCCCAGGTGGCCAGCCACACAGGCTACCTGTTCGAGGATCACATTCTTGATGAGGTAGAGAGGTGTGAGCCCACCAGGAAAGGTGCCACCCAGGAGCCTCTCCTTCGCTTTCTGCGACTTGGCCGGCCTTGGGGGCAAGGGTGGGCTGGCCGAGTCCTCGTTGTCCGTCTGCTCAATGGCACTCAGGCACTCCAAGCTGCCGTCTGTGCAAAGAGAGGGGGTGAAGCGAGTGAAGCCAGCGAGGGGACAGGCTGGGTGGCTCCTGGCCACAGAAGCCCTTTGTGGCTGCCACTCCTGCAGCGCCGCCCACGCCAACTCGGGTGGTTTTGAGGAGCGAGTGCGCCAGGTTCACCCAGCATCATGCGGGTCACCCTTCCGCTCCCAGGGAGAAGACCACTGTCCTCCTCTTGCCCCCTTCACCTCCACCCAGAGTCCCCAGCCATTGATTCCGCACCACTGGGACAGAGACCCTGCCCCAGCAAGGGGGCTGTTATAGCATGCCCCCCACCCCTGGGCAAGGGTCCATACCTGAAAATCCAGAGTCCTTTTCTCCTTCACTCACTGGGCAGCTGGGATTGGGGGGGGGGCAATTATGGGAGGCCCTTTCCATCTTCTCAGGCTGCCCCACGTGGCCCCCCCACTTTGAACCTGGCCTGGCCAATGGGCTCCTCTTGTGATGTGCAAGGCAGGAAGGGGGGCTCGAGGGCTCATTGGAAGGCATGCCTGCACCTCACACAGTCCTGTAAGGAGGCAAAAATAGGGTGGTGAGAAAGACACAGAATAGTCAGGACCCAGTTTGTGGGGGCAATAAGCTGACTTTGTATAAATATACAAAAGTATGAAGGCTCTTGCTTAACGCATTGTAAGCCGCCCTGAGTTTCTGGAGAAGAGCGGCATATAAATTAAAGCAAAAAAAAAAATCACCCCACAAAGCAGAATTCCCCTCCCCCAAAATGGCAACCAGCAGCATCTGGAAGGCTCCAGTTCACCCTTTGCCCCTGCTGAACCTGAAGTGCCCCACCGGCTGGCACATCAAGCACCCTGCTAAGGGCTGGGCAGAGACAGGCTGTTCTGCCCCAGCTACGGACCCCAAAGAACGCAGCACACACAAAGTCTGTACAAACTTTAGTTTACTAAAATAAAATCATTTTTTTTTTCAATCAAAGGCTGTTAATTAACTTTCTTAACAGCCTGCAAGAATCCAAAGAATAAATAATCTTAATCTTACTATGGTTGGCAGAAAGCCCAGAAGCAATTTGCAGAGAACCAAGATCAAGGCACGAAGGAGAGTGAACGAAGTTGTTCCCTGCAAATTGCTTCAGTCGGCGTTCCTCCTTAAATAGGCTAAGGGAGTGGCCAATTAGCCCCAAGCCTTACTCGAGGAGACCTCCTCCTGAGGAGCCACTCCTGCCTTTTGGCAGCTCTGCGCACCCGTGCACTGAGAAGAGGCTCCTCCTCTTCATCTTCTTCACTTAAGGGAGCTTCTGGAGATTCTGAAGGCGCTGGCTGAATCCCTGCCTCTGGCACCACATCTTCTCCAGTCTCATTGTCCGACTCAAGTGCCAGCCGCACAGGCCGCATATGGGCCACAACACAGGCATGCTAACAGGATACCCCCTATGCCCCCCAAGCAAGGACAGGTGGACAGTCACTGGATGAGGCAAGGAGCTGCAATCTGAAAGGGCAGAGCAGAGCAACTTCAAGGGCACCCCTGGTCTCCAGGGATTGAGCGGGGGTGGGGGGAGGATATATTGGGGAAGTCCATGTTAAATAAGGAGGGGCTGATCCCAGGAGCACTACCCTTGCACCACACAGCAGAGGCCACCAGTTGGTGCCAGCAGGACCCATTCCCCTGGGAAACTGCCATCCAACTGCCATCCACCTTCCCCTGTGCACTGGGAGTGTGTGAGGGGGAGTCTTGGCAAGGAAGGGACCTTGCCTGCATCTGGTCGAGGGGTCTCTCGTTAAAAAGAGAAGCAGCAAACAACCCTGGGCCCCATGAAGCCAACCCGGGGAGGGGGCACCTGCATTGGTGTGCCCTTGTGAACCCACCCATGGCGCTTCTGCCATCCGTGCTCGGCCTGGCCTTGCTTCCCCAGGAATGGCAGAGCCTCTCTGGCTGTGGCCAGCAGCAGGTGCCCTCTTCTTTCCTCCGGGAGGGGGTAAAGTCCCACCCTGCCCTCCGCTAGGGAGGGTTCCTGAGTGGGCGGGGCCTGGAGCACCGGGCAGCCCAGGGAGGTGGCTGATGAGACAAGTGAGCCTGCCTGGTGGCTTCCTCTTCTCTCCAGGCCCACAGTGGATTGTGGGCAGCGTTAACTTGGAGGCTGTGCAGCCATGTGCACTTCTCTCTCTACCTCTCAGCAGACCCAGGCCCACCTTAAAGACAGCCAGGCAGGCTAAAAGTGGAGAGGGTCGAGGACCTCCAAGGGGCTGCAGAAAGTGGCAGCTTCATTGTCTCCCTCCAAGGCCAGAATGCCAGACACACACACATACCCCGCCCGAAGCGTCCTTGGCAATGGGAGAAGCTGCTCTGGGCTACGCAAGCCATCCCTGCCCTTCGTTCTTGCAACCATCCAATCCAATGCACTCCTCCCCTCCCTCTCCCTGACCATCACCAACTCAGAGATGGCACCTCTAGGAGAAGGGCAGGCTGGTGAACGCAGCTCAGCCTGAACATACCAGGCTCTCCATGCCAAGCTGCTGATCCAGTTCTACAGAGGAATGACTGAGTCTGTCATCTGCACCGCCATAACGGTCTGGTTTGGCTCTGCAACCCAACAAGACAGACAGAGACTTCAGAGGGTAATTAGAACTGCAGAAAAAACAACTGTTACCCATCTGCTTTCCATGGAGGACCTGTAGACTGCACGAGTCATAAAGAAGGTTGTGAAAGTATCTACAGACCCCTCACCTCCTGGACATAAACTGTTTCAACTCCTACCCTCAAAACGATGCTATGGAGCACTGCACACCAGAACAACTAGGCACAAGGACAGTTTTTTCCCGAATCTAAACAAATAATTCCCTCAACACTGTCACTAAGGCTGCATTACTATTACTATTAAGTCTTCTCACCGTTCCCATCACCCATCTCCTTCCACTTATGACTGCATGACTGTAACTTTGTTGCTTGTATCCTTATGATTTATATTGATTTGTTTCCTAGTATGATTTGATTGCTTATTTGTTCCCTATGACTATCATTAAGTGTTGTACGTTATGATTCTTTTTTATTTTTTATTTTTATTTCTCATAAACACATTTACATGTACAGTCATTTTCATCATTTTTTATTCATCTTTTCTTTTAACCTTCATTTTTAATTTTTACTTTTTCGGGACTGCTCTTTTACCCTTTACCTTTACTCCAATCTTTCTTCTTCTCCTCCCTTTCTCTTCCTTCCTCTCTCTTCTCCTACTTCCTTCGTTCTTTCTCTCCTTCTCTTCCCCACTTCTAACCTTCTCTACTCCTCTTTCCCCTCTTTTCTTCCTTTCCTTTTCCCTTTCTTCTTTCTGTTCTCTCCTCTCCTCTCTTCTCCCTTCCTCTCTCTCTACTCCTTCCCCTCTCTCCTGTTGTTTCCCTTTTCAGTTCAATCTAAAGTGGTATTTAAAGTGTACTTTTAAAGTGATATTTTTCTTTTTTGTGTTATTTTTTGTTGTATGTATGTGTTTGATTTTTAATGTGTTTTTAATGTGTTTAAAATAAAAAACTTTTTAAAAATTAAAAAATAAAGTGTACCTTGATTCTTGATGAATGCATCTTTTATGTATACTGAGAATATATGCACCAAAGACAAATTCCTTGTGTGTCCATTCACACTTGGCCAATAAACAATTCAATTCAATTCAATTCAATTCTATTCACAGAAGGCATCTCTGCAGGCGTCATTCAGCCCTCCCTAAACGGTGCCCCCACCCCCGGACTGATGGGTTTTTAAACAGATTAAGAGAGTTGGAAGGGACCTTATAGGTCATCTAGTCCAGGAGACCCTACACCATTTCTGACAAATGGCAGCCAATCTTTTCTTGTGTGGTGCAGAGGGCTTGAAACATCTGTGCAGCACCCAAACCCCATCCTGCCCCAAACACTGAGATGTGGCCCACTTTGTTTAAAGCATGCCAAGGGGCAAGTCCCCTGTCTGCTCAGCCTTTCGGGAATGTCCCCTTGTTTTCTCCCGCTCTGGATGTGGTCCCGCCCTGCTCAGCCCTGTCTCCAGGGGGCTCAGCTATCCCCCAACACTGTCAACTCTCCGGTCCTGCCCCCACCCCATTCAGCTTGCTAGCCATGTGTCTGCTTAGCACAGGGCCTTTCGGGGTGGGTGGGGGGTGCAAGGAGAGGAAGGGCCCCGAGCAGAGAGGCTGCACCGCCTTTCCTAGGTCAAGCCAGATTATGTAACAGCACAGAGTGTTCCCAGCATGGCAAGATCCAGGCTTCCCTGCATGCCTTGGAAGTGGGTGGTGTGAGTTTATGTGGGGGAGGGAGGTGCTGAAAGGGAGTCTGGTTTCTGCTCCAGGAGAGTGGCCAAAGGAGGAGGGAGGGGCCACTGGCTGGATCACATGCTGCTCCTCGCATCCAGCCCACCCAGCGAAGCACAGCTCAGCTCCAAGCAATGAAATGCAGCGGAGGGGACTGAAAAAATCCCCCTACACACAAACACATACACCCAGAAGAGGGATTTCTAGCTCCTGCAGCTGATCTCTGGGTGAAGAGAGCCTGGAAGAGAGGCCGGTGCCTCCCCGTGCCTTGGGCAGCCCTTTTCTTTCCTAGGCCCACTCATCATCCCCACCACTCTCTGAAGCCCAGAAAGCAGATCCTCATTTGCAGCTGCCTTGCCGCATTCCTAGCAGCCAGACACTGGGTTGGGAATTCTGGCCCCGTTCGCGGGAACCCCCGTTTGCCGCATATCCAGGCCAGAGACTCTCTCATCAAGGCCTTCAAGAAACGATCACTAGCACTCCAGTCACCCCCCTTTCAGGCCTGAGTGAAAGGGACCCCCATCCGGCACAGTTTAGGAAGGGCACCCCAGCAAGCTAAGGGCACCTGGCCTCTTTCAGTAGCACCTTAGTTTGCTCTGCAAATCCCAGCTGTCCATCACAGCCTTGTGAAACAAGCTGCTGTAACTCCAACCGAAGGAGAGCAAGTTGGAGAAAAGAGATCTGGGCGATTAGTCTGCAGCCCCTGACTGAAGCGACCCCCCCTCCCCCACCAGCCGATTCCTCCTCCACAAGTGCTGGACTAAATTACCATCAACTATGGATCACAAAGGGGCCAGAAAATCAAAGCTGACTTCTGCTACCAGTTTAAGGACAGGGAGGAAAGGGGGGGGGGCAATAGCTGCAGACAGATCAGGGGCCCTTAGCTGGCTTCGGGGGTCAGCCTATCCCCTCCCCTGGGTTAACCTGCCCATCCACCAGCAGCCTCACCTGAATGGGGCAGAGACCCTCTCTCTCCTCCTCCGATGTCCTCGGCCATCTTTCTTCCACCATAACTGAGGAAAGGGAGGGGCACTGGCCAATGAAAGGGAAGCCCCCAGCCTCTCATGCACACGCCCAGAGACTTCTGCACACAGCAGGGGTCAGCAGGGCTGCCTCCCATCATGGAGCGCACTGTGCACGGCGGAGCAGAGGCACGTTTTCCTTTTTCCCTCTTTCCAAGGATCAAAATGTTTGGTCACCAATTTGGTTACCAAAACGATGTGAGACTTTGGGAAAAGCGCAGAGAAGAGCACTTTAGCCTTGGGGACTAAAGGCCTGGAGGCAGAAACCTGGGAAGGAGGGTTGCAGGATTTGGGTCTGGCCAGTCTGGAGAAAAGAAGGACGAGAGCAGGTTTGCCGTATTTGAGGGGGGTCAACTCATTCTCCAGAGCGCCCGAAGGCGGCGCAGGAAACCACGGGTGGGAGCCCCTGTGGGCCAAGGAGAGGAGCAACCTGGAATCCAACCCCCGGCCTCCTCTTCGCTCACCTCCCCCAGGAGGCCGCAAGGCCCCACCCGAGAGCGGGACCCCCACGGGGCCTTTCCGCTTCACCTGCTCAGCCAGGCAGCCAAGAGCCGAAATGCCGCCCCACCGGCACAACAAGCCACGCCGCCGCCGCCGCCGCCGCCGCCCCGCCCCAGGCTGTCCCCGGGCTGCCTCCGCCTCCATCCCGCCAGCGGCCCCGCTGCGAGACATCCGGCGCAGAAGCCTCCGGGGCGGAAACCCGACCGGCCGCCACACCGGAGGCGCAGCCAAAAGGCCGGGAGGGGCTGCCCCCCCCCACCGCGAGGGCCCCTTGGAAGGCGGGCGACGGGGCTGAGCCGGCCGCTCGGAGGACGCGGGAAGGCCGCGGGGGGAGGGGATTCCCGCACCCCGAGCGCGCGTCTCCAGTCCTCGTGGAGGTCCTACCTGCTCGTTTGGCGAAGCGAGCGGCGCCCGGCCACACCCTCCGCTTGATCGGCAGCCGCAGCGACTAACAGGCTGCCCTCCTGTCCCGCAGGGGGCGGAGCCAAGGGCGCCTCACTTCCCATTGGCCACATCACGGGCCTCTGGCTCCGCCTCCCGAGGCCGCTCCAGGCCAGGCGGCGGAGGGAGGGAGGGAGGGAGGGAGAGCGACCTTCGCGCGGCGGAACCGCCCCTTGAAGGTCAGTGCACGATTCTTGTGAGCCGCCAGAGCTGCCGCCCCTCCCAGCGGAAGAACTAGCGAGGCCCCGGGGCGAAGCGGCAGTCTCAGAAGTTCCGGAGCCGCTTCCCTCTCGCGGCGCAGGCGCCTTTCTGTCCCGCCGGCGGAGGACGATAGAGCACGGGTCGACAGAGCGCCGCGGCGGAAACGAGGCGCTCCGGGCCCGCCTCTCAGGGACCGGACCTAGCTGCCCCCCCACAGCGTCTGAAGTGGCGCGCATGCGCCAGACAGGCAAGCCTCTGATTGGTCCCGCAGCTGGACGCGGGACGGCGTCGCCTCCGCAAAAGCAGCCGGTAGGCGGAAATCCCACAGGTGAAGCTCGCTCGGCCTGCCTGAACCCAGGCCTCTGCCCCACCGGTGCAGCTCCGGCGGCGCGGTTGTCATCCGGCGGCGAGATGGGCGGCAGGTAAAATACACGGGAATCTGCCCGCCTCGCCGCTCCTGCTGCGCCCGATCCTGTTCCTCGCAGGCCCCGCCCGGAGGAGGCGGCTGGGAGCGCCCGCTGGCCGTCCGCGCTGAGCCCGGCCCGCCATGGAGGCCAGGAGGTTCGCCCTGCAGGCGCCGCAGGAGGAAGAGGTGAGCGCCTCCCTCTGGGCCACCCAGCTTCCCCTCCGCCACAGGCTGCGCAGGCAGCGGCTTTGGGCTCAAATCCCCCACCAGGGAGAGAGTCTTTATCATCAAGTGTAAATGCATTTGCCTGCGTTGAATGGCGGCTGCGCCAGTTGGAACTCAGGAGCTCTTTTTGCCAGAAACGGAGGAACCGCAGCCGTGTTCACAATTCAAACGGAATTGGGCGGATTCCTTTTCGGGGGGGGGGGAAACCAGAGAGTATTTCCGTGATTCACTTCACGAGATCAGTTAAGCCTTCTGCAACTTCTTTCTTGGGCCCATTCGAGGCTAATCCCATGCTTGCCTCCTGCCCTCCCCTCTGCCAGCCCCTCTCCTCCCGTTCCCCCTTGAATTTCGCTGAGTGATCTGTGAATCTCTTTGTGGATTCCTTTCCCTTGGCTCCGGGAGATTTGATTTAGATTTAGATTTTATTTAATTTGTATACTGCCGTTCTCCAACAGGACTCAGGGCGGTGAACAGCCATGATAAAACATAACACATAAAATTTTAAAGCAATTTTAAAAACATTAAATACTTGTGGCTATCCATTTAAAACAATTTGGGTCCTTAACTTCTATCCAGAGAGTCCCTCTGAGGGGCCGCCATCTCTCCTTTCAGCATCTGAGACGGATTCTCCCCCCCCCTTTTCCCTCATTCCCAGGTGAAGCCTCTCTTCAAAGCCGCTTCGGCAGCCAGAGCTGCAACGGTCCTTGCGGCCTCAGCTGCGCCCAGGGGGGCATCCTACGCAGACTACGTTGTTGGGCGAGCCATGGCCGCCTCTTCCTCCTCCGCTGCTGCTCAGGTGAAATCCACTTCAGCTGCTCCCACTGCATCGGCCAGGAGCATGTCAGAAGAAACCCCTTTGCAGAACCAGGACAAGGGTACTGTGCCCCCCCAAAAGCACAGCAGAAGACAAAGGCTCCCCCTTGAACCCCACCGCCCCCAAAGTGGGGGCCAAGCACAATGCTATTATCGTCAGTCCCCGGCAGGTGAGACAAAGCAGGCACACCAGCAGGGAACATTCCTGTTCAGCCCCCCATTTTGACAGCCTGGCTATTGCGAGGACAGAAGGCAAGTGTGGTCAGTGCTCAGGGACAGCTGTCCAGGAAGGTGGCAGTGACTGGGCGTGGCTACTCTTCAGACCACTTAGATTAGGGGGTCTAAGCAAAGCTGGCTGAGGGACTCTGGGAGTTGAAGTCCACAATTCTTAAAGTTGCCAAGTTTGGAGACCCCTGACTTAGATCACCTTGGGAACTGTTCAGATGTGTAGACTTAATCTCCCAGCATTCCCCAAACACTATAGGCACTGCTGAGGCCTTTCTATCAAACTGGCACCAGCTCCCATCCCTCCCTGTTCCTTCAGCAGAAGGCATGGCTTTTCTCCAATTCTTCAGGAGTTTCCAGGTACTGCTGATGCTTTTGGGAGTTTCTCATCTTGCTTCTTAGCAGTGGGCTGCCTGCCTTCTTCTGTGACCACAGGCAGGTGGGAATTCCTCTGCGGTGACTGAGGACTCTCTTCTGCCCTCAGAGGGGTAACCCCATTCTGAAGTTTGTCCGCAACGTGCCTTGGGAATTCGGCGAAGTTGTCCCAGATTACCTGTTGGGCCAGAGCTCATGTGCCCTTTTCTTGAGGTAAGGAGAGGAAGCCCAGGTTCCCTTCCGCCACAAGCTGTTCAGGTAGTGGCTTTGGGCTCAATTCCCCTGCCAGGGAGAGTGTTTTTATAATTAACTGTAAATGTACTTGCATCTATAGTAATATCTGTTTATTGCAAGCTTTGCCAGTTGAAACACAAGTGCTTTTTGCCAGAAACAGGGAACCCATGTCTGTTCACAGTTCAAAAGGAATTAGGCTTTTTCCTTTTCGAGGGGGGAGGGGGGGGAGGAGATCACAGGGTACCACACAGGAAACCATCTGACATTAGGTCATGCAAATTCTTCTTCCGGTCCAAAATGCTGTTTCCCCCTTGCTATAAGCAGAATGTTCTTGATTCTTTTCTTTGGAGCATGTTTCTAAACTTCCTACGATAAGAGTTGGTGAAATGAATAGCCTGAAAGGCACCAGCCGATTTTAGCCACATGGAGCTAGAGATTTAGGATGCCTATTGCAGAATCCAGTGCAGATCAGAATCGGGCCCCCTTTTTCAATCATTATTGCAACGTTATTGAGGTTTGGTAAAACCTAATCTTGATAGTGGTTGCCCCTTTGAAAAAGAAACTCCATTCTGACCTTTATCTTTGTAGCCTCAGGTACCACAACCTGAATCCAAATTACATCCACGAGCGGCTGCGTAACTTGGGGAAGACGTACCAGCTGCAGGTGCTCCTGCTTCAGGTTGACGTGGTGAGATGCAGCTCCCCCTCCTCCCCCCTCAGAATCCACCCCCTTCCTGCCTCAGGCAGCTGATTCTACGGATTTCCTTGGCCCCACGTTCCTTTCCCAGCCCAGTATCCACTAACAAAATCAGGCCCACAACGCTTCCATTCATTTTCTGGGGCTGCTGAGAGTTTGGCAGCTGCCGGGAGGCCTGCAGGGCTGGGCCTCTTGCAGCGGGAAGACGCTGGAGCGCAGGACCCCTTTCTGCCTTCCATGGCTGGCTACCTTAGCCGCAGTTCCTCTCTCCGCTCTTTCAGAAAGACCCCCACCAGACAGTCAAGGAGCTGGCCAAGATCTGCATCCTTGCTGACTGCACCCTCATCTTGGCTTGGAGGTGAGACCCCAGTGCTGGGCGGGTGGCAGAGACCTGGCTAGAGAAGACCCCCTACAAGGGGGAGGCACCGGAAAGCAAGTTTCTGCTTAAGGCAAATGCCCCTGCTCACATGGACAGTCTGCCTAGATTTTCCCCGAGACAGACAGGAATAACCTCATGAGCACAGAGCAGAGAGGCAGCTCTCCCAAGCTTCCTGCAATGGCTCTCTGATGCTGTCCCACCCTTAGTCCAGAAGAAGCTGGACGCTACTTGGAGACGTACAAGGCCTACGAGCAGAAACCGGCCGACCTGCTGAAGGAGAAAGTGGAGCAGGACTATTTGTCGCGGGTACGACCGCTTTCCTTTGGCTGGGGAGGGAGGAGGGCAGAGGCATCCCAGCCACCAGTTGCCTTGCGCAGCAGCTAAATGTGGCTGGTGCTGCAGCTGCTTTGTTCTCCCCCAGGTGAGCGACTGTCTGACCAGCGTGAAATCCGTGAACAAAACAGACACCCTGAGCCTGCTGTCCACGTTCAGAGTGAGCAAGCCAGTTCTCTGTGCTGGGGGTGGGCAGGGAGAACGTGGTGCTTTGAGAGCAGCACTTCCCAGCAGTGTACAAGCCGGAAGGGGTGGTCTGTGACACACCCACCCACCAAGGTTGTTGGACTCCACCTCCCATCAGCCCTAACCAATGCAGCAAAAGTGGGAGGAATGGGACTTTGAGCGATTTTTGCGGAACTACCTTTTATCCTTTGCCGTCAAGCCTCCTTCCCCTTGACTCCCAGGTGGGTGTTGGCATCTGTGCATTCGCTTCCTTCTGAGCTTATGGCAGGTCTGACGCCCGCAAATGCCCTGGGGATCGTCCCACTGAGTCCCTCTGCTGTTGCCTTGCAGTCACTAGCCAACATTGTCCGGGCGTCCAAGGAGGACCTCTCCCTGTGCCCTGGGGTTGGGCCTCAAAAGGTGAGTGGAAACTGTTGCCCCAAGCCCTCAAACCATCGGCTGGCACAGTGGAAGCCTCCCCACCTCCCACAATCAGAGGCTTCTAAGGAAAGCCGAGTCAGCGCCTGTGCAAGGGGCATCCCTCGCTTGCTGCCCTTAACCTCATGGCAACTGGTCTGTGGAGCCAGGACTTTCTCCCAAGAAGGGAGACCAGCTGGCACCGGGGGGGGGGGGGGGGAGCGGCCATTTTAAAGTTTGGACTCCCCAAAGCACCTAGACCCCTCCCAAACAGACTTGCCTTCACTTGCACCTCTTCTTTCTTTCCAGGCCAAGAGGCTCTTTGACATCCTTCATGAGCCGTTTCTGAAGGTGCCCAAGTGAGGAAGGGGCTCAAGAGCAGAAGGCGATGAGCCCAGGACAATTCACAATCTTCTCAGAAACTTCTTCCCTCAAAACTCCCAGAAGACCAACGAGAGCAACAAAACTCCCTCTCGGAGGAGAAAAGAAGCTATTTTGCTATGTGAACATTGCTTAACAAAACAGACAATAAAACACTGTCCGGCAGGAAAAAAACGAACAAGGCAGCCGCTCATTTTTAAGGGGAGAAATGGCAGAACCTTCAGAGAAATGCAAAGCTCCTGAATTTATTCAGAGTGGCAGACAGCGTGAATAAAAACATGACAACTGATCAACAACACTTTGCAGGAATAGAGCTGGCCGTCCCTCCCTGGCTGTTAAGTTCCTGCTGCATAGAGTCCAGCCTGGTCCTCCCTCTCCCTCCTGCCCTTCTTCTTCTTTTTGGGTCTGGGACTTGGGGCCGCCCCGTTAGTTTGCAATGGCTCTTCTGGCCCTCTCTCTTGCCAGAGAGGAGTAGCCCAGTCCACCTGTGTTTCTGTCCCCTGTTCCTGCAGGGGCTCCTTGTCCAGTTTCCCCTTTTTCTTCTTTTTGCAGGCCAGGAGTTCCCCAGCTGGGCCCCCTTTGTCTGACCCCAGACCCTCTTCCAGGAGACTCCCCAAACAGCTGATGTCCCTCGGCTCCTCCTTGATGGCAGCAACGCCCCACAGTCCCTCCACCAGCCTCTCTCGGCTCTTCTTTTTCTTCTTCTTGCAGTTGGGGAGTTCCCCGGCGGGGTCCTCTGGGGTGACCCCCCGACTCTCTTGTGCAAGGCTCCCCAGAGAGGGGGCATCCCCCAGCTCCTCTTTAAGAGCCACAATGCCCCACAGCCTTCCTGCCCCCTTCCCTGGGCTCTCCTTTATGTAACCAGCGAGTTCCCAACCAGGTTCCTCTCTGGGTGACCCCAGACCCTCTTCCAGGAGGTTCCCTGGACAGGGGACATCCCCCAGCTCTTCCTTGATGGCAGCAGCACCCCACAGCCCCTCTGCCAGCCTCTCTCGGCTCTTCTTCTTCTTCTTCTTCTTGCAGCTAGGGACTCCAGCAGGGTCCTCTCCGATGGCCCTTGGATTCTCCTCCGGGAGGCTCCGCTGACAAGGGACATCCACCGGCTCCTCCTTGATGGCAGCGGCATCCCAGAGCTCCTCTTGCATTGTCTTCTTTTTCTTCTTCTTCTTGGCTTTGCATCCGGCCAGCTCTCCTGCGCAGTCGCCCCCATCTCCCTCCGGCTCCCTCCCTCCCTGCCACCAGGGTTCCTGTTCAGGCGGCCAGTACCTGGAACTGGGATCTGGCAACTCCTCTGTCTCCAGGCCGGTCTTCCACTTCTCTCTCTTCCTGGCTCTCCTCCTGTCCGGCTCTTCCACCTCTCCCGACGAGGAGCCCTCCTCTAAGTGGCCACTTGGCCGGGCGTCCTGCCACAGCAGCTGCCCACCAAGCACTGGGAGCACGGCTGGCTCAGTTGCCGCCGCCTCCTCCTCCTCCAGGAGCGGCGGCTTGCTCCCAGCCCTCGCCCACCCTCCCAGCAGACCCCCTGCAGGCTCCGGGGAGCCCCCCAGAAGCTGCTCGGGACCTTCCGGCCGCCAGAGCGCCTGCTTCAAAGGCAGCAGCGGCCGTTTCTTGCCCCTCTTCCGGGCAGCCTTCCCTGCCGCTTCCGAGGAAGGGCGAGGGCCCTTGAGCCGGGCCCCAAAGGGGAAGAAGCGCTGCTTGAGTCCTTGGGGGAGCCGGGGCGGCGGCCTCTCTGCCACGGGGAAGAGGGCCCGGGCGGCGCCGGGCTCCGCGTGTCTCTCCTGGATCCTCAGGGAGGCCCCGAAAGGCCGGGCGCAGGCGAGCCGCTCCGGCCGGCCAGCGGCGATCAGCAGGCGGGCAGCGCTCTCCTCCCGGCTGGCTTGGAGCCTGTAGACTTTCTGGCTGCCATCTGGCTGCGATGCCCTCAACAGGGGGGAGCCCGGCAGCGCCAGGCGGTGGCCGGAGAGGCTGCAGGGGACGAGACGCAGCCGCTCAGCCCGAGGGCCTCCTCCGGCCCCAGGCCCCCCCCCCCCCCCCCCCCCCGACCCCCCCCCCCGCGCACCTCTCCGGGCGGAAGTCGGCGGGGGCGCTGATGAGCAGCAGGCGCTTGCCGGGCGCCCCCAGGCTCTCCGGGCAGAAGGCGGCCCCGGGGGCCAGGCGCCGCGCGCAGAAGTCCTCCGGGCACTGGAAGCGGGCGGGCCCTGCGGGAAGCACCGGCGCCGTCACGGGGGGCTCAGCGCGGCCCGGACCCCCCGCCCGCCGATCCCGCGCTGCCCCCCGGCAGACTCCGGGCCCCCCTCCCCCCACACGCGGCCCCCGCGCCGCCGCCGCCGCCGCCGCCGCCCCCATCTCTGCCGGACCACGTGCCGCGCCGGCGCCGCGCCTTCCGGGAGGCTGCACGCCGCGGACGGCAGGGGGCGCGGCTCCGTGCGGCCTACGCGGTGCGCCTGCGCGAGCGTGACGTCGTCGACATGGCCCCGCCCACGAGGAGCCTGGTCGCGCTCGGGAGGCCGCCGGGGAGCTTCGCGCGGAGCAGCCCAGGCCGGGAGGGGCGGCTCGTCACTCGGGCTGCAGGCCCATCATCCCAGGGCGCCCCGCCCAGCGGCGCGGCTGATGGGACTGGTGGTCCGGGCCTGGCCTCCCCCGCATGTCGGCTGCCTTCCCACCGCGACCCGAAGCCAACTCCGCCCCATCGATCGGAGGGGGGCGGGGGGTTGGGGGGCTGCACGCGGGGTGTGAAGCCAGCAGTCCCGGCTTTCCCCCTGCAAGGGAGCTCTGTGGGCGGCGGGGGTCCCTGGCCGTGGCCCCCAGACTCACGAGCGTCAGGCTCGGCGGCCCCATCACAAGCGGAGCCTGCTTGGCCTCGGCTGGCCCTGTGCAGCGCGCGGTCTGGCCGGTGGGTGTCGCTGTTGCAGCGGTGTTTGGTGCCCCGGGAGCCCGGCGGACAATGCGCGGCGGCCCGAGATGGAAGTTTCTTGCGCGATCCCCGTGCGTGAATCCAATACTGGCGGCCGGGCATGGGGTCAAGGGAAGCGGTCAGCAGCGCCACAAGCCACGGCCAGGGAGGAGGAAGCCCTGCCTGGGGAGGGCAGCCCTGGGCGCTGCTCCCACTAGTGCTGCTCAGTTCCCTTGGCCAAGGAGCAGCCACGGTGGGCAGGCGACCACAAGCCGGAGTGGGGAGGTTGGAGGGGGGCAGAGGGCGCTGCTTTGCCCTACAGCTAATTTATTTATTTGTTTAAATTTCTATACCGCCCTTCTCCAAATAGGACTCAGGGCGGTGCACAGCCTAAGTAAAAACAAAGCATACAAAAGTTAAAAAACAGTATTAAAATAATTAGATATTCTGGCCGTAAATTAAAACAACCCAATTTAAAACCAATTTAAAATTTAGCTCAAGCCAGCCCAGCTAGTTGAAATAAATAAGTTTTCAGGGCCCGACGAAAAATCCAGAGGTCTGTTATTATACGTAACAGACTGGTACCCACACCAGAAGAGACGGTGCCAGCCTGAGTGGCCTCTGCCTCCTGGCTGGAATGGAGCCTGGAGAAAGGAACCCGCTGTGTGGCAGTGCTGGCAAAGAGGAGGGCTTCAAGGGGGCTCTGGGGAAACCGAGGCAACTCCCAGATTCCACTGATCAAGAGATCTCAGCCCTTCTCTGCCCTGCCTCTATCAGAAAGCAGAGCCTGTGGAAGGCAACCTCAGTAAGGTGGTCCAGCTCCTTGGCCAAAGTAGGTCTGGAAGAACCAAGCCGGGGGTCATGGCCTGGGGTGCAGTTGGCGGAGGCCCCTGCATCTCCTCCCTGTCCTCCAGGGCCAAAACCCGGACGCCGCCCCCCCTCATCTGACGTCAGCTGTGGGTTCCTCCGCAGCGTTTCCCTCCAGCCCCTTCCCTCTTGGCCAGGAAGGGTTTATTCCTGTCCTCAAGGCCCTCTGCTTATGCACGGGAAGCCTCTCACGGCTCCTTCCCAAGAAGGACTCCCCGGTGGATGGCTGAAAATAGCCTCCCTCCCTCCGTCAGCCCTTTGGGGCTGCAGACAGAGTGAGGCCCACTGGGACCCCCTCCTCCCTTGTGAGTGCTGCACCTTCACTTCCAACCTCCCAGGAGCTGAGGGGGGCTGGGGGGGGCGCTGGTCCAGCTTCCTGTTTTCTTCCCTGGCCAAAGTTGCTCCTAAGAAAATCCGACTCCAGTCCCAGCCTTCACTGCTTGCTTGACCCCAGCAGTGTCAAAGGCAGCTGGCCTTAATTTGGCCCCTGGGCCTAAAAATCATTTTTCAAACTCTTTTTCTTCCAAATGTTTGCCTACCCTCCCAGGGAAGAGATTTCTGCTCAATGGACAGCAGGTGAGGGCAGCCCCTTAGAAAGCAACAAGTTGTTGCTCAGGCCTTCCCAACATGCAAGAGCTCTGGGGTCCTCCTCAGGGTATCCACGTGCCCACTGCCTGCAGCCTCTGGTGACTGAAAGGACAAACAGAAAAAAGACTTTGGGGCTGGTCAGCTGCAGGCATGACTTTCTCGCTGTAGGTGAGATTTACTTGCATGCTGCCTTCAGACCCTGGGACCCCCTGAGTTGGCTGCATTTTCCGATCTAAAAGTTTGGCCCTAAGATCTTAGGGCCTGGCATGTCTTTGCAAGCCCCCCTCATTTAGCATTTCCAGGCAGGGGGCATTCTCGGTCCTGAAGCCAGAGGCTGTAAGGAAAATGCCAAAGGGGGGTGGGCTCTATGGTTGGATGCGGCTTATAAGTGGCTAAAGGCTATTAGCTTTCCCCAACCCCTCCCACTTCCCACTGAGGGGCTTCCTAGAAACCCATCCTGCAAGGACAGTGATGGGGGGGGTGCTAATTTGAGCCAGGGCTCCGTGCCAGAAGATCAGGAAGCCAAAGGGCAGAGCAGGAACATGCCCATCAGCCCAGCCCCACCTCACCTTCAGGCTCCAGAGGTGCTGGGAGGGAGCCCGGCTGCTTCCCACCCACCCCTCCTCCGGCAGGGCTGGTCATATTTCACCACTCAGGCAGGCTGGGCTGTTTTGAAGGAAATGCGTTCCAAAGAAGCGGGGGCTTTTTCCTGAGCGTCCCAGATTGTAAACATCCCCCTGACCCCTCACCCGCTCCTCGCCTTCTGGCCCTGTCCTGGGGAAGCCTTTGGGAGGGAGGGGGGGGCTTCCGTTCCCCAGGCACTGCCCTCTTGCCTGGGCGGGCACCTGTGCGTCGGGTGAGTGGGCCGTGCCTGGGTCGTGCTCTTGCCCCCTTCCCTGTTTCTCTTGCCCAGCGGGAGTTGCCTCGGTCCTCAAAGGAGGCAATTGGCGAGCGCTGCTCTTGGGGGCTTCTGAGTGGGGAGGCAACAGGCATGCAGGAGAAATGGAGAGGTGGGCTTGTGGCAGCCCCTGCCTGGTTCAACCGAGTGACAGGCTGGAACGCAAGAGCCATGGTAGCTGGATGTAGCAGGGCCCAGCGAGCTCTTTCCCCAAGGCCAGTGGCCCCGTCCTCTGCCCCCGCAGCCTGTATCCGTTCTGGGATGTTTCCAGTGTAGGATCCAAGGCTCCAGGCGGCCAAGCCCAGAGACAGCTTGATGACCTCTTGCAGAGCCCATCCTTGGCCAAGTGGGAAGTGTCGGGAAGAAAAACTGTTTTTCTTGGTGTTTTTCTTCAGGGGGAGGGAGGGGGGCATTCCTGGAAGCCCCTTGCTGCTGCTGCTCTGCCTGCAAAGCCGCCTTGTGTTCCCTGGAGGCCGCCAGGCTGGCCGAGAGGCCGGCTATTCTTCAGCCATCAGGAAAGTTTACATCTCGCAGGATAAATGAGTGGCGTTTCCCGCTCTGTTTACAGCCAGGGATCGGCCGGCCGGACAGGTCAGGGCAAGAGCAGGATTGATGGGGACGCGGCGTGACTGCAGCCGGTCCTGGGGGGACACTTTGTCTCTTGGTGCAGATCCGGATGCCTGTGGGTGGGGGGGGAGGAGAGGCTGCCCGCCAGAGGCCAAGAGGCTCGGACAGAGCGTGCGGGTCCAAGCTGGCCCTGCCAGCCAGGCTGCAATCGGGACTCCTTGGATTGGAGCACGCACACCGCACTCCCCAGAATTTGTTGTGTTCCTGAAACAACACCTGGCTGATAGATGGCTGTTTTAGGTCTTTATTTTTAAAATTTGTAGGCCATTCATCTAAGCATCTTACAATATATTAGACTTACCAGATTTAAAAATTCAAATAAAAATCCAAATACATAACATAATAAGCACGTTAATCAATACACACGAGAAAGTAAAGAACTGAAAAGGAGGCGAAGGAGTTAAGTGTCTTTATGCAGCATATACATTTCAAATTAAGATATATCAAAAAGCTTTAGAAAACAGACCAGCCTTTGCCCAAGGCCAAAAAGAAACTTTGAACATTTCTTCGTCATTCTAGTGCTGGCAGAAATAAAACTGGAAGCAGAGGAAGAGGCGGCTCCAACTTGTGCACAGAAGGGCTGGCTGTTCACTCCTCCTGGGTTTAGTCTGCAGGCCTGGGATCTCCAGGTGGTCTCACATCCCAGTGGAGGCCCAGCTTTCCTTGGGGTCTTTTTCAAGGTCAGCCCAGATACAAACATTAAAAGGGGGAAAACAAACCAATGGCAATGGCTATGAATTGGGGTACCCAGTGCCCAGCATGGGGGCCTGGTATCCACTGAGCCGGTCTGAGGATGGTGGGGGGGGGGTCTCCTGCCTCTGAGCTGGTGGGGAAGGAGGGGTGAAGCTTATGTGCTAGTTTGTGATGGGGGCTGGGAGGGGTGAGATGCTGCCAGTTTCCTCTCCCACTTCACACCTAGGATGGAGAGAAATGGGGGAGGGGTGGATGTTGCAGAACCCCAACTATGACGAGGGAGACGTAGGAACGATTCTTCACCCTCCAACTCCACCATGGTGAACGAGCTGACTGGAGGGTTCCCCTACGGTATAAGATCTCTCGCTATAGGCGGGGTCAGGCTAGAAGACCTCCAAGGTCCCTTTCAGCCCTATTACTCTTATGTCCTATGTCAGGCGTCTCCAGACTTGGCCACTCTAAGACTTGTGGATTTCAATTCCTCAACCAGCATGGAAGCCCACAAGTCTTAAAGCGGCCAAGTCCAGAGAGCCTGTTCTATGCTCTAAGATGACGCTTGGCATCCCAACTCCCTCCCTCCAGCTGTCTCTCCACCTGGTTTGATGCGGTTCCAAGGCTGAATCAGGGCTGTGTTTCCTGGATCTCCCCCTGCATTTTCCTCCTGAGCCGTGGCTCCTATTGCTCCTTCCCTCGGCCTCCCAGAAGCCCCAGTTGGCACAAGACTCCATCAGCCCTGAAATAGTCCTGGCCTCGAACTGGGCTGAGAGGAGCATCAGGATTTCGGATCCACCTGTTGGTTATAGGCATGGGGGGGCCCTTCAGGTAGTCTAAGAGTTGTTGGATTTGTGCCCCAGCCCCCTTTCTACCCCCTCCCCAGCAATCACCCCCAAATCCAGAGCACCCCAAAGGCAGTGGTCTTTTGCCATGGCCACTCCAGGTGGTCATAGGGAGGCTGCTGCCCGTCCGGCTCTTGGCCATTTGCAGGAGGCCTGCAGCCCAAGACCTGAGCGGTCGTGTCCAGCAGGCAGCCGCACTCCTCCTCGGCAGGTGAGCACCGTAAGGCAGGGCTTCTTGGGAAAGGGCAGGGTAGCCCTCTCGCCAAAAGGCCAAGAATGTCCGGTTGGGGTCCTCACAGCTGAGCTTCAGCCTCCTTCTCTCTCTCTCGCTGCAGGCGGGGGGGCCTCCGGCGCATCCGGGAGATGCAGGCGAGCCCGAAGTGCGAGAGGCGGTGCAGCTGGACGCGGACACAGAAGACTTCGCCAGTGGCGATCTCGGAGAAGAAGGCCCGGTCTTGGCAGACGCCTGTCTCAGCCCCCATCAGCTCCAGGCTCTCCAAGGCCGCTAGGATGAGCTGCCGCTGGGCTTGGCTCTGCAGGCCCCGGACATCCAGCAGGGCTGACAGGTGCTTCTTTCTGGGGGGAGGGAAGAAGGGAGATGCAACAGGAGGACACCCACCCCGTCATCCCCCCGGGGACTTTGGGCGCCAGGGCTGGCAAGCGTGGCTGCGCTGCATGGCTTCCTGAGGGACTGGGCTTGCATGGGGGAGAATGGGGAGGGAGTACAGGTAGTCCTTGACTTATGACCACAATCAAGCCCAAAATTTCCGTTGTTAAGAGAGACAGTGGTTAAGTGAGCTTTCTCCCATTTTACGACCTTTCTTGCCATAGCTGTTAAGCAAATCACTGCAGCTGTTAAGTTAGCAACCCGGTCGTTAAGTGAATCTGTCTTCCCCATTGACGTTGCTTATCAGAAGGCTGCAAAAGGGGGACACAGCAACGGTCATAAATACGAGTCAGCGTCCAAACATCTGAATTTTAATCACATGACTGGGGGGGGGATGCTGCAAAGATTGTAACTGTGAAAAACAGTCATAAGTCACTTTTTTCAGGACCATTGTAACTTTGAATGGTCACTAAACGAGCTGTTGTAAGTCAAGGATTCCCTGTATGTGGCTGAAAATACTGGACAGCCGAGGCTATAGTGGGGGAAGGAAACTATTAGGCTGAGGGCCTTTCCCCCACCGACCCACATCAGGCTGAGGCAGCCTGGGGCTTCACCTGCTGGGGGTGCAGAGGAAGGGAGCCCCCGAATGCTCACTGGACCCTCAGGAGCCACACAGCCAGAAAGAGGCACCTGGCTGCAGGCAGAGGGCTGGGGGGGAGGGGGGGAAGAATAGCAAATCTCCCTTGTGACCTGGGAGAAAACCCACCCTGGCACCTTCCCCCAGGGAGCCCCTCCCAGCAGTGGGGGGAGCTATGCAGCCGAGTCCCCCCAGGACTCTCAAACGCTGGACGGGCGCCCTTCCTGGGGGTGTCCAGGCTCTGGGCTTCTCGGGGGGGGGGGGTGGCATTTTGGAAAGCCTTCGTGTCTGGGGACGGAATTGCCCCCCCCCCCAGTCTCCCTGCCAGCCCCAGATGGGGTGAGAGAGCACAGGAGGCTCCCCTGTCCCGCAAAAGAGTTTACTGAAAGTCCTGCTGGTTCAGATGCTCCTTAACCTCAGGAAGTTGGCCACACAACCAGCCAGGCCCGGAAGCAGCCCTGGAGTGGAGCTGACAGCATGGTTCCCCTGCCCCATTTTTAGGAAGGCCCCTCTGCTCCTCCAAACTACCCAGCCAGGGCAGCTTAGAAGGGGTGCTGGCATCCTCTGCTCGGGCTGGCAGGCACACTCTGCCACCTCCGCAAGCTGGGCACCGTCGTGGGGTGAATCCCCACTTTCCCAATGGTTGGCAATTGGCACGTCTTGGGCACCGAGGAGGCTGGTGGGCAGCCCTGAGCCAAAAGATTCTCTCCCGAAGACGTGCCAACAGGCCCTTCGCGCCCCAGGGGAGCTTCCGGGCATCCTGGCAGAGCCAGTGTGGTTCTTGTCCCGCTGCCAGCCCCAAATGGCAGTCTGGCAGGAAATGGCCCCCAAACTCTGCTTCCTGTCTGAAGCTCAGCCACTTGTTTTGCTCTGCTGGACGGCTTTATTCTCTCTCTCTTTTTCTTTCAAGAAACAAGAAGTCCAGATAAAACAGGAAACGTCCATCAGCCACCCTTAACGGGTGATCTGCCGCCTCGAAACAATTCCTAAGGATGCAATCAGCAGGAAGATGGAAAGAAAAACAAGGGGGGGGAGGCATGATAAGGCCTGGCTTGCACCCCCACCCCCGTGACGCAGCCGGCTGGTAGCCAGCAGAGCCGTGTGGGCAGAGCAGGGAAGGGAAGGGTATTTATAACTCCCCAGCCGCCTGGTCCTGGGAACTGGAAGTGACAGTCCTGCTTCCAAGAAGCGGTTCCTTTGGGGAAGGCAGAGAAGGACACGGAGGACTCCCTGCAGGAAACCTGGGAGCGTCATCTACCTGCCTCAGTTTCCACTGCAGAGATCAAAGAGTCCTCAAGGGAAGAGGGGAACAGGCAGAGGCTGCCAAGGGGCAAGGGGGCTGCAGCCACCCAGCATCCTTGGAGCCGAGAGCAGAGGGTCAGGGCTCCGAGTTGCTTGGCACAGCGTCTGCTCCTGGTAAAAGGAAGAAGATGGGCACAACAGTAGAAAACTACTAGAGGCTTGTAGTGGTGGGGAGAGCAGGACGCCTGGGTGGTCTCTGGAAGCCCACGGCTGAGGGAGGTGGGGCTGGGCACGGACACGTCCTGTATCCCCAAAGTCTTGTTCCTTCCTCATAGAGACGTGGCCACTACTCTGTTGCAATGGGGTGGGGCAGTCTCTGGGGAGGAAGGAAGGGGGTCTTAGCGGCAGCCCCACCCTGAACCGCTCCTTTGGGAGGTAGGGGCACATCTCTCCCTCAAATGCCAATTCTGAGTGGGGCAGCAGCCTCCCCACCACTCAATGGATGTATCTCGGGCGTGCTCTTCCATCCAGATCCTGGCTCTCAACGGGACACACTGTGGAACGGGCCAAGCTCTAGCCCGGGCAGGCCCAGTTCACTGTGTGGCCCAAGGCTTGAGCAGAGTGGAGCCTCGGTTGAGTCCTTGGGAGCCCAGCTCTTTGGAAGGAGTCCATGGATTGATGCAGGGTGACCCAAGGGTGAAACATGGCAGGTTTTCCGGGGCTGTGGTTAGATGCAGGGGAGGGAGAGGCCGAAGTGTTGCCTCTTCTGGAGCCCAGCTTGGCAAAAGAGCCACGCCAAAAAGAGCAGCCCTATAGCCCTGAACCTAGAGTGGGGAGAAGGTGGAAGCCAGTCCTGCAGAAGCTGGGTTCAACGGCTCTTCTCTTTATCTCCTTCTTGAAAGCCTCCATGGATCTTCTGGCCATTAAGCCAAAGAGGATGTTGGCCCATGCAGTTGCAAGGAACCCACGGCTCCCGGGAGGAGGCTAGATTACAAGTTCCATCGTCCCCGTGCATTAGTCACATGACTGGGGATGGTTGGTGTCTTGTTCCATCTCTGGAGGTGCAGCCCAGCCTCCAAAGCTGAGCTCCAGCCTGCCAAGGGACCACTGACCAAAGGGGAAAGAGGCTCAGGGTGACCAAAGGGATGGGTGGCCAGAGCTGAGATCCGATACACCGGGAGGACCCCAGACTGGGGAGGGATCACTTTAGGGAGGGAATAGGCCAGCTCTCTCCCATATGTTCAGAGGCACCAGCAGTGGCCCAAATGGCCTTCACCCTGGTCAAGAGGAGCCTTGGCCTACTCCAGCCAAGCCCCTGGAGGCCTCGGGATGGGAAGGCAAGAGGGTCTGCACATGCTCTGGGGACCCCAGGCCGGTTCCCCTCCCACCCCGACTCACTGCACGTCAGGAAAGGCCCTGGCCAGGAAAGCCACTTCCATCTGGATGGCCGGCGTGTCCTCCAGCTCCAGGATCCCAGCCAGGTGGGGCACCACGGAGTCCAGCCAGGAGGAGGAGGATTCCTGCAGGAAGGGAGGAGAGGCAGTTAATGATGGAGAGGCCCTCGCCTGTCCTGGTGGGAGGGTTGTGCAAAGAAGCACCCTCAGGAAGTGGCCTTCTCCCGACTCTCTTTGGGAAGCCAAACGCCTGTGACCAGCCAGAGGTCAGGCGAGGAGAGGGACGTTCCTCGGGCTCTTCTTCCCCCTCCTCCTTTATTTCCAAACCTCTGGGGGGGGGGGGCTGCCATGGGGCAGGGCAATCCTGCCTGCTGACGTCTACCCTCAAGGAAGGCTGTGAGCCCCACTGCTCACCAGCTGAATGAAGAACTCCTGCAGCTGCTTGGCCTCGCTGCGGAGTCGGTGGGCCACCTTGGCTCTCATCTTGGACGAAGTGCAGATGATCCGCACTCGCATCAGCGGCCGGACGTACTCGATCAGCACCCGCCGGTGCACCTCCCTCACCAGCATCTGCCGGGGGGGGGAGGGGTGTGAATTAGAGCTGGCAGAGGGCCAGGACTTCTGGGGCAGGAGAGGGCAGTTTGGGGGCAGCCCCACATCCCTGGTTTCTCTTTGGCACGAGGCATGCGAGAGGCTCTTGGCTCGCCCTCCATGGCAGTCTGGGGTGCAGGTGCTCGGAGGGGAACCGGCTCCTGCTGGGAGAGGTTGGGCAGAAGAAACCAAGCCAGGCTGCACAGAGGCCTTACTGGACATCCCACCTGGCCCCGCCGGGAAGCCTCCGAGTGCCCTGAGAGAACGGTTGGCTGGAGGGGAGGGTCTCCCTGTTCCCACCTGGTAGGGCCCCAGCTTCATCCTCCTCAGCTTCTGAGCATGCTCCGCCAGGAGAGCCATGATGGTGGAGAAGGCCTCGGGGTTGCTGAGCCATTTCCTCTTCATCAGCTTGTAGAAGTAGGGCTGTTTTGGGGAGGGGGAGAGCAGGGAAGGGACCCTGTCTCAGATGCAGCCTCAGAGCAGGCCCCGTTTGAGGGCGGGGGCTTCCCTGGCTCCAAGCAAAACCCACTCGTGACAGCTCACCCCAAGGGAACCCACCCGCCGATCCTGGCAGGCCACCTTGATGGGTTGGGGTGTTCTTGTGTCAGCCGATCCGATAGGTCTGTTCTCAGAACAGGGAGGGAACAAACCATGGTTTATGGGGACCATGATCCAGTCATCTGATTGGGGCTCAGCAGCACAACCCTCCCTGCCTCCCCCTCCTCCTTCCAGGCCCCGGAAGACCCTCCGGTTACCTTGAGGCTTTGGAAGAGCTGGTCAGCCAACACTCGGTTGCACAGCCGGGTCACTCGGTCGAGGGACAAGCCTGCCAACTGCTTCGCAGCCTCGCTGTCTGGGTGGCCAAACCTGGCCAGGTGCTCCAGGTAGTCCCTAGAAGAGCAGCCCCATCAAGCGAGCTGTGTGCGAATTGCGCAAAGGCAGCCAGGCTCACAACGGGGGGTCGGGGGGAGAACCACCGCCTTTCCTCCCCATTGATTTGTGGGGAGGACTGAACTGGACGGAAGCGGGGGGCACAGTGAGGAGGGCTTCCCTGTTGGCTTAGGTCCAGGCCTGGCCACTCACCTGAAGGGCGGGCAGCAGTTGACCAGCATGATGGTCCGGCCCATGTAGCTCTCGGGGCTGAGGCTGCTGACCACCTGGCCTTCATGAAACTTTTCGACTTTCTTCTGGAAGCTGAAGGTGGGGGGGCAAAGAGGATGCCGGTAGGGAAGACTGTCTGGGAGCAAAGTCGCAAGGCCCCTGTTTTGCCTGGCTGTCAGTGCCACCTCCCTGCCCTGACGTTGGCCCCTCCAGCACAGGAAACCCCCTCCCTCCATTTTTGCACCAATCCCAGATCAGAACTGCTAAATCGAAGAAATGGGCCATCTCTCTCTCAACCCAGAGGGGCTGGTTCACCAAAGACCCCCTGGGCTCTTTGGCCACTTCTGGCATGCAGGAAGACCCCCAGACACACTGTGGCAGCTGTCCTGGGGGGGTCTTATTGCACGCACAGCCACAGCCCTCTCCACAACCCCCTTACCCCACCTGTGCTCAGGGACTCTGCAATGCCCGCCTGCAGCCTCAATTCAGACAAACTGCAAGCACACTCGGAAGCCAGAGCTCTCAGAAAACAGGCACGTCAGGAAGCCAACAGCTAAAATTAGCCTCTGGCCGTCCACCCCAGAATCCCTGACCGCTGGGCCCTTTGGCTCCACCTCGCTGGCATTTCCTTATAAATGGGCCACAGCGGCTATTTATGCCCCAAAGTGAATCTATTCCTGGCGGCCACTTTGAAATGGAAATTTTGTGGCATGTTCAGCCCATCACGTGCCCACCCTGTGCCACCTTCTATGTTTCTTCTCACACGGAAAGCACGGTGTGGTTGGTCAGGTGCCGGACACCCCTCAAGGAGCGAGAAGGACGACTGGCAGGCTCTTTGTGGGTCTGGGGGCAAAAGCCAGACGTGCCCTCTGTGGTGCCGCCTCTTGCTTTCCCCCCGCAATGGTGCTTCTCCCCCTGACCTGCCTGTCTCGGCCCCCATGGAACAGCGCAGACCCGTGGCGGCTGGGGCTGAGCTCAGACCAGGAAAACTGGAGGGCTCAGAAAGAAACTCAAGACTGCTCCACCTTTAGCCATATCGTGCCAGAGGGAGGGAAGGGGGGCGCCACCAGCTTTTCCCAGCCCTTGGATCCTCACTGCATCCCACCAGGGAATAGAAGCCTCTAGGACCAGAGCTTAAATTTTGGAGGAGAGGCACTCCCAGCTCAGACAGAGAAACGGCTGGTCTGTAGCTTGGCAGTCACTTTGGAAGAGAAGAAAGCCAACAGATGCCCCCCTTGAAGACCGCTTCCCACGGAGGGTCTGGCTACAGAGGCTGCAGCAACTGGGCGCCTCTCTTGTGCCCCGTGCCCAGCTCCTTGCTGGGCAATAGTACCTCTGCAAGAACTCCGCCAGGCCGGTGAGGCAACAGTGGGCCACCCTCCTTCCAAAATCCTCCGTGATCTGTGGGGCTTTGTCAGCATGCCCCTTCAGCACCTGCAGGGCAAGAGAAAGACTCAGCAAAACCCACAAGGCCTCTGGGGATATTGGGGGTGGGCAGCCTTCCACCTGAGATTGGGGAGGGGGGAGCTTCCTGTGGCGAGAAAGGGGGAAGAGGGGCAGCTGCCCCCTCTGCTGCCAGGGTCAGCATGCCATCCTCAGAGGGACCCTTTTTATGCCTGGCCTCTGATGCTATCTGTGCACTGAGCTGGCATTCTCCAATAGTCTGCAGTTCCCATCATCCCCAGCCAGCAGGGTCACGCATGTTCCAGTGGCCCAGCATTGCAGAGAAGGGACTGGCCCAGGTGTGGGGACAGATGGCAGCTCCCTTTGCCCTGTGGGGATCGTTGGGGGGGAGGACGGACCTACAGAGGTGGGGCCAGGATAGAAAGAAGCCCAACTGGGGAGCTTCCTTCTTGCATGCCCACAGAATGCCAACCTGGGGTTTTTTATCCTGGTTTGGGGCATAAGCGTCAAGGCCTTGCTCAGCCAGGGGAAGGGGCAGTTTCCCACAACAGCAACTCAGGCTGCTCGGCATTGTGTCAGAAGCCAGCCTGAGCCTTGCTGACCAAGGTGAGCTAAGCCCTTGTCCAGTTCTTCAGCCAGGCCAATGGACGGAGCTCCCAAGGGTCAGGCCAGGGCTGGAAAGCGGAGGGAAGCCTCCCTCGGTGGGTCTGCTGTGGGGCCATTTCCTGTGGGGCTGAGTGTCCTGGAAGGAAGCCGCCTGCCCGAAGAAGAAAAGGGGGGTGAGATTCCAGGGCAGGGTGGGGACCCCAACATACCAAGATGACTTTGCTGGACAAGCCGAACTGAAAGCTGTTTTCCTTGTCTTCCTGCGCCCACCGCTCTTCCTCTTTCTGCAGCTCTTGGCTCATGTCCCTGGCGATCGTCACCTGCAGATGCCCCAGAGAGAGTTCACAAAGGGGGGCTCCAAGGTGACGGGGGCACCCAGGGCTTGCAGCTTTGGGGATTCGAGGGAGGTGGGGAGACCTCTTGAGGTCATCTGGCTACCTGTCTCCTCCCTGAGACTGCTCTGAAGGAGATTTTTAATGGCTTTATACCGTTTCTATAATTGAGCAGGGTTATGGTGGATGTCCAGGATTAACTCTGGGGCACCCTTGTAAGGAAGGGCACCACCACCTGTGCCCTGGGCCCCGGCCTTCCACCCTGCAGGGAGTGGGACCCATGTGCCTTGTGGGATAATTTAAATCACCCACAAAGACACACAATCCAGCTGCCCTAGATAAGCAGCTCCTTGTCTGGAGCAACCTGGCTGAAAATGCTCCCTTTTAGAGGCCAGATAGGAGAGAAATTCCCTATAACTGCAAGTGGGGGATTTTGTTCCCACTTTGAATGCCATTTGCCTGTCTAGAGCCTCAATGGGTTCCCCCCCCCCCCCCACCCTGCACCTCACCCCGGACCGGCCATTACCTTCACGGCGGCAATGCACTGCTCCTCCAGACTCTGCTGCATTTCCGGGCACAGGAGGGGTCCGAGCTCCTGGGGCTTGACCAGGGGGGAGATCTCTGGCCGGCTGAGGACCTCCCTGTGGTAGAGGGGGAGAGGGGGGGCAGTTCTCTGCACAATCCAGGCTCCTCCATGGTGTCTGAGTGGCGTCACCTTGCCAGCTCTGGGCCCAGAGGCAGCCGGGGCATGGCCGGAGGGCTCTGCTCGGGGGGGGGGGCTCCCCCTCCCCCATGGGGTCTCTCACTGCCTACCTTTGGTAGATGTTGCTGTTCCAGTCCAAGACGAAGTAGAGCTCGGAGAGGCTCAGCTGCTTCTGGACCCCTTCGGCCAGGCAGCGGGCCAGGCCCCGGTGGTAGCTGCCCAAGTAGACGCCGAAGGCCTGGTACTCCTTGGGGTAGGCCTGCAGCAGGTGGCCCCTGATGCTGCTCAGGTCCTCCACTGTGCACTTGGCCAGCCGGTCCATCTGGGTGGTGATGGTGCCCACTCGGCCCTCCATGCACTGGCACAGCTTCTGGCCCACCAGCCGGTCCACTGCCTCGGCCCACTGCTGCCTCATCTTCCGCGGTCGAGCCCCGGGGGCCCCCGCGGAGTCTCCCTGGGCCTGGCACCACCTACGGTCGGCCTCCTCCTCCTGCTCAATGACTTGGACCAGCTGCTCCAGGGGCGGGTAGGAGCTCTTGGCAGCCAGCGCCTCGGCCAGCACCGCCCAGAGCTCCTTCTGCAGCGCCTCGTAGAGCAGGGCCACATCCTTGGCCTTCCGGCTGCCGTCCTTCCCGCCGCCCTCCTGGGCGCACTCGGCCTCCAGCTCCACTATGTGCCGGTCAGCCAGGCGGAGATCCCGCTGGTGGATCAGGTGGAAGATCTCCAGGACTGAGCGAGGGACACAAGGGGGAAAGGAGGCTGAGGCTGGGAGGGGACTGCCCCTGCTTTGGGCAAAGAAAGAGGGGCTCTGCTGCCTGAGCCCCCAAGTGAAAAAAGGCTGGGACTCGAAGCAGGCCAAGAATCAACCCAGCAGCTCCCTAAAACCATAAATATGCAGTGCAAGACCGGAGGACGTGGAGAGACCCGGCCCTAGAATCGATAGAACCGGACACAACTGAATGGAGACCAACATCATCATCAAAATAATAAAGGCCGAGAGATGCAGCATTGTAAACCTGTGGGTACCTCCATCGTTTTTAAGAAACCAAACAGGTCCCGAGGGCCGAAACTCTCAGAACCGCTGCTCTGGCCTCCTAAATCAACCTGACTGGTGGAGTGGTGGACTGCCTGCCTAGTCTAGGTTTGCCTAGGTTTGGCTCTGCAACCCAACAAGACAGACAGAGACTTCAGAGGATCATGAGAACTGCAGAAAAAGCAATGGCTACCAACCTGCCTTCCATGGAGGACCTGCCTACTGCACGAGTCAAAAAGAGGGCTGTGAAAATATCTACAGACCCCTCGCATCCTGGACATCAACTGTTTCAACTCCTACCCTCAAAACGACGCTATAGAGCACTGCACACCAGAACAAATAGACACAAGGACAGTTTTTTCCCTGAACGCCATCACTCTGCTAAGCAAATAATTCCCTCAACACTGTCAAATTATTTACTACGTCTGCACTACTATTAATCTTCTCATTGTTCCCGCCACCCATCTCCTCCCACTTACGACTGTATGACTGTAACCTTGTTGCTGGTATCCTTACGATTTATATTGATATTGTTTCCTGATTGCTTATTTGTACTCTATGACTATCATTAAGTGTTGTACCTTATGATTCTTGAGGAACGTATCTTTTCTTTTATGTACACTGAGAGTATATGCACCAAAGACAAAATCCTTGTGTGTCCAATCACACTTGGCCAATAAAAAATTCTATTCTATTCTATTCTATTCTATTCTATTCTATTCTATTCTATGGACAAGGCAACTTGCTGCCCCCTTCCACGGCTGGCATGCTTGAGGTGCCCCTCCTGAGAAGAGAGATCCATTGCTGGGGGTCACAAGACCCCCCCCAACCTTTCCTATGTGCCAGGGTGGAGTAATTGGGGCCAGTTGGCTTCCTTGGGAGAGGCCCTGGAATCAGAAGGGGCCTGGTCAGCCTTGAGGGGTGGGGAAGAGGGTCCCAGGCTTGGCGTACATCCTCTGCTTGCCGGAAGTCCAGATCTGCACTCCGGTCTTGCAAGAGTTTCAAGGCAGCCCTCGCCCTCATCGTCATTGCAGGAAGGAGCCTTCCTCGCCTGCAGCCGTGGAGGGCCGAGGGTCTGGCTGGTCTAAAAGCAGCCACTTCCGTTTCCCTGCCCTCCGCTGAGGGGAAATGCCCCAGACGAGATGACGCAGCCTCCTGCCACCACCATGACTTGACCTTATCAGCTGAACTGCAGAGATCAGCTGGGGGGAGGGGAAGGGGCTCGCAGGGCAGGCAGGGCTCTTTCCTCAAACAGTTTGATTCACAGGCTGAACCTGAGAAATGCTCCCAGGGGCCCTTTTCCAGGTCTCAAGCCCCTCTGAGAAGGGCTTAGGGAGGGGCTGGGGAGGGGGTGGCCCAAGATGTCTTCTGGTTCCCACTCCCTTTGCCTAAGGAAAGTCCAGCAGCCTGGCTCCAGTGGCTGGGGGTGGGGTGGGGGCTTCTGGTCTGACATACTAAGACAGAGCTGCAACTTTTAAGGGCAATCAAAGAAGAGGAGGCGGCAAGTCACAGCCTGCCCCCTGGCCGAGGACTTCTCCCTTCTTGGGGGGGGGGGCTCCTCAGCATCATAGGCAGAGAGAGCTCCTCTGCCCCTCCACACAGCTCCTTTTTTGGAGGGTGAGGGCCAAGCAAGGCCTTTTGGGGAGAACTGAGCATGGGGGTCTCCCCTTATACACCCTGGCCTTCCTGTTATCCTCCTTGCCCAGTGCCCGCCCCTCTGCTGAGCCCAGCTACAGGAGGACCCTGGGCATTGACAGGGGTCACTGCGGGGTGGGCTGGCATGGCCTTGGCTCCCAGGTAAGAAGAGCACCACCGCTAACCAGCCCTGAGCCTTTCTGGGGGGGAAGCCGGATGGCTTCTGCACATGTGGCCCCCCCAGCACCTCCCCCTTCTCTTGGCGCCTTCTTCGGGAAGGTCACAGGCCGCTGCTCAGGAGACGCTCCTGCAATCAGGCGCTGAATCACGGCACGGGAACAATGAGCCCAAAATATGTGCACAAAGGGAAGAGAAGCTCATTAGACCTGATAAACAGCCTGGCCAAGGTCAGTGACGCCCAGCGCTCCTCCTCCCCTCCCTCCGTCCAGAGGTGGGGGGGGACTGGGAAGGGCCACTTGGACAGCCAGCCGTTGGCCCTGGGAAGGCAGAGAGCCAGCGCCAGAAAGGGGCAAGCGGGACCCTGGGCATTCTCCAGCTTCGGCAGCACAGTGGCTCAGGTGGGACCCCCAGGATAGGGAGAGATCCATGGCCAGTCTCCAGGTGCGCCTGGGGTGAGGGGGGCCATCAGGTGATCTTGGCCTGCACCAAAGTTTGAAGTAGTCAGTCCTGCTGGCAAAGCTATTGTTCATGGCTAACCCTCCCTTGGAAGGAAGTGGGGGGGGGGGCTTTCTGGGGTGTTTAAATTATACAGGAACTCCTTGACCTACGACCACAATTGAGCCCAAATTTTATGTTGTTAAGTGAGACATTTGTTGAATGAGTTTTGCCCCGTTTCACAACCTTCCTTGCCACCGTTGCTAAGTGAATCACTTCAGTTGATAAGTTACTACCCCGGTTGTTAAATGAACCCTGCTTCCCCATGGACTTTGCTTGTTGGAAGGCCACAAAAGGGGATCACGTGACCCAGGGACATTGCAACTGTCATAAGTACATGCCAGTTGCCAAGCCTCCGAATTTTGATCCTGTCTCCGTCCCTGGGGAGGCTGAAAAGGGCGCGGCTGTGGGAAATGATCATCAGTCACTGTTTTTCAGTGCCTTTGTTACTTTGAACGGTCACTAAATGAACTGTTGTAAGTCGAGGACTACCTGTAGTTAGGAGATCTTATGAACATGTAGTTGTTGTGAAGGGCCCAGAATCTGTGGAAGTGGGTGACAAACAAACGAAGGGGTTGAAAAAAAAACCCGAAAAGAGGTTGAAACCAATTGGGGCCTCTCCCTGCACAGTGGCCGTTTCCTCTACAATCCGCTCTCCTCGGCTGTGTGCAGAGTCCTCTTACTGAAGGCACCGCCACAAGAAAGCGTACAGTGCACATGCATGTGGAATGGCTGGCGATTCCTTGCACTGAGTGTGGGATTGCTAAAGCTGAGGCTGAGGGGGTCCCCTCCATGCCTCTCAGAGCTTCCCCTGCCGGTGGGCAGCCCTGCACAGCAGGCCCTGCAGCCCCTCCAAGGCCCCCCTGCGGTTATCTATGGACACAGCCGGCATTTCTGCTTGGTGTGGTTGATAGCAGGAAGAAATGAAATACACATATATGGTTAATGCTACAGGCAGGCAGTGATTGAGCCTGTGGGCTAGAATCAGCCACCAAGCCCCTGAGGGTCTCAGAAGACTGGCTGGACAGGCTGTTTGGCCACACTGGTGAGATGTCCTGGTTGGGTCATGGCTGGTCCACCTCCGGCTCCCTCGGACTCAGCTGCTCGCTTGGGGAAGGAATTCTACATAACCGGCCTTCCCAGACAATTCCCTACACAAGCAGGGACAGAAGTGCACTGGAGGATGGAGGCCTGTTTTAGGAGGGCCCCCCCTGACTTAAGCTAGCAATCGGGACCCCGTAGCTGGTCCCTAGATTAGGCATTCTCTCCACCACCATCCTTGAGGGCTTCACTTGCCAGGGTGCCAAGAGGTGCGCTGGGCTCCCAGTTTGGTTCAGCCAGGCCAGACTCACCTGAGAGCGGCTCCTTGGGCTTGGGGTCATGCTTCTCGGCCGCCGGGGCAGCCTCCAAGCCCTCTGTCTGGTTGAACTTCTCCACCAGGGACGCCCGGCGCACCTTCCCGCCCAGCCCGATCTTCAGGAAAGAGCCACGCTTGGCAGTGTCCCCGCCGCCGTTCTCCGCCGGGCCATAGTCCGAGCTGTAGAGGCCTTCCTTGCGGCGCCCGTTGAACCGCTGCAGCAGGCTGAAGTCCTCCGAGCAGCGACGTGGCTTCTTCTTCTCAGGCGTCCGCTGGCCCAGGTTACCCTCCATCAGGGGCAGCATCATGCGCTCCAGGAAGGAGCGCTGGTCGGAGCCCTGCTCGCCCCCGGGCGACCGCTTCTCCCCGCTCTTGCGGCTCCTGCCCAGGCGGAAGGGACTCAGCCCCACCAGCTTCTCCAAGGTGGCCCGGCGCCTGAAGCGGTCCTCGGGGTTGCCGCTGAAGAGGCCCCGCTCAAAGTCCTCCCTGTCCCCTGGGAGGGTCCTCTCTTGGCCGGGGGAGATGCCCCCAAGGAAGGAGTCCTTCTCATTCTCCTCCAGGTCCTCCTCGAAAGGGTTGGTTCCCGGAGTCTCCTTGGCCAGGATCAGTGTCTTGCTGTGGCTGCCACCCCCGCCACTGTTCCTAGGGCCACTGCTGGCCGCCTTCAGCTGATGGGGGTTCTTGAGGACTGGCATGGTGGCTGCCTTCCCTGGGCCCTGTGGAGAAGAAGCAATGCTCAGTCATGGCTGCTAGGAATCGCCTGGATGCCCTCAGGGGAGCCCACTTGACACAAGAGATCTGGGAAGGGACATCCCAGCACCCCCACACACACAAAATTCTGGAGCCAGATTCCAATATGGGACCAGGGCGCCGGTTGCTTTGAATCAGCAAACTTCGGCTGTGTTTACACACCCCATGGGCCATAAAACAAGGTTTATAATTGACAGCCGTGGGCTCCACCCAAAGCAAGGAGACACCCGGGACGTGTTTGCTTCCCCATTCAAATTGGGGACTTTGCTGTTGGGTTAAAGAAGAGGGAGGTGCCCGCTTCACTGGAAACACCCCCGGCAGCAAAGCTTCTCGGAAGATGACAGGAAAATCCCCACGCAAAGAACTGGGAGCATTGCAAGAAGTGGGGCGAGTGGAAGGCCCAAGGATGGAGGGGGAAATGCAGGCAGGCAGCAGAGGGGACCCCCCAGGACCCCCCAGTGGCCCCCGCAGAGAGGAGAGCAGAAAAGATGTGTCGGAAGTGATGCCATCACTCCAGAGCAGGAGCGTCAGCCAAAGTGCTGTTCTACCAGGGAGCCCAGAGTTGGATGGGGCTCTCCCCGACACCCCTTGGCTCAAGGAGTTTACCACCCCCACCTTAGAACGACTTTTGTGGCAGGGCAGGGGGCAAAAGTGAGCTGTGGAAGCTCCACCTCCCATGGACTCCTGACCCACAGAACTAGCGATGGAGGTGACACGCAGGGGCGGGTGCCACCCATATCGCTTTTTGCTTTGCTCCTCATTTCTGTGCAACTGCCCCCTTCAGCCTCACGAACCCCCCTTTCCTGCTCTCTTCCTACTTCTTGAGAAGGTGGGAAGGGAGGCTGATATTTTCTGGCAGACAGCTCTGACAGCCAAAACCATTCCTTGTGATCCAAACTGTCTGTGCCCCCCTCTCCTGGGCAGGAGCAGCTGGCCCCACGAATGGGGGCCTGGCTGCTAAGACCGCAAGGACGGGCGCCTTGAAGAAGAAGAAAGGCAGGACAGAGGGAGGGAGGCAAACTTCAGACTCTTAGCATCAAGAAAGATTCCCCCAAGGAAAAGGAGAAAACTAAAGGAAGAATTGCAGAAGTCCAGCAAGAATAACAGCTCTCACTGTTCATCAGCCCGGCTGAGGAGCCCCAGCCCACTTACTGCCCCCTAGGGTGCTCCTTGGAGGCTGGTTCAGGCGCCCAGGAGGGTCCAGCGTTCCCTTCCGTGGTTCCAGAGCTTCAGGTAGCCGAGGGCAGGGCGGCTCAGCAGCCTCACTTCCACTTTCTCTTCCTTCCCTTCTTGCCCAGCCCCACCTCAGCTCACCTGCCCACACAGCCTGGAGGCTGCAGTCTCCGGTCTCCGTAAGGGAGAAGGGCTCGGCATCGCCGTAAGGAACCCGGTGCTTTCCTTGGCCGCACAGCCAACTTCTCCCTCCAGGCCCCCGGGCAGCCCCAGTTGGGAAGGTGGGGCAGGTGAGGATCATGCCTCAACCACGGCAGCCCTCGAGAGAGAGAGAGACGGTGAGCTGGGATAACAGGACCTCCTGGGAGGTGGCACCCAGGGCTCTGGTCAGCTCAGGCCACCTCCTGAGCAATTGCGGGCTGAGCTACTGGGGAGACCCCAAGACTGAAAGCCCCCTCAGAAGACAGGAGGTTCTCAAGAAAAGATTGAAATAGCGGAGGAGGGTGCCCACCTGGGGAACTCTAAGGCTTGTGGAGTTCAACTCCCAGAATTCGAGCTGGGCTGACAGCCTGCCCCAAAAGGAGCTCCCAAACCTCTTTATTCCAGCTTGTCCATGAAGGGAGAAGAGGTGAGAATGAAAGTGGGGTCTCCCCATAGAAAAAAGGTTCTAGCAAAGGTCTATGCGGGGTAACCGGGGAGAGGCCAGTGGTTTTCTTCTCTTCTGTATCCTTTGCCAAGTTAGGAATGGGCAAAAATGCCCAGGTGGCAGAACCTCTGCAAAGTGATATCGAGCCTCCCCAGTGAAGGGGCTCCAAGCCAGAGTGGGAGGGTCGGGACTCACTCTCCCACAAAGACCACCCTTGAACCAGGCTCTCCAGACTTGCTGGACTATAACTCTCATCCTTCTCCTCCAGCACATGTTTTGCACTGGGCCAGAGGGGAGGCCCGGAGGATGAGGTGCTCTGGCTTGACTCTTGTCCTGCAAGCAAGGAGGAGGAAATTCCTCCCCCAGGGAAGTCCCGGTCTTTGCTGGGGGGGAGGGGAGGCAGCCTCCAAGGAGCCTCTCTCAATCTCCAGGCTGCCAGGGGGGAGGTTCTCTCCTTGCCTTCAAAAACAAGTGGCTCTGGGGAGGTCTGACATAACTTTGGTCACTAGGTGGCCGGTCATTAAGTGAGGACTACCTGTATGCATTTGTGTATCAAGTATGCACATTTTGAGGGGGAGGGAGATTACCTGGAGGATGATCACCTCAATTAAGGCCCCGTTGTACCAAATGCAACTTTAGGCCACTTAGAAGAGAAACCTACACATCACACTCCCTTGCCAGTAAATTTCCAGCAGGTTTCCCTGTGGTGGCTTTGGGCAGATGGGATGACCTTGGCAGACTGGCGAAGGGAGGCAGCAAAGGGACGGTCAGATGAAAGCCAACAGCAGGAATGTGGGCAGGGCAGGTGGCTCAGAAGAGACCCTCCCTAGTTCCTTGGGCTATAAAAGAGGCGGCTGGTGGGATGGAGAGAGATGCACTTCCAGGCTGCCCAGGTTCTGTTTATTTATTTATTTTTCAAAATTTATATGCCGCCCTTCTCCCGCAGGACTCGGGGCAGCTCACAAGATAAAAACAATACAACAATGCAATACTAAAAATAATAAATTAAAAAAAACCCAAACGATTAAAAAGTCTCGCAACAGATCAGGAAATTTGCTGAAAAAGCCATGTCGGCATGGAAAGTGCGGAGGTCAGGGGCCGTCCAGAGCCCAGTGGGTAACCCATTCCAGAGGATCGGTGCAGCCACAGAGAATGCCCTCATCCTGGGGGTCGCCAGCCGACATTGTCTGGCCGACGGCACCCGGAGGACGGCAGCTCTATGTCAGCGCACTGGTCGGTGGGAGGCCGGTAAGAGGTGGTCCTCCAAGTATCCTGGGCCCATGCCATGAAGGCCTTTATAGGTGAGTACCAGCATCTTGAAGTGGATCCAAAGAGCTATCAGAAGCCAGTGCAGCTCGCGCAGGAGAGGTTTTACAGAGGAGTAACGGGAAGCTCCCGTAACTACCTGCACGGCCGCATTCTGGATTAGCTGGAGCCTCCGGGTGCACCCCAAGGGCAGCCCCATGTAGGGGGCATTGCAGTAATCCAACCGAGAAATAAGCATGAGTGACTGTACGGAGATCAGATGATCCACCAAGGACAGCCATGAGTCAAGGAGGACGTCAAGATTACGAACCCTTTCAGAGGGAGTAAGCAACTCCCATTTGCTTACAAAAGTGATGGGGATACTAGATCACGAGATGCTGGTAACCACAGCCACTCCGTCTTGGAAGGGTTGAGCCTGAGCCTGTTCCTACCCATCCAGACCCGCACCGCCTCCAGGCACTTAGACATCACGGAAAGGGCATCCCTGGGTTGGTCCGGGGTGGAGATGTAGAGTTGGATATCCATCATCAGCATATTGATACCTCACCCCGAAGCTGCGAATAATCTCATCCAGCGGCTTCATATACATTTTAAAGAGCAGGGGGGAGAGAACCAACCCCTGCGGCACCCCACAAGTGACCCCCCGCCCAAACAAACTGCTTACAGCCTGAGAGATAGGAGGAGAACAGTGCCCCCCACCCCCAATTCCCGGAGCCGTTGCAGTAGGATACCATGGTCCCCCCGCCCAGGAACCCAGACTGAGTGGAGCCCAGGCAGCCGCAAGCCGGGCACAGACTGGGGCTGGGGGCAAAGACCGATGAGGATGATGAGGGTGACTTCTTTGGTTGGCACGGCTACCCATCTCACCCAACCAACTCCGGGCAGCTCACAAGAGCACAGACAGAAGTTTCCCCCCACCCGAGGACCCCCTCCTTGAGAAAAAGGGGACAGCAGAGCAGAGCTCCCTCCAAGGAACGTTTGCCCAAATTACCCTCAAAGTCTGCAGCGGATAGGAGGCAGGGGCTTCCCAAGATCCGAACTGTAGGATGGCCACTGAGCCCGCACAGGGCATGCCCGGATGGAAGCTGCAGTCCCCCACCCAAAGGAAAGCAGGGGGAGAGGGCTGGAGTCCCCCAACCCCAGCAGAGCAGAGTCCCTACCTTGGTCCTTCCCTGCAGGCTCCCCCTCCTCTCGGGCAGTCTGGCTGCTCTGGGCAGCCGGGCTGGGGAGGCCAAGGAGGCTTGGAAGGAAGCCCCTCCCAGCCCCGCCAGGCCGGAGGTGATTCGGAGCAGGCGGCTTTATGTAAGCTGGACACAATCTTGTGACTCTTCTCCTGTGGGTCTGGGCAGAGAGGGCGGGGGTCATCCTCTTTCTTTCTTTTATTGAATTTGTCAGGCGGAATCCTCAGGCGGATAACCAACCAGGAAGTTTCAGGTTCAACCTGGTGGAGCCGGGGAAATTCCAGCTCTGCCAGCCGGGGAGGGCGGGGGGGAGACCATGGCAGATGCCCTCCGCCTGCCTCCAAAATGGGTGACTGCAGCCAGGAGCTTGTGGGGGGTGTCAGACACCCCCCCTTCTTCACCCTCCTCCGACCTAGAGGCTGGCTTTGCACATTTGTATTAAGCTCGGGGTGATCGTTACGGTTTGTTTGGGGTGCTCAGCCAGCATCATTTACAAACCAGGATTCAGAACCTAGCATAATACAGCATAATCCACGGTTTATGACCACAATTGAGCCCAAAAGTTCTGTTGCTAAGTGAAACATTTGTTAAGTGAATTTTGCCCACTTTATGACCTTTCTGGTCATAGTTGTTAAGTGAATCAATGCAGTTGCTAAGTAAGTAATCTGGCTTCCTCATTGACTTTGCTTGTCAGAAGGTTGCAATAGGGGATCATGTGACCCCGGGACACTATGACCGTCATAAATATGAGTCACCTGCCAAGCATCTGAATTTTGATCATCTGGCCAGGGGGATGCTGCAACTGTCATGCAAAGAATGATCACAAGTCACTTTTTTCAGTGTCGTTGTAACTTTGAACAATCAATAAATGAACTGTTGTAAGTCAAGGACTACCTGTACACGAATCACATCAATTCTGTTTTTTTTTTTATTTCTTTTTTTTAAACAAAACATAAAACATAAATCCATCTTCCATTACAATTTCAAACAGTGGGTCGGTCACAAATCTTTTGTGCTTCATCTCCATATTCAAAATTTACTAGTTATTTAGTTTCTCATATTTTCAAACAAATAAACATCCTCATTTATCATTTATTTAACAATGGCTTTACCGCTTCATAAAAATTATTTTCAAGTATTATATTTATAACATTCATTTCATGTTTCATATTTCATTTCCATGCTCCATTTTTTAAAACAGACCATGGTTGCACAAAGGCACAGGCTGCATAACGTGAGCAGATCTGTGGTCTGGCCCTGTGGCCTTTGCCAACCTCTGGGCTGCCCAAACCTCTTAACTGTTTATAGGGGGTAAGGAGGAAGGGTCTTGTAGCCCCCCAACAATTATGGCCAGGGGTCTCTGTCTTCAGCCGCTCTCATTCCTTCTGCTGGAGAATCCTCCACCGACTGACCCCCACCTGGACCAGGGAGCGAAAGGGCCAAACCAGGCTTGCCACCTGCTCCCAAACCGTCTCCGGCCAGGCCTGATTTATCCAGGCACAGTCATGCAGGAAGGCCCAAAGGTGGGGGCTCCATCCAGGCTGGCTGCCTCCTCCGCCTTTGTTTCGGCTCCCTATCCTCGGCCCGATCCTGCCCCCTGGTGGCCATCGCCTTTTCTCAGGAGGCAGAATTGACCCCCTTCGAAGGGTTTGGCCCCAAAGCAGCAACTTCCCCTCCAGGGGCCTTCTTTGCTGATGGCAATGCTCTGGTGCTGCCTTCAGGGCCCACTGGGCCCCACCCAGAGGGAGCAGCTGGAAGCCGCCCTCCGGTGCCAGTTTACACAGTCACAAGTGACAGCCGGGACCCACGGCTCTGTGGCCCAATGGGGCCTTTTTCTGGGTGCTGTGCTTGGGGCTCCCCTTGAAAAATATTTGGAAGCTGCAACTGAGAGCCAAAGAGGGCCCTTTGGAAGAGCCGGGGCTCAGCTGTCCAATCAACTCAGTTTCTTTTGGGGCCTAAGTGTCTTTGATAGGAGCCCCAGGGAGACTTGGGGGGAACCCTCTTAAGGGCATCCATCCTGGGGGGGGGCAGGGATTCTCTGTCCACGGGGCAGGTGATGCGCCTCCTTCCTGGGGAGCTCTTTCCTTCGGCTTCCAGGAAGACCCAGGACCGTCCTCTATCTGGACGCTCCAACAGCCCCTTTAACTTTTCATTTGATTTTCTTTAATTATTTATATGCCGCCCTTCTCCGGAGACTCAGGATTTTGATTTTGTTTGGGGCTGCTAGTTGGGCAATTGGGCACGGGGTGGCCTGGCATTTCACAGCCACACCTCAGCAGGTTACTAAAGCCAGCACGGGCCCCCACGGCTGGGGGGAAGACTTCTGGTAGCCACAAGGGGTTTGGGAGGGGGGTTCAGCCCACCGCCCCAGGTGCAGCCTTCAAGGCAGAGGAAGCGGTGCCGGGCAAGAAGGGGCGGCGGGACAAGCCACAGGCCCCTCTGCAGGGGCGCTCCGGGCACCACGCTTCCCATCATCCCCGGCCAGCCAGCTCGGGGAGCCCTTCTTCTTCCCAGGAGCGGCTCGTGATGCGGACCCCACCCCAAAGGGCGGAGGGCTGCAGAAGCCCCCTGGATTGCACCGGACCACCGAGCAACCGGCTCAAGCCCCCGCGGGGAGCGGCGGAGCCCCGGGGCCCTCCCGCGGGGGGGGGGGGCGATCCGCCTCTGCAGAATCGTTCGCCTCGGATTCCAGGTTGCGGCTGCGCAGAAGCGCCTCCCTCGTACCTCCGGTAGAGCAGGCAAGAGTTAAGGGCGGTGCTCGACAGACGGCGATTGGCTGCGCATCCTGCCAATAGAAAGCGCGGGTGAAGGGCACTCGGCCTCCTCAGGGGGAAAGGGGCGGGCCGGCCGGCCTGTCTCCATGCTGCCTCGCAGCCAATCAGCGCCAGCAGGGGCGGGGCCAGGCCGCTGCATGGGCGTGGCTTGGCAGCGGGCAGCCTGCAGGCGAGGCTGCGTTGGGCGGGGGCCTGGCGCCCCTTGGAAGCCCCTCCCGGGCACCGGACGGGGGGCGCCTAACGGGCGGGAAGGGCGGTCGTGAACCGGAAATCGGCCGCCGCCGGTTCAGTAAATCGCGCACTCCTCGGGGATCCCTGCCAGGTTGCGCTTCGCATTTCGAGGGATGCTGCACAATCAATCCGCAACTAAACCGCCCCCCCCCCCCAGCTTCCCCCGTGGCAGCCGCTTCTCTTGTGAGCTGCCCAGCTGCAGCTAAAGGGCGCCTTTGGCCTCTTTGCTGAGCACGGCAAAGGTGAAATGCCAGCCTTGGAAATCGCGGCCGCCGGTTGGGCTGTGGCAGCTGCTCCCTCGGCAGAGCCCAGCCGGGCCGGCCCTCCGCATGCCGCCCAAGGAAGTGCTGGGCTTGAGGCGGAGCTTCCCGGCCTCTTCGGCCGCGGGTCCAACCCGGCCGCGGGAGACCTGCGGGCTTCAACTCCCAGCGATGCTGGCTGGGAAATTCTGGGAGTTGAAGCCCGCAGGTCTCCCCGCTGCCAGGTTGGACAGGAGGTGGAAGGGCAGGGCAGCAGGGCGCATCGTTTCAGGCCTTCATTCTCCTCCGGAGCCCTTTCCGGGCGTTTGGACCTTTTCGGTCATCGTGTGTTTGTGCCAGCCAGCCCTCGGACAAACATGACGGGGAGCTTGGCCCAAAGTCTGCAATGGCCACGTTGCCCACTGAGACGGTGCAAGTCCGAGCCGGTTGCCGTGGCCGCTTCTTAGCTTCCAGCCCGGCCGGAGAAGAGAGCAGAGGCTGGGCATCCACCACCTGCCCACCTGCCCAGCCCGTCTCCTGGACGGCTGTGCCCAGGGGAAGAAGCCGATGGGCGGGAGGGGGCAGGGCAGGCCGTCTCGGGGCTCCAGGGACACCACGCGTTCCGCAGCCTTCGCGTGACTCCAAGTGCCCGGAGGATGGCCTCACCGAAGCGCCTTCTCAGGGCAGCACATAGTCGCCAACTGCCCGAGAGGGGAGCCCCCCCCCCCCCCAAATAAACCCTGGGTCCTCCGTGAGGATTCCTGGACCCAGAAGCAAAAGCTGCCCGGCTTTTGTTGCAAAGCCTCTGCGCGCTCCGAGGAACAGCCTTCCGGGTCGCTGCGGCATTTCGGCGGCCAGAACCCGGCCTGACTTCGGGAATAGCAGTCGGACCAGGCGGCCGAGATTTGGGAGCTGCTCTTCCCGCCGCCTGAGCCCCCGGCGGCCTCCCGGCCCAGAAACCCCCCCGGCCCCTCCCGCGCCTGCCAGGGCGGGGAGGAAGCCGCTGCCCTCCGCCGGGATCGCGGCGCGCTTCTGGAAGCGGCGGCGGCGGCGCCTTTAAGCAGTTCGGAGACGCTTCCTGCGCCTGCCGGGTGTTGTCCAGCCCAGCCCGGCCCGGCCTCCTCCTCGACGCCCTGCTTCCTTCCCCCGCCTCCTCCTCCTGCGCGACGCCCGCCTCTTCGACCCCCGCGCTCCTCCCCAAGCGGCCGATGCCGGTGCCTCCCGCCCCGGATCCGGCGCCCCCGGGCAGCAGCCCCAGCTGAAGCGCGCCCCGCCTGGCCGGGAGGAGGGGGCTCAGCGCCGCTCCTGGCGACGGCGGGGGCTTCCCGGGGCTCGGATTGCGTCCGCATCCCTCCTCCTCCTCCTCCTCCTCCTCCTCTCCCCCCCAGCGCGGGGACGCAGCCATATGGGGGGTGGCAGGAAGCGCCGCTCCCCCTTCCTGCCTGCGGGGAGAGTGCGGCGGCCGGGCCGGGCACCGAGGCGGCAGTGAAGGCGAGCGAGAGGCGGCGGCCGAGAGCGGAGCTGAGCCCGGGCCTGCCTTCGCGGCCCCCTCCCCATGGCCCCCCGGGCCGCATAGCGCTGCTCGAGCCGCGTCTCCGCTCAGAGGAGGCCGCCTCCCCTTCACCCCCCCCGCCTCTCGCCCTCCGAGCGCGCCGGGGCGCATGAGTGGCCACTCGGGGCAGGCAAGCGGCCGTCGTCGCCCCCGCCGCGTCCGGCCTTGGGCCGCGGGAGAAAATGTCTTTGCGCATCGCGCTGGCGGCGGGCAACGAGCGCAATTCCGAGCCGGTGAGTCTTCCGCGGCGGCGGCCCCTCTTGTTTACCGGGGCTGGACGAAGGGCGGGGCGGGCAGCCCGGAGTTGGCGGCGGCCGGTTGCTAGCCTCCGCGCCGGCTCGGCTCCCCCGCTGCGGGCTGCTGGCGAGTGGGGGTTGGACCGTGGGCCCCGCCAAGGAAACGCGGACTCAGCCTCGGGCCGAAGGTCACCCCGCTGGGCCGCCCACCGGTGCCGCGGCTTCCCAGGCAGGCCCGCCCGAGGCTCCGGCGGCCGCAGCGTTAGCGGGCCGGGCGGTGGGCCTCGCCGGGGGTCAGCGGAGGGGCTCCGCTGAGCGGCCGAAGGCGAGGGAGAGCCCGCAGCCTCCGGCAGTGACTCTGCTGCTTTTGCCGCGCTGCGTCCGGCCTCGCCCGCTCCAACCCGGGTGGAGGCAGGAGGCGGAAAGCGAACGGTCAAAGGGGGTCCTTTCCGAGGGGCCGGGAAGCCGGGCTCCGGCTGGGAGATCCGGCGGCTGCCCCGAGGAGTGCCCCAAAGGCGGGCAATGGCCTGCAGGCCGAGCCCCCCAATTCTGTGCAAGCCCCCCCCCGCCTCCGGCCGCCCCTTAGACATCCCAGGAGGTCCTTGCCGTCCGGGAATACCCTTCTCCCAGGGGAGGGGATGTCCTGGGTGCAGCCTTGTTTGCTTGCTGGTTCTTTGGTATGGAGGGGTCTCTGCCAAGCTGTTGGAATAAGGAGTATTCCTCCCCCCTCCCTGTCATTTGGTCTGAAGCATGTGTCCTGTGTGCCCTTCTTCTGTGGGGCTAGCCTACACCAAATGCCATTTTCAGGACTTATTGGAGGCCCTCCTAAGTTGGCTCATTCTCCGTGTGTTTTTAAGCAAAGTGCCTGACCAGGTTTTGCCAAAAGACATTAGAAGCTGCTGTGTCCTTGGCCAGGCAGAGTGGGGGGTGGGGGACTCGGTGTGAAGGCTTGTGCCTTGTGCTTTAGGTGCTGCCTGGGTCAGCCTAGTCACTTTCCCTCTGGGGATGTTGAGTAACTTCTGTCTGTTTGCCTGCATTTGGATTTATGCCCTGGTCAAGGGGGGCAGACTGTCAGCAAATGGTTTCTGGGGCTTTAAAGGGAAGGTGGGTGCAGGTCCTGGTTTTGCCCCTGAAAATTCCCGGATGCAAAAAGGTCCTGAGCCCCAGAGATTCTCGGGGCCACCAAGCACAGACTTTCTCCGCTCATGATTGACACCCTAGCAACACCAGCAGGATATTCTGAAGCCGTGGGGGACTCCAGTTGCAGTGGGCGGGTGTATTTATGTCTGTGCGACAAAGGATGTCACCTCCTTTGATGTTGCAATCCCAGCTTCCTGTCCCATCTCTTTCCTGGTGCTCGTGGACTCTGCTCGCCCCCTTCCAGCCTCATTGCCCCATCCCCCCTTGCCCTGGGCCCACTGCTGCTGTCTGCCAGGCCTTCTCTGGCTCAGGCCCCACCCTCTCTGCCACCGCTGTTGCTGACAACCACATTGCTGATCGCCAAGGCTTCCTGAAGAGTGCCGCACCGCTGTGTTGCCATGGCAGTGAGGTCCTCACCATGGCAGCCAGCTAGGCATCGCCCCTAGCACCTGCGTTCGTGGCCAGTAGCTGTCAAATGACCAGGGTGTCTCTGAGCATGTGCCGAGAGCTCCCTTGGCCTGCGAGTGAGTAATGCAGCCTGCCCCTACCTGCCTGGGCCTGGGAGTGTCCGGGTGTGGTTCCCCAGCACCTCGGATCAAAGAGTACAGCGTGTACGAATGACAGAGTGAGGCGGACAGTGCCATCTTGCTCAAGAGCTCTTTGCCAAACCAGTTCAGGAGCAGCCTGAGCTCATGGGAGTTTCTCCAAACGGCCGGGCATCTGTAGCTCCCTGTAGCCCAAGCCAATGAACCCAGTGAAGCCCAGCTGGAAGGCTGCAGACCCCTGCCTGCTCTAAGCCATGGAAACCTCCTTGAGAGGAGAAGCTGGCCCTTCCATTGCCCTTCCTCCAGCCAGAGCTCCAGAGGAGCCAACGGTGAGTCGAGGGCTCCCTGCCATGAATACCCCCTCCCCTGAGCTTCCAAGGGACATCCAGAGCTTTGTATGAAGCTGGCATGGAGAAGCTGCTGCCCATGGCTCCACATTACACCCTTGAGGAGAGCTGTGGCACCAGGGCTCGGAGACTTTGGCCATGCCAGGTTGGCAGAGACCGAAGGGCACTGACTCCTGCTTTTGAGTCCTTGAGATCCTGAGCTCTCTGCCTGGCAATGGCCTTGGCCAGTTTCTTCTGTGGCCAACAGCTTCTTTGCATGCCGCACTCCTCCCTTGAGCAGGCTGGCTGGAGAATATCCCCCCTCCAAGAGTTGGACTCAGGTGGCCTCGGGCTGCTCCTTGCCTTTTGGATGACTCTCCTGGCCTCCTTCACACAGATGTTGTATGTAAACAGTCCTGGGCCAAGGGGGATGCTATCCCCTGGGTGTGTGGGCCTGGAGAGAGAGGGCGTGGATGCACACCTGGGCAGGCCTCCCCTGCCGAGTTGCTGCCTAGGTGTGGCCCAGTCTCCCACCCCGAGTGGGACGCTCACCCAGTTGGGGACTCATCCGCCATTCCGGTTTCCCCTGAAAGAGCAGCAGCCACTGGCCCTGTGGCTCTTGGAGGGTGAGGTGTCAGGGCGGGGCTGCTTCCTGGATCATCTGGGCTCTCCTCCTCCTCCTCCTCAGTTGTTGTGATGATCTTCCTGGATTAAAAGTTAATAACATTTGGGGCTTCCGGAAAGTGAGCGACCTGCCGATTTGACGGAAGCAGCTGCTGAGTGAAGGTGCTGCCTGAGTCCCACCTGGGTCTGGGCGCTCCAGAGAGTCTCACTCGGTCCCAGGACTGGCGCTACCTGCCTACTCTTGAGTAAGCCCGAGGGCCTGGTGCTTGCAGATCTGCTCCCGGGCTTGGCTTTGGAGCGGCGTGGAGCCCATGAGAGCCCAGGTCTGGCTGGAAATGAGGAGGAGGTCTAGACTTCCACGCAGAGCCCCGCTTGGGAGAGGCCAGGTGCGCTGTGGGGTTAGGGTGTGGGTGCTGTGGGGTGCCCTCCTTTGCCAAGCCAGGGAGGCTGCTGGCCCAGCCCGCAGGATCCTGCCAGGATTGGCACCTCAAGAAAGGAGATGGGCTGGGAAAGAAGGCTGGTTTGCTAACAACTTTCCCCTGGATCCCATCATAAAGTAAGCAATGGGGCAAAGGATCCAGAGATCCTTTGCAAAAGCTGTATAAAAATATATGCAATGAATAGTCCCCGTTTATTTGTTTTGAATTTGTTAGATTCCTATCCTGTCTTTCATCCAAGAGCCCCAGGTGGTTTACAACAACCCTGTGAGGTAGGCTGGGAGAGCAGGTGAGAGAATCACCTAGTGGATTTCCACGACTGAGGGCCAAACCTTTTGGGCCTGGGGATGCCAGGGCAGCTGTGACCCATGGGCTCTGGACTCCATTGGCCTTGTTCCAAGCGGCTCCCTTCTGGCCTGCTTAGTGACTGAAAGCCGGAGCTGGCACTGAAATTCCTTGAGTCATTGTTGGTTTTACTGCAGCCTAGAAGGGGCCATGCACCGAGCACCTTTTTCTCACCATGTGCCCAGGTTTTGCACTTGCTCGAGTGCGGGACAGGGGGTGGCTATAGGACGGCAGTGTTTTGCACGCCACAGGCATTCCGAAAGGTCTCCCCCTGGAGTGAGAGAATCTTCACACCAGGCGCACACCAAGCGCCCCGCCACCCTGCCATCTCTTTGAAGCGGGCAGCGCTGTTTTCCAGTGCATTATTGATGAGTGCTGAAGGGGGGGATGCTATAGCCCCCTCCCTCCTCCCCTTGCCTGCACACTCACAAGAGGACAGGCGGTGTTTCTGGGCATCCCACAATGCACCAAGGCATTCCTGCACCGTGGAAACGCAGGGAGGTTTCCAGAAAGGCCAGGCCTGGCTCCAGCTCCCCCACCCCAGCCCCCCCAGGGAAGGAGAGTCCTCTGGTTGCTTTCTCTGGGGCAGGCAGGAACAGCCCAGTTTGCCTCCATTGTTCGTCCATCCCCTGCCGAGGAGGCCAGCCAAAGTCTCTGACTTTTGTCCCCCCCTCCCACCTCGGCTCCATTCCTTGCCTAGCCAGCTGGTGGGAGGGAGGGGGGGGGAGGGATGAATCAGAATAGAGCTGGAAGGGACCTTGGAGGGCCTCTAGTCCAACCCCCTGCTCAAGCAGGAGACCCTATAGCAGGGGTGTCCAACCTTGAAATTTCAAGTTCACAAGTCTTAAAGTTCCCAAGGCTGAAACACCCCTACCCCCCCATCCTACACCATTCCAAACTATGTATTGGGTTTCCCCAAAAATAAGACCCTGTCTTATATTTTTTTGAACCCTGAAATAAGCGCTTGGCCTTATTTTCGGGGAGGTCTTATTATTTTGGGGCGCGTGGAGCAAGACGGGGCTCCTCTTGCCATCTTACCTGATTTCCAGCTCTCTCTCCCTAACCCTAACCAGAGGAAATGGCGGGGACCAGCTGTGCATGCGGTTAAGTATTTTCGGGGAGGGCTTATTTTAGTGCATGCGCTCAAAAGCCCGATTGGGCTTATTATCCAGGGATGTCTTATTTTCAGGGAAACGGTAATCTCTTGAAAACCTCCAGTGATGGTAGCAAGTTGTCCCACTGGTTAATGGTTCTCATAATTCCATATTCTGCACTTCTGGAGGGAAAATGGCTCTGTTTTCTTCTCCTTGCCCCATTTGGGTTTCGGAAGGGGAGTGTGACCAGCTCTTCCCTTCACTTGGTCTTCATGGGGCCGGGCTCCACATCCTCTGCTGATTCTCGCCGCTTTCTCGGTTCCTCTGAAGTTTTTGGCATTGGTGCCGAGAGTTGGACACGGGATCCAGGAGGGCCTGAGCCAAGCACGATGCTTCTGTTGGCATGCCTGACGTGATCTTGGCCTTTGGGGCAGCCCCGTCTCCAAGAGCTTCATGCAGGTAGTCCTTGACTTATAACAGTTCAGTTAGTGACAGTTGGAAGTTAGAATGATATAACCATTTTTCATGCCTCGCTATGGTCCACGTGACTTAGATTTGGATGCTTGACAACTGGTTCACATTTATGATGGTTGCAGTGTCCTGGGGTCATGTGACCCCCTTTTGCCATCTTCTGATAAGCAAAGCCAATGGGGAAGCCAGTTTCACTTAACAACCGGGTTGCCAACTTAACAACTGCAGTGATTCACTTAACAGGAAAAGTCATAAAATGGGGTAAAACTCACTTAACTAATGTCTCACTTAGCAACATAAATGTTGGGCTCCCTTATGGTGGTAAGTCAAGGACTCCCTGTATTCAGGTTGCAGTCAAATCCTCTTCGAATACCTTTCCCAAGCCAGGTCGATCCCCTCCTGGTGGGCAATCGCTCTTCCTTCTCTCCCCCTTCAATGGCCTTTGGGAAGCCCACCAGGTGTTTGCCTCACCTGTCAAGTCGTACCTGCTTCCTCCGCAAATAAAGGAACGGGGAACACAGATATTTGCAACCTGCTCCTTGATGCCTTCGGCCTGCATCCATTGCGCAAGCGGCCATCTCATGCACTACAGGTCGTCCTCGAATTACAACAGCTCATTTACTGACCGTTCAAAGTTACAACGGTACTGAAAAAAGTGACTTTTTTCACACTTGCAACCGTTGCACCATCCCCAGAGTCACATGATCAAAATTCAGCAACTGACTCAAGGCGGTCGCACCACCCCAGGGTCAGGTGATCCTCTTTTGCGACTTTGTTACAAGCCAAATCAATGGGGAAACCAGATTCACTTAACAACGGTGTTGCTAACTTAATGACTGCAGTAATTTACTTAACAAGTGTGGCAAGAAAGGTTGCAAATTGGGGCAAATTCTCTTATCAAAGGTTTTGCTTAGCAACAGAAATGTTAGACTCCATTACAGTCATAAATTGAGGACTCCCTGTATTCCTGGGGAGCAGGCGGTCAGCTGTCCAGCAGGCTCTGGGAAGAGCTGATAGGAAGTCTGGGAAAACTGACAGAGATCTGGGTCTCTGTGCTACACGCGTGTTCTTGCTGTGTTCCTATGGCTGAGCCTTGTGGGTTATGAACGGAAGCCCTTGGGTCAAAAAGAATGTTTCCTGGCTGGGGATTGTGGGACTTGTAATCCTAACTCCTCTGGAGAGCAGCTGGTTGGAGAGGTCTGGTTGGGAAGAAGAGCCTGGGACGATGACGGGAGCTTTGTGTCTGCCTGCTAAGAGAATGGAGACCCTCCGGAAGAAACATGCAGGGACTCTTCAGCAGATCAGATTTGCCTTCTGGTGGGGATCTCGGACCTTTAGGGGTATCGTCTTAGGCCCCCCCCCAACAAGTAGCCATGATCTGGGCGCTTCCCCCGCCCCAACCCTCAACCCCCAGGGCCAGAAGCCACAAAAGGACATTTGTTCCGACTGGAAACAAGTAACAAGGTCATCATCACACCCGGCTCCTCCTGGCTGGCTCTGCCCAGCATTCTTCCCTGCTGCAGGGAGGGCAGCCTGGCAAATTCTTCTCCAAGGACTCCCCGCCTGTCTGCCAAGCTTGCAGGGGTGGTTCCTGGGCCCCTAAAATGTCATCTGGTGGGGCAGGTTGAGTCTTGGGGCAGGCTGTCGGGAATTCTGCAGAAACGAAGAGAGACCAAGAGCTCAGGTTCCCCCCTCAAATGTGCCCCCAGAATCCTGCAGCAGCACCCCTGTCTGTAAAGCCCAACTGGAAGGCTGCAGAGGCAAATACCTCCCCCCGCCCCCCGTGACTCTGCCATGGAGAAGACCCTGTTCCGCCTTTGGCCTTTCTGTTCTTGGCCCTGGAAAATGCTACACACACCCCCCACCCGAGGAAGTCTGCCAGCCAGAATTCTGGTGCTGGGCATGATAAGGGCCCGGGCACATTGTGGCCACTGCTGGAAAGCTGCAGCTGGGCTCTTTCTGCTGGAGAGGCTGTGGCATCATCTGGGTTCAGTCCTTGCTAAACGCCGTGCTTGCCAGGGCGAGCAGGGAGGCGAAGGCACCTTCAGCCTGGCGGCGGTCTGAAGTTGAAGACAAGCCGGCTGCCTGACCCTCTCCATCCCGGCCCTGTGTAGCTGGGCTCCCCATGCCCAGCCCTTGGCCGACACACGCAGAAAGCTGTGCCCAGAACAGGGAGGGCAGTCGCATTGGCTGATTGTGTGGCACCGGGCACTGCTAGCAAAGGCTTTGGGGGTTTGTCAGAGGCTGGTTCAGACTACTCCAAAACTGGAGCCCTTGAAGAATCAACTGCGGCTCATCTTCCCCTTGGATAGTCTTCTGAGGGGGTTGTGGGAGGGTTAGGGTTAACGTCCCTGAACCCCGACTTGGCCCATCCTGGTTTGGGAGGGAGGACCTGGGGGGGGGGAACTCCCCATCCAGGAGTGGTTTCTTTTCACCCACTTTTTCTAAAGTGCAGTTTGGGAGAAGCAGAATTTTTGGCTCCGAAGCTCTGGGTTCAGAACTGATTCAGGTGAAATTTTCTGATGGGAGGTGAGAGGGAATCCCTTGCCGTCCCCAAAACTGTAGAGCCAAATGAAAGCAGTGTCTGGGATGGAGGACGGGGGCAGTTCAGGAGGCCTTGGGGAGCCCAAACAGGCTGGGAAGTGAGTAGGTGGGCTGGGCAGAATGCAAGCAAGCAGGAAAGGAGAATTGGGGGTGTGCTCTGGATGGTAAGTGTGGGGCACAGGTTGGCAAAGTCCTTACCCAGCTGCCAGCAGACACGGCTTATGCCCCCACCCCTTAATTTGAGCACGGGGGGGCCAGGCCCCTTCCCCTCTCCAGTAACCCTTCTTTTGCCCCATAGCACCAGCGCTGCCCAGTGGTGACCCTGGAGCCTGCCCCACTGCCGGTGACGCCGCCGCTGTCTCCCCAGCCCTCCACCCTGGCCAGCAGCCGCTCTGAAAAGAGCTCGTCATGGTCCAGCCGCTCACTGGGCGCCCGGTGCCGCAACTCCATCGCCTCCTGTCCTGACGAGCAGCCCCACATCGGCAACTACCGGCTGCTCAAGACCATCGGCAAGGGCAACTTCGCTAAGGTCAAGCTGGCCCGGCACATCCTGACGGGCAGGGAGGTGAGTCGGGCCCTTTGGGGTTTTGGGGGGCGGTCATGGATTGCTGAGGAGGTGGGGGGAGCCGTCCCTCCCAGTACAGCTGAAACTGGCCAGGGAAGAGGCAGAGCTGGCAAGTCAAGGGGATGGGTGGTTGGGCCCAGCACAGGCCGGGGGGAGGGGGGGAATCAGCTGCACTTGAAGGCATTTACCCGGGGACTGACTTCCCAGGGAGTCAGGGCTTCCTCCGAAGCATCCCATTGGGGTTGCTCTGAATGGCCACTGGTTTCCCCTTGCAAAAACTGGGCCTGGCCAAGACCCTCCAGAAGGCTCCGGGCACTCAAAGACAATCCCCCCCCTCAAAAGAAATCATAAAATAAAGACAGTATCTGCAATTGTACAAGGAAGGGAAAAGTGCAAAGAGCAGCTGCAGACGCAAACTTTCTGCCACAGTCTGCCCCCCCCCCCACCTCCTCCTGCACTCAGCGGAACATCCAGGTTGAATGGTGGGGGGAGAGGCAGGGGGGCATTCCGGAGCACAGGAGACAGAAGGGAGGAAAGGCTCCCCACAGACCCAGAGAAGGGCTCAGCCCCAGGGACAGCCAGGCCAGCTGCCAGCTCTGATGGCCACGGGAGCTCCTGCCTTGTGTGTGGGAAGCCTGTGGATTTCCCTCTTGGACTGAACTGAATAGGCTGTCCATGTCCCCCACCCCACCCCGCTCCATGGAGCCACTGAGGCTTCAGCCCAGCTGAATCCAGGCCACGCCTGGCCATTGTAAGGCCCCACAGATTTTATTTATTTATTTATTTATTGGTTGGATTTATATGCCGCCCTTCTCCAGAGACTCAGGGAGGCTTACAATGCGTTAAGCCATAGCCTTCATACTTTTGTATATACCTCCTTAGTAGGGCTTTCGGCCCCCCCTAAGCGGTGTTCTTTTTTATACGAAGTCAGCTTATTTTCTGCATTGTATTTTCTCAAGGTGGCTATCAAAATAATTGACAAGACGCAGCTCAATCCAACAAGTCTCCAGAAGGTGAGCAGATGTTGGGGGGGACACGGGTGGGGGGGGGGCTTCAGAGCCCAGCTGCCAACTGTCTCCCTTTCCAAGGGACTTGGGGGGTGACACGGAGGGAGGAGTGCCATGGCCTCCTCTGCTCAGAAAGGTCCCTGGGCAGCCCCACAAAGAGATGCAGCCCTCTCCCCTCTGCAGGGCTAAGCAGCCCCTTCCCCACTTGGTGGGCAGGGTGCCACCCTCTGAGTGAGGGTCTTGAACCCTCCGCCTGGGCAATGTGGGTTGAGGTGTCCCTCCCCTTCCCTTTGGCTCCCTGCCTTTCCTGCCAGCAGTGGGGGGGGAGAGATTGCTCCCCATTGCCCCCCTCCCTAATTACGGCTGTGAGTCTAAGCTGGTCGCTGTGGAAACCCGGCTCCTGCCAGCTTCCCAATGGGGAGGGGAAGGAGTGGACCTGCTAATTAGTGGCTGGATCCTCCAGGACAAATGAGTTTCAGGGAAGGGGGAGGCAAATTGCAAAGGCCATTGGTTCAGCTGCTGCCTCTTTGGGTGCCCCAGGTCTTTTGGGGGGAGGGCAAGACCCATATCAGTGGCCAAGGCTGGTCAATGATAGCCCTGGAGGGAATGTGGGGTCTATGAGTGGCTGACTGGGGAGGGGAGCCTAGGAAAGTGTCCTTCAGCTGCACAGAAACCCCTTCCCCTTGGAAGAGTGCCTTCCCTAGGAGCGAAGGAAGAGAAGGAACAGAGAGAAGGGAGGGGCAAGTAGACAGTCAGACATGCAATATTGTTATTCATTATAATTTAATTATGCAAAAGCTGCTTTGGGAGATCCTCTTGAAAGGGGTGATTATTAATCATGGTTAATCAATTAAAGGCCATTCAACCCCCAGCACACCATGGCAAGACGGCCACGGCCAATTCAGACCTGACAGACCAATAATCCATGACCTACAGGTCAAACCTAAGGGCTGTTCCCAAAGCTGGATGCTCTAGACACTCCAGTGAAGAGCTCCAGCAAGTGAGCCAAGCTACACGCGCACACACAATATAAGCACAGGGGAAAGGCTGCCTGGGACCAGAGTGAAGGGAGGCTTAATGGGACCCAGAATCCTTAATGGGGTGCCTGACGCTGCACTTCTGGCAGCTCATGGCAAGTCCCCAGACGTTTGTTTTTAATGTATGGTTATCATGTGATTGCTAAGGCCCTTGGAAAAAGAAAGGAAGAGAAGATCCCAATGCCTCTCTCAAACTCTAGAAAATCTCTCTCTTCTTAAAGAACCAATTAAATCTTGGCTCCCTGGGGCGATATTGATCCATCCTTCCTCTGCAGCTATAAAGGGGCATTTCAGAGGCTGAAAGTGAACATTTCGCCAGGCCAAGATTTTACTTGTGGCTCTTTCCAGCCTGACATTATTAGCCTTTTTCTGCTGATGGAGCTGACCAGGGTTTGTCAAATTCCAAATTTTCGGTACATAACCAGACCTCCCCTTCCTGTCTTCCAACCTCCAACCTCCTGCCAGGGCCATATCACGTATACAGCTGGTCCTCAGTCTATGACCATTCATTTAGTGGCTCTTCAAAATTACAGAAACACTGAAAAAAGTGAAAAAAGTACAATAAAGGTTTATGGACAATGGGGGAGGTTGGTAAATGAAGGGAAAGTCCCATTTTCCTTTTGCCAGCAAAGCTGGACCAGCCTTCCCTTTCTACAGAAATGTCCTTGTTTGGGGGACTTTAAAACCAGTCTGTTTTGGGAGGGGGGGGGATTGTGGAGAGAAAAATGTTATACTGTGACCTTTGGGGGGGGGGGGGTCAGCTAACTCCTGTTTGGGACATTTTTGCAGCTCTTCAGAGAAGTCAGGATCATGAAGGGACTGAATCACCCCAATATCGGTAAGAAACAGAAGTCTGGGAGACCCCGTGGGCGGCCCCCCCCACATGGAAGTCGTGCTCTTCAGCAGCTGAAGGGGTCAGGAGGCTGGGGTCAAAATGGGGGTCCATCTTTCAATTCAGAAGGCAACTTGCTGGGGATAGGAAGGAGAGCTCAGAGGGCATCAAGTTGCAAAAACTTGCTAGGTACGGTGGTGGGGGTCAGAAAACCCCCCAAGAAATGAGCAGAATCTGGGATTCAGGCAAAGCTTTGGGGAGCAGGGACTGCTGTGGGATGCCCCCACAAGGCTTTGCGCTCCCCCAGGAAGGACCGCTGCAGAATCGCAGATAGGGGTCCCAGTGGTCACTTGTCTTGCCGCCCAGAATTTTTAACTTCCCTCTCTAGTGCTTGCCCCATATAAAAGAAAATAGTCCACTGTTAAAAAGAGGCCTGCGAGGTTCGCAGTGGTGACAGGGGGGTGGGGGAGAGGGAGTGGGGCAGCCGCAGCGTCCCCGGGAGGGCAGCTCCTTGCTGGGGAGGCTGACGTGGCTTCTGGTTCTTTGCGCAGTGAAACTCTTTGAGGTGATTGAGACGGAGAAGACCCTCTACCTGGTGATGGAGTATGCTAGCGCCGGTAAGACTTGCCTGCCCTTCCCGGCTGGGTTGAAGAGAACATTTGTAGCTCAAGGATGAAAGGAGGGGTCTTTGGTGGCCTCTGAGCTGAGCTGTTAACTTTCAGACGTTTCATGACCCAACTGGGCAACATCGCCAGTGTCACTAAGGAAGAGGGGAGGAAGAGGAGGAGAAAGATTGTAGGGTCCTTGGTGCTCTCTGATCTTGGTGGTTTCCTTGCAGACATTTCATGACCAAACTAGGGAACATTATCAGTACACTCTGAGGTTGGCCATCAGTGCACTGATGATGTTCCGTAGTTTGGTCATGAAATGTCTGGAAGGAAACCACCAAGTTCAGAGAGCACCAAGGGCCCCACAGACATTGCAACCTGGGGGAGGGGTTCTTCCCCCTTTAGGCTGCAGAGAGGTTGGGGGTCAGCATGTGCTCCTCCAGGAAAGTCTGTCACCTGGACTGGTTTCTAAGGGCGACAAAACTCTGCATTTGGAGGCAGCGTAAACAGGCTCATCCACCAGGCATTTCCTTGAGCTCCAGCTATCCTCGCCTGACCCCCTTTTGTGCTGACAAGCTGAGGAATTTCTCTCCTCTGTCTGGCCAACTGGCACCTGCCCACCCCATTACCTGGGCAAACTCTTCCCGGCAGATCTCCAGGAACAGCTGCAAGCGCATCCTGTCCTTCCCTGGCACCGATGGCCCCGGGTTCAAATGTCCATAGCACCCACCATTGGCTTCACCATTCCTTCACTTCACCCTTCCCTGTTTCTAGCCCTGGCATCTGAGCTGGCCTCACTCACCTGTCCTTCCTCTCTTCGTGCAGGAGAAGTTTTCGATTACCTGGTTTCCCATGGCCGCATGAAGGAGAAAGAAGCCCGGGCCAAGTTCAGACAGGTGGGGCCTCACGATGCCATTGAGAATGCCCTCCCTTTGGGCTCTGGGCAGGGATACCCATAGGGCCTGGCTGGGTGGGCAAGCATTTCTGGCTGCCTGGCAGAGTCCGCTTGCTGGGCAAATGGGCTCATCTGGCATGGGGAGGGTGTTCTCCACAAGGACCGGTTCACTTGCTTTGCCTGGAAGGGGGCTGTGGAGGGGCTGGAGGGGTCAAATGGGGGGCTTGCACGCTAGCCAGGACCCCTCCTTTTCACTCCTAGATTGTCTCAGCTGTGCATTACTGTCACCAGAAGAATATTGTACACAGAGACCTGAAGGTGAGGAGTTTCAATGCTGCTGCCATCTCTCCCTCCCCCACCCCTATTCCTCTCCTTGTATGGGAGCAATGGTTCAGCCACCCTGGGGCAGCCCCCAAAGCTTGCCCCGAGTGGCTGGATTTTGTGAGCCTCAGTGCTTCCACCTATAAAATGGGAAGAATTGCTGCCTGCTCTTAGAGTTGATGCGAGTTCACCAGAACAGCTAGAAGAACCAGGGAAGCTTCTCCACCCAGCATTTTCCTGGCCGTTAGACTTCGGGTGCAGGTTCCTAAAAGCTTATTGGGCCTGGGGGCTGCAGCAAAACTTTACACCCCCCCTTTCTCTCCCCCAGGCAGAAAACCTGCTGCTGGATGCGGATGCCAACATTAAAATAGCCGACTTTGGCTTCAGCAACGAATTCACGCTTGGCTCCAAGCTGGACACCTTCTGCGGAAGCCCCCCCTATGCCGCCCCTGAGCTCTTCCAGGGGAAGAAGTATGATGGGCCGGAGGTGGACATCTGGAGCCTTGGGGTCATTCTGTACACCCTGGTCAGCGGCTCCCTGCCTTTTGATGGGCAGAACCTCAAGGTGAGGCTGTGGGGTGCAGAGGGCGGGGCAGGGCGGGAGTCCCAGTTGCAAGGAGGGAGGGTCAGGTCAGCAAAAGGGGGCTGGCTGGGATGCTGGGGGTGTGGGGGGGCTGTGCCGGATGAGTTCCTGGCTCTGGATCCACTTGGGAAAAGGGCACCTGGGCATTTGGCGTCTCCACCTGGGTTTCCACAAAGGGAAAGCTGTGAGCGGCTTTCCCTTTCTGTTTGTTTATTTCTTTATTTTATGAATTGGCATATCTCCCACCTCTCCGTGCAAAGTCTTTTCTCCTCACTCTGCCCGGTTGCCCAATGCCAGAAGTTGCAAAGGCTGGTTCCCATCAGGGGAACGAGTGGTTGGCATCTCATCTTCTGGGCACCTGGCCACTGGCCTGGCATGAGCCCTTTGGCGCCCTTGGCCAGGCAGCGCTGCCCCCCAGCGGACTGGCTGCCCAGAGCGACTGATGGGGGGAGCTGGGCTGCGCTCTGACCAACAGGCCTCTCCCCACCCCCCTCCCAGGAGCTGCGGGAGCGCGTGCTGCGTGGCAAGTACCGTGTCCCCTTCTACATGTCCACAGACTGCGAAAACATCCTGAGGCGCTTCCTGGTGCTGAATCCTGCCAAACGCTGCACCCTGGAGGTGAGGGGGCCTGGCTCCGTGGCAAGCCCCGCGTGGCAATTTGCCATCCCTGGGTGGCTCCAGATGCTCCTTCCTCCCTTGTGGTCCCTCTGGGGCTGAAGGAGCACAGCTGGCAGTGCCCGTCCCCCATGCCAGTTTCCCGGGCACCCACCAGAAGCCGGGCCTTTAATTAGCAACCATCTCTGTGGGATCTGGCCCTCCCCACTGCTGAGCCTTCCTCCCCTGACTCCCCCCCCCACCAATGACTGTAATTAGCCTAATTGACTCAAGGATAATTGCATGGTGTGTCAGGGAGGCACTGCACACCCACGCCCTCCCCTCCTGGCACAGCTCAGCGCGTGTTCCAGTTGGGCCTCCACAGGCACCCTGTAGTTTATTGGGAGGCTGTTTGTGCCTCCTCTGAAACGGAGACCCATGCTGGAAAAAAATGGAGGGAGTTCCTTGGGTGAAGAATTGAAGGTGCCTCTGAGCATGTGCTGAGGGCTGCAGGAACCGGCCTTTGCTCACCTGGGGTGCCCAGATACCTCAGGTGGGAATTATGAGGGCTTGAAGCTCAGGGCGCCAGGTGGGCCCGGAGGGGGCTGCATTGGCGGGGCTGGGAGAGGGCCCAGCAGTTCGGTCCCCCATTAACGCTTCTCCCCCCCCCAGCAAATAATGAAGGACAAGTGGATCAATATCGGCTACGAAGGGGACGAGCTGAAGCCTTACCGAGAACCCGAGGAGGATTTTGCAGATGCCAAGCGCATAGGTAGGGCCCCCCCCCCGGTGCTTGGGGGGATGAGCGGCCCTGGACCCTCCCCCTCACGTGCGGCTGATCCTGCTGCCTGAGATCTCCCACCTGCACACAGATCCCAGACCGAAGGGTCTGCCACCAATGCCCAACTGCTCTCCTGGGCACCAAGGGGAGTGGCAGTGGGGCAGCTGGGCAGCATCCCCCATCCCTGACAGCAGTGGGGTCTTCGAGCCCCTCCTGGCCTTGGGCTGGCTTAACCTGTTGCCTCTGCTCCTCCCTATCCAGAGGTCATGGTGGGCATGGGCTACAGCCGGGAGGAGATCAAGGAGGCCTTGGCCAACCAGAAGTACAATGAGGTCACAGCCACCTACCTGCTGCTGGGCAGGAAGAACGAGGTACAGATGCTGCCAAAGCGCCCCCCCCCCCCGGGATTTGAGCAGGAGGGTGGGGCATCCTAGTGCAAAGCCGCAGGGCAGGGGGCACACACTTCAGCCGTGCTCCATTTGCCAGGAGGCTACAAGGGGCAGGTTTTGGATTCGCCCGAGGACCCCATGTGTGGGAGTGGGTTCCTGGCTTCTGAGGAGCCAGGCTCCAGCTGGCCTAAGGAGGAAGCCATTCCCCCCACCCCCCTGAAAGGGATGCAGCTGCCTCCCTCCCCCCCAGGTGCAGGCATGCACATGCTCAAGCTGCAGCAGCTTTGACAGGCCTGGCAATCTGCTCTGTCCAGCAGGTGGAAGCGGGGGAGTCCCGCACAGGCAGCAGCCTCTCGCTGGCCCGAGCACGGCCACCCAGTGAGGTCTCCAACGGCACCAGCAAGTCCTCCTCACACGCCAAGGGCCAACGGAGCTCCTCCACATACCACCGGCAACGGCGGCACAGCGATTTCTGTAAGTAGCCGGAGGGGGGGGGGTCTGCCATCTCTGGAGACCTGAGGGCCACTCTTGGGGTCTGGTATGGCCCCCCAGCACACTGCCTGGAGGGCCTCCTAAGAGCCCAGCCCTTCTCTTAGCTTTATCCCCCAAATCATAAAATGGTCCAAGAGTTCATGGGAATCCGGCAGTGGTGTCAAGCTGAGGCTGCTTGGAGTCCTCTTGCAAGCAGGGGGTTGGCTTGATGGCCTCAAGGAGTCCTCTGATCCCTCTAAACTCCTGCAGCTTTGGAGCTCTCCTTCCAGAGGTTTGAGGTGCATCCAAGATGGTCAACAGGTTGAGATGGGGAACATAATACAGGTAGTGCTTGACTTACGACCACAACTGAGCCCGAAGTTTCTGTTGCCAAATGAGACAATTATTGAGTTTTGTCCCATTTTATGACCTTTCTTGCCACAGTTGTTAACTGAATCACTGCAGTTTTTAAGTTAGCAACCCAGTTGTTAAGTGAGTCTGGCTTCCCCATTGACTTCGCTCGGCAGATGGTCGCAAAAGGGGATCATGTGACCCCGGGACACTGCGACCGTCATAAATGTGAGCCATGAATAGATGCTTTAATGGTCGTAAGTGTGAAAAACCAGGCATAAGTCACTTTTTTCAGTGTGTTGTAACTTCAAATGGTCACTAAACGATCTGTTGTAAATTGAGAACTACCTGTAAATACAAGTGTTTATTCTGTGGTTTCATCTCAGAGGAAATTTAAAAGGAAGTAAATCCACAATAGATTTTGTCCTGAGCCCCCTTGCCCACTCAGGGTCATTGGATGCTGCCCTCTCTGAAAGTGCCCCCTTCCCCTCCCCCCAGGTGGCCCTTCCCCCACCCCCCTGCACCCCAAGCGGAGCCCCACCAGCACCGGGGACGGGGAGCTGAAGGAGGAGCGGATGCCCTCGCGCAAGGCCAGCTGCAGCGTGGTGAGCAGCGGCCGGGGGGGCCTCCCGCCCTCCAGCCCCATGGTGAGCAGCGCAAACAACCCCAACAAATCGGAGATCCCTGACCGGCGCAAGGACAGTGCGGTCAACACGGTGAGGGGGGAGGGAGGGGGGGCTGGCGGGCTCCTCCCTCAGCACAAACCCTCATTCGGTGGGGCAGGCAAGGTGGGCAATGCTGTTGTTCCCCCAGGGCGGCGGGACATCTGCAGTATGCCAGGGCCTCGGGAGGGGGGCATTCCTTCCCTGCCAGGGCCAAGGAGCTTTCCTTAGACGTCGGGGAACGAGGGATGGAGTTTGAAAGGGCACCGGGCGGTTTCGGAGCGCTGCCCAGGTCCTTCTGTGCCCAGGAGTCACGGAGCCAGGCTAAAAATTGGCGCTTGGTCTCCCCAAATTCAGGAGCCTTTCTTCTGGTCATGCTTCTTGTGTCCAAGCAGAAGCAGAAGCTGCCAAAGAGGGGCTTGGATTAGGAGGTGACCTGTGGCCTCTTCTGTGTCACCATCAGTGATACAACTATTAACAGACCGACAGGGTTGGAAGGGACCTCGGAGCTCTTCTAGTCCAACCCCCCCTTCTACCTTCTACCATTTCAGGCCAATAGCTGTCCAGTCTCTTCCTGAAAACTTCCAGTATTGGAGCATTTGCAACTTCTGAAGGCAAATTGTTCCACTGCTCAATTGTTCTCAGTGTCAGGAAATTCCTCCTTGTTTCTAGGTTGCTTCTCTCCTTCAGAACTTCCATCCGTTGATTCTTATCCTGTGCTTTGGAGGATAGGTTGACACACACACCCCTTGTTTGTGGCTGCCCCTCAAATATTGTAAACCTGCCATCATGTCACCCCTAGTCCTTCTTTTCTGTAGACAGGCCATACCCAATTCAGAACTGAGGAGGAATTTCCTGACAGTGAGAATAATTAACCTGTGGAACAGCTTCCCTCCAGAAGTTATGGGAGCTCCATCACTGGAAGCTTTTAAGAAGAGACTGGACAGCCACTTGTCTGGAATGGTAGGGGGTCTCCTGCTCGAGCAGGGAGTTGGACTAGAACAGGGGTGGGCAAATATGCCCCCTTTACGACCTGTGGACTTCAACTCCCAGAATTCCTGAGCCAGCTTGGCTGTCTCAGGAATTCTGGGAGTTGAAGTCCACAGGTTGTAAAGGGTTTGCCCACCCTGGACTAAAAGACCTCTGAGGTCCCGTCCAACTCTGTCATTCTGTTAATGTCTAACTTGCCAAAGACCCGGATGCTGAGAATGTGATGCAGCTGCCCCCAGTCCATCCCCCTAATTCCAGGCCCCATCTGATCTACCGGCACTGAGCTGGCCACCTTCCTTCCTGTTTCAGAATAACATCCCGTCCAGTATGATGACGCGGCGGAACACGTACGTCTGCACGGAGAGGCCTGGGGGCGACCGCCACTCCCTGCTCCAGAACGGGAAGGAGAACAGGTGGACTTTGGGTGGGGCGGGGCACGGGGGGTAGCACTGTGGTGGCTCTGGGGCACGGTCACTTCAGTGTCTGGCACGGGGTGTCCATCTTGGCCACTTGAAGTTGGCTGGACTTCAACTCCCAGAGTTCCTCAGCCAGCCCTGCTGGGAGCTGAAGTCCACCCTTCTTCAAGAGACGGAGAAACTCCCGGTCTGGAGAGGCTCATTTCCAGAGGGAGAAACGGAAGTTGTTGCAGCTCAACAGGACCAAGAGAGCCATGTGGCCCCTCCCAGAAGCCCCCTTTCCTTATCCCCAGAGAGGAACCCAACGGGGGCACAGGGTGCTTGTGAGCGCCTGCCCCACGGCTCCTGAGTGGTCCTGAGCATCCCACCGAGGGAGCAGGGCCTTTGGCCATCTCGTGTCCAGAGACCAGGCACAAGGTCAGCATCCTAAGGAGTCACCTCAAGGGGCTGCAGGAGACCAGTGGTGGCTCAGGGGTCAAAGGCCAAACCTTTGGGATTTCTCAGATCTTTTGCCCCAAAGTTCTTCCGGGCCCCACATTGCCGTTGTTGGGGGCGAAGAATCTTGGTTTGCCCTGAGTGGTGCCCTCTCCTTCTTCCCCCCTGCAGCTCAGGTGCCAGTCGGGTGCCCCCGGCCTCCCCCTCCAGCCACAGTATCGCCACCTCCTCCTCCTCGTCCGACCGCACCCGGCTCTCTCGCGGCACCAACATCCGCAGCACCTTCCACGGGGGACAAGTGCGGGACCGGCGTGGCACCGGCGTGCAGAACGGGCCGCCCCCCTCTCCCACCCTCTCCCACGAAGCCCCCACTCTGCCTCAGAGCCGCAGCCGGGCCACCTCCAACCTGTTCAGCAAACTGACCTCGAAGCTCACGCGGAGGTAAGTGGAGGCCGCTTCTGGCCCGGGGGGAGGGGGGGGCTGCAACATTGAATCCTCCCCACCCACTCCAAATTAGTTTGCAGAGTTCAGGCCATTCCTGGATTACAGGCAGCACCTCAGCCCCTTTCCTGCCGCTCTGCAGATAGAATACAGGTAGTCCTCAAACTACGACCACAATTGAGCCTACGGCTTCTGTTGCTATGCAAGACTGTTGTTAAGTGAGCTTTGCCCCATTTTACAACTTTTCTTGCCACAGTTGTTAAGTGAGTAACACGGTTGACGTGAATCTGCCTTCCCCATTGACTTGGCTGGTCAGCGGGTCTCAAAGGGGGATCACGTGACCCCGGGACACTGCGACCGTCATAAACGACCCAATTTTGATCACGTGACCTCAGGGATGCTGCAATGGTCATAAGTGTGGAAAACGGTCATAAGTCCCTTTTTTTCTGTGCCGTTGTAACTTTGAATAGTCACTAAATGAAGGGTTGTAAGTTGAGGACTACCCGAAAGAAGGCAAGAGGAAGCAAACGGGGGAGATTTAAGGGTGTTCAGCACATCCCTTTGTCTCTACAGCCCCTGGCACTGCCCCACTGGCGCCAAGCCTCCCCCTGCAGCTCTTGGAGGCAGCAAAGCACCTTCAGGACAGGTGTGCCCAGCCCAGCGAGGGAAGGTGCCCGCCTGCAGTCAGTGCCTCTCTTCTGAAGGAGGCTGACTCTGCGCAGCCTCTCCCCCTTGGGGACCCCCTCTGCTTGGCCCATTGTCTGCCATCCAGGGAAAACTGGGGGGGGTCTCTTCCAGTGGTAAGATCCTACCTGTTCGCACCAGTTCGGGCCAACCAGTAGTGATAAAAGATACTGGTCTGGCTAACCGGTAGTCAAAAAAAAAGCTACCGGTTGGTCCAAACCGGTATTTCCGATGATCAGCTGTGCCGCGTGATTTATATTCGCTAGAAAGCAGGAAATTCTGCTTTCTAATGAACCGCGGAGGATTTCACCACTGATCTCTTACCGCCCCCCGCAGGTCCTCACACAGCTGCGGCCACCATGCTGGCAAAATAGGGAGGTGTGGACAGTGACACACCTAGCAGAGTCCCTGGGTGTCGGGGGTGGGCGGGGGGAAGAGGGGGTAGGTATAGATTTCATAAATGGCAATCCAGATGATCCAACGTCTTTCCCCTTGCCTGGGCACAGCCGGGGCAGGGGGGACCCCTGGATGGATGGCCAAAGACAGAGCACTTTCTGCAGCCCCCATGGTGGGGGCTTCGCCCCAGAGAGCCTGGCAGAGCCTTTGAAGCCTCCCGGGAGGGCAAGCAAATGAGCATGACTTCTGTGGGGCATGCATGGCTTCCCCCCTGGTGAGCCCTGGGTGGAGCTGCTTCGTCCCAGCACTGCTTAGCTGAAGGCGGCTGTGTCCCCAGGAGACACTCCTGGGAGAGGAGAGGGGCGGCTCTGGCCTACCCCCTCCCCAGTCCTGGGAGAGGAGAGAAAGGAGGTGGGGGGCAGAGGAAATCAGCTGGCTCAGATAGGGGCTCTAGGCAGGAAGGTTAGAACAGGAAGCCCCTTCCCCCAACGGGGGGGAGGGGGGCATGGAAGCGAACGGCCAAAGTCCCAGGCAGCCCCATCCTGAGCATGGGCCCCACAAGTCCCTCGGCAGAAAGGGAGATGGGCGGGGCCCTTGCAGGAGCTGGGGTCTTTGGGGACTGAGGGAGAAGGGGGTGTCTGATGTGGCAGAATGAAGGGCAGGCAGCTGCCCAGGGCAGGGAGGACGTTTAAGTGCAAATGGGCGGGGCAGGATTCACACTCCTGGCCGCAGGCTTGGCTGAGTGAAGAAAAGGAGTTGGAGATTTGCTTTTGGGGGGCTCAGCCAGAGGAGCCTCTGGGGGCCCCTCTGATGCAGTCCGGGGAGAAAGGGAGCCCGACCCCCAAAAACCAGCTGGAAGGAGCTTCTCCCCGCACAACCTGGACTCTACCTTCCCCTCCCCACCCGGAGCATTTGCAGCTACTGAGGCAGGACTGACGCCCTCCCCACTAACCTCTCTTGCTCTGCCCCCCGCCCTCTGCACCCCTTTCACTCTGGCTTCTCTCTGTTTTCAGGGTCACTCTTGACCCCTCTAAGCGGCAGAATTCTAACAGGTGCGTCCCGGGTGCTTCAGTGCCCCTGTCCCGCTGCCTTCCCCCCCCGCCCCCCCCCTCCCCGCTCACCCTTGCTCGGCTAGAGCCCTTAGCGGCCCCCCACTGGGAATGCCTCTCAGCTGCGCCTGGCTGCTCCGGAGCCCCCACCCCCACCTGGCCGGTTCAAGAGGCACAGAAAGGTGTTTTGAAGCACTCGGGACTCTCTTCCTTACGTTGCCGGTTGGAGCTGAGCCCGAGGTGCCCCCTGCCCGCCCGGGGCTCTGAGCAAGGCCGGCTAAGAGTCGGGCCAGGTGTGCAGCCGGGCAAGCCCAGGGCAGAGGCAGAGAGGTCACTGGCTTCTTCAGAAACGGTCCCAGGTGGACCGTGCCCAGGCTGCCTTTGCGGCCGAGGCGGCTCGCCTTTCTGCCTGTGGGCAGCGTGGAAACCCCACAGCAGCCCAGCCTGCTCCCCGTCCTCTGCTGGGTGGTCAGCTGGTGCCTCGGTTGCCTGCCCTGGCTGCAAGGCCCCCGGCAGAACAACAAGCCCTCCCCATAGAAACGTTGCAGGAAAGGGCGGGGGCAGAACCTTTCTCTGGGCGGCAGACTGAGGCAGGCTTTGGCCCCAGGGAACCCCATTTTGCAGTTCTAAATGACCCACTCCTGCCCAGGTACCCCGTCTCCCTCGTCTCCCTGAGGATCAAGAGCTGGAGGCTGACAGTGAAGGAGGGGGGCTCCCCCAGATGACGCTGCCCACATCCTCTTTGCCTTCACTGCTGTTCCTGTCTTGCCTTTCAGGGTCGCAGACGAACCTGAGAGAATCAGGGGACCTGCGCTCACAAGGTGAGTCCCCGGGGGGCCGGCCCCCATCTATGCTGAGAGCTCGAAAGGCCAAAGGGGGCTGATGGAGAGGCCGGGGGGGCACTTGGCTTCCTCAGCAGCAGCAGGAGGAAAACGTGGCTTTGCGAGAGTTGTCTTGATTTTGCACAGTTCAGTTGCAGAATTCAGCTGGGGGGGCATGTGGGGGATTGTGCCACGTAAAATGTCTGGGTCTGGAGCCCAGCTCAGTTGGGGGGGGGACCTCTGCGAATTAGTCCGTTCTCTCCGGGGCGTGTTCACCTAACTTATCTGGGCTCCTCCAATATCTACAGTCTGCTGGAGTTTATTTTTACTTATTTATATTGTGCCTTTATTTTTATGAGTAACTCATGGCAGCAAACATACCTAATCCGCCTTCCTCCTCTTTTGCCCCACAAACACCCTGTGAGGTGGAATGGGCTGAGAGAGGGGGGGAGGGGGACTAAGGCGAGGCTAGACTATTCATAGCCAGTCTAGGTTCACGATGCCTTAAGCCATGGTCAGAAACCCTGACCAAGCTAAACATAACCCCTTGGCATCTTGGCTGGGGCGGGGTCCCTTTTCTGGGGCCTTTGGGGCATCTGCCGCTGGTGCCCGCTGAGCAGGCTCTTGGTCCTCCTCGCCCGCAGTTGCAATCTACCTTGGCATCAAAAGGAAGCAGAACCCCGGCTGCTCCGATTTACCTGGAATGTGAAGCTAACCAGCACCCGCTCTGCCGAGGCCATCCTGGCCGCCCTCTGCCAGGCCACGGACTCTGCCAACTGCTGCCGCCGCCAGACGGAGCCCTTCGTCCTCTCCTGCACCCACGGGAAGAGCGCCAGTGAGAACTTCTGCTGCTTCGAGGTGGAGGTCTGCCGGCTGCAGCGGCTGGGGGGCCTGCACGGGGTGCTCTTCCGGCGCCAGGCTGGCACCTCCCTGGCCTTCCGCAGCCTGGTGGCCAAAATCACAGACCGGCTGCAACTCTAGGGTGGCCCGGCCTGCTCCGTGCATTGACTGACCCCCAGACTGGGGAGCCGCGTGGGGGAGGACATGGCCCTGGGACCTTCCTACCTTCCCTCTGGGGCCCAGGCAGTCCTTGGGCCCACCTCTGCTGCCAGTGGGAGCAGTCACTGCCTGCCTGCCAGCCAGCCTGTCAGTGGTGCTAGGAGGGGTACAGGGGGAGGGCAGGAGGGAGGGGAGAGTAAGGGGGGCTGGCAGAGAAGGACACTGGCTCCTCCTCTGGCCCCTAATTGGGTGAGGGAAAGGCTAGCCAGCCTTCCCTTTCCCAAGTCACATGGGGGGAACTGCAGGCGAGGCTCTGGCGTGCCCCCTGCTTCATCCGTTGTGCAAAGGGGACTCCTGCCCATTGTGCTGTGGCCACCAGCCGTGACACTTTCACTCGCCACCTCATTGCCATCCAGGAGCCAAAGTGCTTTCATTTCCCCAAGTGGAGGGGGGGCGGTTTTGGGGCTTGCCCATAGAGTGTCCTGCCTCCCTTTCCTGGCACCCACAAAGGCTGACACCCCCCCCCCCACCCGGCTCCACTCTGGCTGGATTGCTGGCAAGAAGAGCTGCTGCCCCAGGAACCCAAGCATCCTCCAGGACAAGGGGGACCACTGCGGTCTGGTTCAGCGGGGGAGGGGTTGGGCAGGAGAATGGAGCAAAGTGGTTCAACTGAACCAGGGATGGGGGTGGGGGGGAGCTGAGCCAGGAGGGGCCGCCTGACTGGCAAAGGGGTTGCAGCGCCATGTCCAGCCTTGCCTTCAGTGGCAGCACCATTCACACCCAACCGGGCAGGCAGCTGTGCACTTGAGCAGTTTGGGCACCGGAGGCCCTCCTGCCCAAAGGCCTGCAGGCCAGAAGGTCCCGAGCACCGGGCAGCAGGCAGAATCCCCACATCTCCATGCAGAGCTCGTGACCGGACTAAGAACCAAGGCTGAAGCCTGAAGAAAGTGGAGCTGGTGCCAGGACCCCGCTCGGAAGGGGCTGGTCCTCCCGAGTGGGTGAAAGAGCCAGGATTCGGTCACCTGACGGCTGCTGGCCATCTCACTGCGGTGGGCAGGAGTTGGTGATGCTGGCTGCCCAAGAAGCTCTGCTTCAGTGCAGTAGGAGGGCCATGCTGGGTGGCAGCTTGGCACCTTTCAACCCTGGGAGTTTGGGGCCCAGCAGTGGGAAAGAGCCATGGAGGGGGACTGGCACAGCAGGCGGCAGAGCTGCCAGGTGCCCTGGGCATGGATAGGGTGGATCTGTTTGGCCAGGGTAAGTGGGGGGCCTTGTCGGACGGGCCCAGAGACACAGCTGCTGAGGGGAGAGTTGGCCACTCCAGTGGGGAAAGCTGCAGTGCCCCTCCCTCCTCCCCCCCAGCTTTCCTTTGTTTACTGGGTGCCCCTGCTGTGACTTCCCCCTTCTCCTCAAATCTGGCCTCTTGGGTGCCCCCCACTCTGTACAGACCCCCTGTAAATAATATTCCCTTAGCCCCGTATCACTGGGTAGAGATATTAAGCGCCACCTTTTCACCTCTGGACGATGTAAGTTATTCCGGCCCCAAATGATGGTCGTGTCCAACCCTCAATAAATGTAGAAACTCTCCTGGCTCCGTTTGCTCCCTGCATCACACGTGGCGCTGACATGGGGGGGGGGCTGATTGCTGGCAAGGCCCTGGGTGAGAGTCCTGCCAGCCTTGGCAGCTCCTGGGGCAAGAGGCATGGCTGCCAAAGCCTCTCGGTGGGCATTGGGAAGAGGACCCTCTCCAAGGGCAGCCCTGCATTAAGAACCAGCCAGCCAGAGAAGCCCCTGCTCTTGGGAAACCCCCAAACTGAGGCAAAAGTACCCCTCAGCTCATAAAGGTAGACTGTCACTGTGGTTGGATGCTCAATCATCATGGCAGAGGTACTCTAGGCACGTGGGCTCAGATCCCTTCTAAGAACAGCCCCTTCCCCACCTAGGAGCCCGCATTCCCCTCTGCTCACTCAGGCTGTGCCCAGCCTTCACTTGGAAATGAAGGGGGGCAGGGCAGCCGCCTGGATCTGGGTGGAGGGTGCAAAGGGTGCCATTCCTGGGAAACCCAAGAGACTTGGGGGATCCTGCAGTAGCTCGCCAGCTGCTTTCCCCTGGACTGAAAGGCAAAATGGGAGGCCCCACTACTCTAAACCGCCCCACCCCAAGCATGTGCGCCAAAGAGAAGAAAGGCACGGGGGGCATCTGTGGGGGGAGACAAGGCTCTGGGGCCGATCGTTCACTTTATTAACTCCGTCCACCGGGGCTCCCAGGAGGAGAGCTTCCCAGCTGGCCAAGGGCAGCCGCCCCCGGCCCTCGGAGAGCCGAGCACCAGGAGCTGCTGCTACAAGTGGCAGGGTTGGGGTCACCCCGGAGTCCAGGCCCCAGGCCGCCCAGGGTCAGGCCCTCTCACTTCTGGGCAGGGATCATGTCATCGATGGCCTGGCCCTTCTCCAGTTTCTTCTCCATCTCCACCATCAGCTTCACACCATCCACCACCAGCTGCACCTGCTCCACCTCGGAGGAGCCCAGCCGGTCCGCGTTGGAGATGTCGAACACGGCGCCCACGGCCTCAGTGTCCACGCCACCTGGGGGGAGGGGGGCACAGTGCCTGCTCAATTCTCTGACCCCCAGTAGAGGGCCAGACCCACGGGACCCCTGGACATGCTGCTGGACAATCTGGCCGGACTGCCCAGGACAAGAGGCCTTGACTGGAAGAAGGGGCTGCTTTGAAGCACCATCCTGAAGACGGAATCAGGACCTCTGGAGAGGAGGGGGCGCGCAGGGGCGGGAAGCAAATTCCGCAGTGCTGCTGCCTCTTTCCCCCCTCCAGGATGAAAGGCAGGAGGGATTGCAAAATGCCCCCATCCCCCCTGGGCATCTTTCCTGTCTGTCTGAAGATAGTTGAGGGGGCAGGACTGGTGAGCCGGCCCTTTGCCCAAGCCGAACTGGCATCCTTGCTCTGGGGCCCCTCTGTGCCCCTCCCCCACCTGTGCCGCGTTTCTGCAGGCGGAGACGCTTCAGGATCTCCTCGAACTTGGCGTGCTTGCTGAGGTGGGGCAGCTTGACGTGGACACCGCCACGTAGGCCGGTGCCCAGGTTGGAGGGGCAGGTCAGGATGTAGCCCAAGTGCTCGTTCCAGCTGAAGGGGTGGCCAGCCTGCTTGAAGATCTCTTCAATCTTTTGTGTGTGGGGGGAGAGCAGAGGTTGGCAGGGGTTAGTGGCAAAGCAGGCGATACCCACGTCTCTTCATGCCTCCCCCCCCCAGCACTGTTTCTCCCAGCAAGGGTCTTTATGCCATTGACATGGGAGGGAAGCCCCATCCCCATCCCTACCACTTTGGGGTCACCACAGAGAGAGCAGGACCAGATCCTCCTGTCCTGTCCAGGATTCCACAGTGCGCCCTGCTCCCACTCCCAGGAGCCAGCCAAGAGCCCCCCTGGGCTCCCCTCACCTTTTGCAGCCCCACGCAGAAGCGCCGGAAGACTTCCTTCATGTTGCCCCCCTTCTGCATGGAGATGACCCGCAGGTGGTCTTCCTCATTCACCCACACCAGGAAGGTCTTGTTGTCGTTGTGCCTGGGGGGGGGGGAGCAGAGGCCTCAGCGTCCCCCACCTGCTGGCCCTCAGGCTCAGTCGGCATTGGGCGAGGGGGGCACCAAAGGGCATCGAGGCAGCCTTGCTGCCCACCACCCGACTTGCCAAGGCCACTTTCAGCAGCTCTTCTTCGGGGGGGGGTCAGATTCAGGAACTGGGTGAGGAAAGGGGAGGCAGCCGGAGCAACCTTTGTGCCACGGGAGAGATTCGCAGCCGAGTGGGCAGCCCAGGCTGGGCAGGAGCCGCTCACCAGATGCCCCGGGCGTCGGGCCAGTCGCGGGCCATGCCGGAGGCGAGCAGCAGGGGGGAGACGGGCTTGTCGAAGAGGAAATGGTCGTCGATCAGCTGCTGCTGCTCCGCGTCGCTCATGCTCTTCAGCGGGTAGTACTTGCCCTTGAACTCTCCGGACAAGCTGTTCAGGGCTGGACAGGGGGACACAGCGGGACCACCCTCAGCAAAGGCTGCTGCCCCCTCCTCCCACTCCCGCTCTCTTCTCCCGACAAGGCTCAAGGGGAGGGGCTTCTCAGCAGCCCTGTGGGATCTGAAATTGGTGTTTCCATCCATCCTCAAAACGGGAAGATTAGAGGTTTCCACCCCCCAAACCCATGGTGGACCAGTGGGGGACCCTCCTGGCGCCACCCCGGATGCTGCCTTCAGCCAGCCAATGGGGGCTGGTCAGGGTCCACTTGGGCTGGCGGGCTGTGAGCCCAGCCAAACAGCAACTAAGCTCCTCCAAAGTTTGGGTGGAGACCCCCAATTTTGGACAAAGCGGCTCCCCCCCATTCTTCCCCTCTTACCGTTGATGGACAGCTTCTCTACAGCCCGGCGCTCGGCCCGGCTGCAGTGGGGGGGGCAAGGTGTAGCCCTTGATGCTACGGCCAGTCCTCACGCGGCTGCTGAGCACATAGTTGGGGTCCAGATCATCACCGCCCTGCAGGAAAGGAGAGCCAGGGGTCCTCTCTCTGCCCAGGCTGACCAGTCCCCCCTCCAGCCCCTCTGAAGTCTTTGGAGTCTGTCAGACCCCTTCCCGTTCCCTTCCTGGGCCTCCCCACATGCTCCTGGGGGGGCACCTGTCTGGGCTACACAGGATACCCAGGGAGCCCCCCCACACACACATCCTTTGATCTTTGCACACTTAAATGGCAAGGGTCCCCCCCAGCAAAGCAAGCCCCCCACTGCCCCCACCTTCAGGTTTTCATGGTTCAAGTCGGTCTTGTGCTTGTCGGTGGGTTTGTAGCCTCCGTGGCGGTCATGGATGACAACGTCGAAAAGATCTTTGAAGGTGCAATAACACTCTTCGTCACCAGCCACGCAGCCCACCGTCATGATGAAGGGGTGACCTGCAAGGACAGAGGGCTTCAGTGGGGAGGGGACTCAAGTCCCCCTCTGAAAGATGAGGGGTTGGCACACCTGGAGGCCTCCGCTCACCCTTGCCTGGCACCCGTTCTCTCCAAACACATTTGGGACCAGGCTGGGACAGGGGAGGGGGACAGAAAAGGGGGCTTGCCCATCACCCCCAGCAGAATGCCTGGCAGGGATCAGTGGGAAGGAAGCCCAGCCAGATTTCACCCCCAGAGGCTACCCAGGTCGATGCATGCCGGCATTTGGCCTCCTTGGACCCTGGTGACATCTATCAAGCTAAATGTCTCCTAAAACTTTTTAACCTAGTTTAGCAATGCTTCTTTCCAGGCAGGTGACCAGCCAGCCGGGGGCCCCCAAACCCTTTGCCTTCACCTCTCCATTTGTCCTACTCCAAAATGTTCACAAATTTCAAGGAGTAAATTAAAACAAAAACTCCCAGAATTCCCCTGCCAGCAGAGCAATTCATAGTCAACGTCTAGGTGTAACCAACTTTTTTAGTCCGTGTGAATAATAAGACTGAAAGAATGGATTTGATTTTTTCACATGCTTTAGCTCGCCTCTCCGCTCCCCCATGCCCGGAAGTCTGCTCTGTGCATGATGGGCAGCACACAAGTCAAATAGATTATAGATAGATTAGATAGATGATGGATGGATGGATGCTAGATTATAGCTGGACAGAGAGAGAGAGATGATAGGTAGGTAGTCACGGTTCCCACAGGTGGCTGAAGAGAGGAGGAATGATGTTGCCCAACCAACCAGACTGCTCCTTGATTAGACTATGTGACTGATTGTTTGGGAAAGGGGGAAAACTTTTACTTTTAATTAAGTGAAAACCACTGGAGCCTTTAGAGTCGGTTTTCACCAGCCTGTGCCAATATGATATGTATAATAAAACTATTATTTAAGGAACTTAACGTTTTGTTTGCTATGGGTGTATTATTTGGAACCCTGACATTAAACCAACTTTTCATTGTGGCAACCCTGGATCCTAAAAATGGCTTCAGTCAGGCCAGCTATAGAGTTGACATAGAGATAGAGAGATAAATTCATAAAAAGAGAGAGAGAGAGAAGAGACGAGAAGGGAAGGGAAGAGAAGGGAAGGGAAGGGAAAGATAGAAAGCCAAGCTGGGCTCTTCTCTGCCTTCACCCAAAGGCAACCAGCTGCCAATTTGCTCAATGTGATGCCAGCCCCTGCCAGAGGGGGGAGTGAGCTACAGGGGAGGAGGGGGCACCAGCAGGCACAGCTTGTGCTTTGCATGGAGGGCAAGGTCAGTGGCAACACCCTCCAGGGCTGCTGCCAATCGAAGGGTGACGTCCGAGCGCTCTAGCTGGGCTGAGAGAAAACGGGCAAGGGGCCCCACCGCATCTGGCCAGACCAAGGGAGGGACAGGGCCCACCTGGGTTGTCCACGCCGGTTTGGATGACGTCATCCAGGGTGCAGCCGCTGGCCGTCTCCTTGTCCCGCAGCTTCTTGTACATGTCCTGGGTGAGCGCCTTGGCCATGTGGTTGTTGTGCATGCTGAGGTCGGGGAATTCTTCCTCCGAAGGGAAGTTCATCTTGCACTTGTTGTGGGTGTTTCCGAAAGGCATGGTGGCGGCTGATGGCGAGTCCTGCCAGGGGCAGACAGGGAGAGG